GTTTGTTAATAAATTTAATACCAAAGTATAAGAAGTTTAAAATATATATTATATTCTATTCTCTTGTTACTACATTTACTATTGTTTGTATAATTTTCTTTCCATTTTGATGATTTAATAAATTCAAAAGAGGGTCTTTCATCTTTTGTTCCAATAACGTGATCAATTCTACTCTTATTCTCTGTAAAAGTTGACCCACCTAAACAGAATTAAAGCATTTTTTTTAAATTGCAATGAAAGGTTTCTATTGTAACGTATTGCGAAATATCACAAACTTACCGTATGCGATTCAACGCTAAACAAAATCCAGCCATCTTCTAACGATACGATAGATAGACCATTGTGCAGTTCTATGTTTAGTTCATAACCAGAGAACAAAATTAACAATAGAATTGGCACCATTGAAATTTCCTTAATGAATACTTTGCTTGTTTTAATTTTTTCCTGAAATACTAAATACGGACTGGAGAAATAACCCACGTGGAAATTAACGGAAGATGGATGGATACTGACGAAGCCATCGTTCTTTGTTTGAAATCTAAGTTCCTCTGGCTTTGGTTGTATAGGAATTGCTCCAGCAGATTGCATTTTAAAGGATTTTTCTGGTGTAAAAACTTTCACAACATTAGGGTAGAGAGCAGCGCAAAGTAAACCTTGAAGAAGTTTGTAATTATCGTTGTTTATGTTTAATTCAGGCCCAGTAATTTCCAAGATTTTATCGACATTTGGTTGTCGTTTGGGCAAATTAATTGGAACAAAACCAATCGAAACTAATAATTCTAAGAATTGATACTTAATATCTGCCAAAGTATATAATGTTCGCATGGATAAATAGTTTTCGTTAGCGAAAACGTGTCCTGCGTAATTACTATGCGCGCATGCTTCCAACCATTTCTATAAATCAAATAAAAAAAAATATATAAATATGTGTTTCACGTTACGATACATGTTTCTATATTTATACATTTACCTTGTACGCTTTCAGAATAGTTAAATGATCGGAATTAGCTGTAAAGAATTCTTTCTTAGCATCTATTTCGTGTTTTTTCTCGAAAGGTATATTAAACGGATTTTTATGAGACAAACAAGCCGCAATGGTGAGAGCGGAGTCAAGGCAGCAAAAGATCGCACCGAATAATATTAATTTCCCAATTCGTACATTCACGGGTAATGCAGCGAGATGATGGCCTAACGGAGTCAATATATATTCAGAAGTAAACGCACCAACATCTTGTAAGCGTTTAATTGCATTGTAAATATTTTCTTCCGTTGGTGGTTCTAACATTTTACCTAAAAGAAGAATTCTAATAAATGTTCTATACGAAAAAGAAAGAATTAAAGTTAACGTTATCATTTAATTAATCGTTACCTAAGATACTATGTAAGTCTACTTTTCTTCCTTTATGTAAAAGTTGAATACGTAACAGTAATGGTTCTAAAGGAATTCTTAATATTTCAGGTACTGGTTGTGCCAGAAAGTGGTATTTAAATCTGATAAAATAACAAATTTTATGAAAAAGTAGTAGATTTCTATTATTGTAGAATTAAAGTATCGATTCAATACTTAACAAATTATACATACTTGTACGAAGTATATAAATGAACGCATACTCCAGGCATCACACGTCCGGCACGACCTTTTCTTTGTAATGCATTCGCTTGCGACACCCAACATGTTTCTAAACTTTCCATATTTTGGTTCGAATTGAATCTAGTTTCTTTCATTTTTCCGCTATCAATTACGAAAACACAATCGTCTATAGTAATAGATGTTTCAGCTAAATTTGTGCTTAGAACTATTTTTCTAACATCTCCAGTCTTTTTGAAAACTAAATTTTGCTCTTCGTTAGATAAAGTTGAATGTAACGGTACAATAACAAACTTTCCTGTCTTCGGAGAAAGGTGCGCGTTTCCGTTTAATTGATTTTTCAGTGTAATAATTTCAGCAAATCCTGGTAAAAATACCTAAAATTGTACGGCGATTAATATCATAATTTGCATTGAAATTTTCCGAAATAAAATCACTTACTAGAATGGAGCCAGTATTCGGGTAATCGTGTTCCCCCAAAATAATCCATTCTAATATCGCCTCTATAAGTTCAAAATTAATTTTCTCGTGATCCATAACGTACAAATTCTTCTGTGTTTGCCTATCGTAACCGTGATATCTACTAACAATCTGCGTTAACGTTAAATTTTCGTCTTGAATCGATTCTTTAACTACAGCACCGCTTGCCCCTTCGACCTCCGCAGTTTCGAGATCTATTTGCAACTGCTCCCAATCGCATTTAATTTTCCGCGTGAATTTCGAATTTTCTTCGAGTACATAATTTATCCTTTCAAATATATCTTCTAAAAAGATTTGTTCCACAGGGAACGTTTTTCCTGGAATACATAAAATAGGAGCTTCTCTAAAGTACGAGGAAAAAGCCTCAGCTTTAAGTGTTGCACTCATAAGTATTATTTTCAGGTTTGATCTTTTACGTAATAATTCCTTCAATAGCATCAATAGGAAGTCGCTAGATAAGAAACGATAATATTTAAGTAAAGATAAACAATTTAACAGAATATACACCTCACCTTTCTGCGCTTCTTTCGTGAACTTCGTCCACTATTACGTGAGTAACATCGGTCAAGTCTGGATTCATGGACAATCTTTGCAACAAAATGCCGGTTGTACAAAATGTTAATCTGGTTTTGTTGGACATTTTGCTTTCCAATCGTATTTGATATCCTACTGTGTCGCCTACGCGTTCATCTCTCTCTGCTGCAACTCTTTCCGCTACTCCCACAGCGCTTATTCTCCGAGGTTGCGTACATACTATATTAACATGTTCTTTTGATTCGGATCTATTCAGAATCCAATCGTCTAATAAGAATTGCGGCACCTAAATAATATTCGATACATCAAGTATCTTGCCATGCCAAAATTGAAATTCACACAACGCCGATAATTTTATTTACCTGTGTACTTTTACCACATCCTGTTTCACCTGAAATGATAGTAACTTGATTTTCATGTACTATTTCTAAAATGTTATCCATTTTAGGCCACGCAGGTAATTTCTTCCTAACGTCCTTCATTCTTTTATATTTTGGATTTTTTTGTTTCTCTTTGAAATTTTCATGAATCAGATCATCCGTTTTTGATACCTCTTCCCATGTCATATTGTCTCTATGCTTTCTAGTTATAGATCCTAATTCGTGATGCGTAGCTGTATCCGTTCCATCGTCGGTTACCGATTCTTTGGGAAAAAGTAGTTCGTTTTGATCCAAAAATTGTTCTTTATTTACTTCTAAATATCCTTTTATTTCAAGTTCGTTCTCCAAAAGAGATATTACAGAAAAGATAGAAGGAGTTCCATCTTTCGATATAGACTGTGCTTCGTCGTATAATCTTCTTCCTATTCTTAAACAGTTTACGCTTGGAAACGTACCATCATTTTTATAAAAGTAGAAATACGGTGGTTCGTACGGATATTTACAACCTAATGAAATATAAAAAAAAGTATCCCTCAAGTAGAATGTTATTAATAATTTATATATCAGTTGCATGATTTACTTGATTTTACGTATTAATACCTTTGGGAAATCTTATTTCTAACGTAAACTGCGGATCCTCTCTTTCAGGCATTCTTAATACTTGTGGTTGCTGATGTAAAAATTTACATTTAATTCCATATTTACATTTCTTTTGAATAAATAATCTACAAACTGCTTTCTCTTTCTCTTTTTCTTGTTGATGCTTAATTTTTCTTATTTCTTGCTCTATTGCATCGTTTCTTACCAGATAATCTAACTTAAGTTGAACGATCCAAATTTGACTTTTTATCTTTTCTATAAACATATCTCCATAAATAGACTCGAGCGTCTCTTTTTCCTCGCGTCGTCTTTCTAATAAATCTGTTAGACTGATATCATCGGACGTTTGACTTCTTTCGATCGTTTCAAGTCCATAATATTTACAGAACAAAACTTCTAAAGCTTTTCCCATATCGCCTTTCGTATGTATTAACGCTTCGATACAGTGCGATTGGTGAAAACTAAAAGTAATGTAACAGTTAATAACTTGTCTTGAAATGATCGAAAACATTACATCATTAATATTTACCCATAACTTTCAAGTTTAGATGTCGCAAATTGTCTAGTAATTTGTTCCTGAGTTTTAGGCCTGGTATCTTTGGAAGAATAATCAACTATTCCTTTAATAACTAAGTTGCCTCTTTCCATCCAATATTGTTTGTCTAAGTTTGATTTTTTATTTTCAAACTCTGATGCATCGGAAAGTTTAAAGCTCTATAAAAAAACAGCTGTGTTATCTTCTGATGATATTTCACAAAAATGATATATAATAACGAGTAAACGATCGTATCTATAATACATACAGGACCATAAATATGTTTTAGAGTGTCGTAAAGCTGTCGTTCAGATTCTTTGGATATTCTTAAAGTTTGCATTTCTACTTTCAGCTTACTCGAAAAGCGAGGACTTTCATTTTTACTTTTATTCTTTCCTGGTACATTTCTGTCGAAACAGAATACAATATTTTAATATTGTAAAATAATTATAAAATACAAACTAAGTTTACAATACATACAAATATCGTTTAAAAGGATAAGAATGAATTAATTTTAATATTATAATTTCTTCCATAGGAGAATAAAGATGTCGTAAAAAAATACATTTCGTACTATTTTTGTTTCATTGATTCTATTTTAACATACGAGTTAAATTTCTAACTTACGCGACACACTTTCCAGTATTTTTTCCTTCTAGCGTGATGTTTTCCATTAATTGAATGCTATTATGATCCATTATCTAGATCTCCAAATGAATAATTCTTTTATAAGTTTATTTGAAAAATATTTCTATATAACTATTTAATTCTTTAACATTTGGAAAAGATGAAGGTTAAGGGATGGTAACGTGCAACTGGTTATGACAGAACACATGAATGAATATTTCAGACACCTCCAAAGCTCGCCACTAGAGGGTTATTAATAGTAACTAATTCTCGCGAATTGCATTAGCTTTATACTAAACATATAAATTTATACATTTTTTTTTCTCGTAGATCAAAATATGTTTTCTTTCTTTTTTTTAATAACGTAATATTTTCATACTCAAACGTTTTACTGTACACAACTTACTTCGAATATTACTTAAAGAATAATCAAAATTGATTTAATCTTACAGTTGATGCTACGTTTTATTTACAATTTTTAAAATTATCGCCTTATTATAACCACAAAGTAATAAAAGATTTCCTCGAGGATGCCATCGACCGTCTACTACTGTAATATTTCGTGGAGTTGATACACAGGTCGCGGTGTGTGGTGTCCATTCAAACATATGCGCGCATTCGCAGAATACAAACAGCTGAGCGCGTACAGGATTCCATTTTACAGCTAAACGAAAATTTCAGATGTGACATAATGCAATTTTTCAGAAATAATAGTCTTAGCAAACCGTCGAAATGCTCTCACCTACGATACTATTTTCAAAAAGCAGATAATCCAGATAATCTTCGACGACATTCCATATCCATAATGTTGTAGGATAAAGTTGATGATTTATAGCCATGTACTGTCCACACGAGCTAAATTCCAAAACGTTGAATTTAGCGATCGACAATTTGTCGATGTCATTTTTCTTACCGATCTTTACATTTATCGGACGTTCAGACTTTTCTTCCACTGTAAACATTCATTTTCTTAGCTTATCAATCTGTATACGAATTCGCGTCTCCGCGATATTACTTATATGTACTTACGAATATGTTTATCATATAAACTTATATTTTTACTAGATAATTTCGGTTGAATTACACGTTCCTCGTACACTTTATTCAAATAATTCTCCTTAATTACCGGGTCGAGATACAATTGTAACAATGGTTTCCATGTCACGTGATTTAATAATACGATCTGTGTACAAAATTTACGTTTGAATGAAACCGTATTCGGATTATCAACTTATCGAAGGAGTCAAAACCGAAATAATTACAGCCCTTTGCAATCAGAGACGAGCAAAATTTTGTTAGAATAATAATACATTAAATTTTTACATGCTCGTTAAAAGCTAACGAATTCTCCTTATAGCCATAATTACGTTCAAAATTTATTAAACATGTTTAGTCTGAACCATGATCGTAACCAATAATTATCTAACAAGTTACACTTGCTTGTAAAGTGCTAAGAGTTAAGCTCGTTTTCGGTTAGGACTTCCCGATTTATGCAAATATTATTAAATTAATATTAAATACCATTTCATTAAATCCAGTTACAGCCAATAATTGTCCACTAGGCATCCACGTTACGGACTCGATACCTTTCAATTCGTTTCGATAATTGCATCCTGTTTCAGATGTATCTACAATTCGTTCGGGACAAAAAATTCCGATGTCTCTTTCCCTTACGCTCGAATAAATAATTAATTTTGCCTCGTTACCAAACGAACACCAAATACATAATAGTTCGCTATTCGGTGACCAATGTATCCCATCGATGCTGCTCAAACGTCCGCATATTAATTTCTAAAAAATGTAATAGAAAAGTACATTGAACGAAATGTATTATTCCAGTTAAATGCAAACAAATTTTTTAATTGAAATATTCGAAATTAAGCTCTAAAAAAAGTAATGCGACTAGATTTTCATTCGAACTTTGCGATCGAACACGCGCGAAAATCTTGACCAGTAGAAAGATTCCATATTTAAAAGGAAAGGACACCGCGTGTTTTCGTGGCCATATTTGTTGTTATAATTTTTCGAGGTTAGATTAGTAATTTAACAGACAGTCGCATGTAAATAGTATTTATTAATAATAAAAAGATATGACATTTTATATATCGTGTGCTTGTAATCGAGTTCCACATTCGGCTGACTGGGGACGAAATGGTCTCGTTTGCTTTGCAGCATGTCATGCGGTTGCAATTTACGATCCGTCTGTCTCAAAAATTGGAAAAGTGACAAATACACTTCACCGGCATAAAGGACGTGTTAATACAGTTCGATGGATTAAACGACTTAATTCGGAAAGTGAATTCGAATTATTATCAAGTTCGACGGATGGAACTGCTATTATTTGGAGCAAATTGAAGGAATGCTTTGAATGCACCTCTGTTATTGAATGTGGCGATGCCCTTACATTTAGCAATTCTTTGTACCTTTCTAAACATGATTCTCGAAATGAAGAAACCTTTCCTGAGTTACTGATATGTACCGGATCGATTAAAGGAGATTTAAAAATATGGTCCAGAGATACACGTGGCAACGTAAAATGTTTTCAGGTACTCATGTCCGAAAGGAAGTTACCAATAGAAGCTTCTTTCTCTCGTTTACCACATACGAATCTGACACTTTTAGCAGTCGCAACGGAAAGCTCAACAATCGAGCTATACGCAACAGATTCCGATATTATAGAAGAGTTACGTTTCATTAAGGTCCAAGTTTTAGTCGGACACGAAGATTGGGTACGTTGTATGGATTTTAATCGCGACACGGATGATAGCATTTTACTCGCGACTGGTTCTCAAGATGCTATGATACGATTGTGGAAAATTTCTGTTAATGTTAATAAATATTCGAACGATGAATTGTATCAGAAAGAACAAGTATTCGTAGCGAAGGGTACAAAGTACAATATTACTTTGGAATCTGTGCTTTACGGTCACGATGGCTGGATTTACGGCGTACATTGGTATCCGTTGCAAACAACAAAAAATAGAACTTTAAGATTGTTATCTTGTTCAATGGATAAATCCATGATTATATGGGAGCCAGACGAAATAACTGGAATTTGGTCGGAAAAAGTTAGAGTGGGAGAAGTTGGTGGCAATTCATTAGGTTTTTACGGTTGCAAATTTAGCGGGAACGGATCGAATATACTAGCCCACGGATATCAAGGGTCCTTTCATATTTGGGAATACTTGGACAATGCAAAGAATTGGATTCCAAAGTCTATGCCAAGCGGTCATTTCGCAGAAGTAGTCGACCTTTGCTGGGACCCTAAAGGAAGGTCTGTAATTTGTAAGCTAAGCCTTCAAGCTTCAGGCTTGCTTTGAAAAATTACAGAACTTTCAAATTGCTCATAATAATAATTAATAATTTGGTTAACAGGTTTCTCGTTACTACAAGCACAGATCAAACAACGAGAATTCATGCACCATGGAAAAATAAGACGACAGAGTTTTGGCATGAAATTGGACGTCCGCAAGTTCACGGATACGATATGAATTGCTTAGCCGTGTTAACTCCGTACATGTTTGCTTCAGGAGCAGAAGAGAAGGTTACACGTATATTCACAACTCCGATAACGTTTAAGAACTATTTAGGAAAAATTGCTGATATCGACGACTTTAAAAATACGGTAGCCGAAAGTGCATCGGTACCTGCTCTTGGATTAACGAATAAAGCGACATTTAACGATAGTATTCGAACGAAAGAAACCGAAATCGATGATTTTAAAAATGAAGATTACGTTCCTCCCACAGAGGAAGAGTTGATGCAAAGTACGCTATGGCCAGAACTACAAAAACTTTATGGTCACGGCTATGAAATATTTTCCATAGCTGCCAGACACGATGGATCCTTATTGGCGACTGCGTGTAAATCAACTTCAACGGAGCATTCTGCGATATTATTATGGAATACGGTCACATGGACGCAAATTCAGAAACTTATATCTCACCAATTAACCGTAACGCAAATGGAATTTTCACCCAACGACAGATACCTAGTATCCGTATCCAGAGATAGAAAGTGGTCGTTGTTCGAATGCAACGACGATAAGTATACTTTAATAGCAGCCAGTTTGAAAAAAGATAATCTTCACACTCGTATAATATGGTGCTGTTCGTGGACGCATGATTCATGTTTCTTTGCGACTGGTTCTAGAGATGGAAAAATTGGAATTTGGAATCCAAAGCTTATCGATGACAAAGTTCTTCCAGTCACGCATTTGGATGTAAAAGATTCTGTTACAGCGCTTTCGTTTGCTCTTCTGAGTATATCCGAATGTACTTATATTTTAGCAGTAGGATTTGAATCAGGTTGTATAGAAATACAAAGGTTGCAAATGTTTACAAATAGTTTTGTATGGCAAAAGTGTATAGTGTATAATTCTTCTCAAGCGCATCATTTAACTGTAAGAAGGCTTAAATTTCGACCACAAAAACAATATACAAATATCGTGCAATTGGCAAGCTGTGGATCTGATCATACTGTTAAAATACACGATATAGATATTACAATATAAAAAGATCTACGAAATATTCGCATTTTTATATAATAAAATTGTTTACTTGATCTTAATTATTGGATTTAATTATAGTTAACTACTTACTTTACTTAATTTCCAAGTATCGGTCTTATAAATTTCTATACTGTCTTCACCTTCGTTTGAAACTATGATTGCCAATTCAATGCCATTTGGACTAAAATGTAGTTTACCAAAGGAAGTCTTCACATTTTGTATGTAAGTTACACTTCGATTTTCCAAAGACCATATAGATATTTGAATCTGATCAATTTAATTATTTTAATGTTTTAAAATATCCATTTACATAATATATAAATTTATTTACTTACATTAAAATCTGACACTGTTAAAAAATGCTTGCTATCGGGGGACCAATAGACGCTTTCCAAACCAGCACTTCCTTCTGTGAGTTTGAATTTCCATTCGGGACAATAGATAGAATATATTTGAATAATAGCTTTTTTTATATTTGCACAAAGAATATATTCGCTATTTCTAGACCACTTGAAGACCTATAATAGACACATTGAGCGAAAGACAATTAAACAGTTGTCAAATTTTGATTTGTCAATTAAGATTTCATGATGTTAAGTGTTGGCAAATATAAAATAACAGTTCGTTTAAAAAATCAAACCAAACCTCAATTATGTCTGCAAATACAAACGAGTGAATGGTATCGAAGGTTTTGCTACTTTTTACGACTAAATTTGTTTGATATGCAACTGCTAGAAATCTTCCATCTGGAGAAAAATCGCACAATTGATTATTTACACGTATTAAATCGTTTTCTACTTCTAACGACATTGCACCTTCATTGTATACATCGGTCATGTGCATTTGAATATTGTTTACATATTTAAACTTGCTTATACCTAATAAAAAAGAATATCTCTAGAGACAAGTCCCTCTAGGTTACTAGGGTGAATTATTCAGTCGTTACGAAATTTTACGTTATTCGCTACTGTCTATTATACAAAATGTATAATAACGATAGCATAAATATGTAATGCCGCTAAAACATATCTTGCTTAACAATTCGATGAATTTATATATTGAAAAGTGTTTTAATTTTATAACCTGATCAATGAAATACGTTGTACGCATTTCGTAGCTTGTTCGTTGTAAATGTGAATTCTCCCAAAATTCTTCGGTCATGTCACGTGATTTCCGTTCGTATCTTTTCCTTCTGTTTCCTTTCCGCTGGATCTCGAAAGTCGAGTGCTTGTCCTCTCTTGCAGAGCTAAGGTTATATCAACGACTTGCACCATTATTGACATACATCCAGCTTTAATATAAATTATACAAGTAGAAAAAATGACTACCAAGGCTGAACTCGCTTGCATTTACTCGGCATTAATCCTCGTCGACGATGACATCGCTGTAACTGTAAGTACGTGTCGCGTGCATGTTCGACCGCGGCATCATGAAAGCATCATGAAAGATTGAAGTACTATTTATGATATTCTATCATTATTTATTTTCACGTGTGCGTAATCTGTTTACGGTTAATATTTATTAATACCTTTGCTTGTTTTAGGGCGAAAAAATCCAAACAATTTTGAAAGCTGCTAACGTCGACGTGGAATCTTACTGGCCTGGACTTTTTGCCAAAGCTCTGGAAAATATTAACGTGAAAGACCTTCTAACAAACATTGGAGCAGGCGTTGGAGCTGCACCAGCAGCAGGTACTTATAATACGCGTTAAATTCTTAATCTAGGAAAGACATTAGAATTTAATAACGACTTAATAATCTTTCGGAGTAAGTCTTGTTCTAAGCAATGAGTGACTTCTGTGTACTCACAAGCACGTGTAAAAGTGATACTAACATTTGCAATTATTCGAGTTTGACAGATATAGGTAAAACCAGTTTTGGTATGTAGATTGCGCGCTATTACAATTTAGGTTAGAGACTAATATGTTAAAAAATCAAATGCTTACAGTCGTTTCGTAAATTCTAAAACTATTTACATAACTTTATTAACATTCCTCTACATCCACCGATCTAAGCGACGTTACTTGTTAGAGCGGCCAGTGATAGAGGAAAAAGAAAAAAGAATAAAAAAATATGTGGTCATATTTAACATATGATTCTGAATTTTTTTAACCAACATTGACATTGTGCTTACTTATATTGCGTAACTGTAGTAGAACGTTAGGCCGTTAACTTTTATAAAATAATATTTTCTATACCTTTTTTTTTTTTTGTATTTTAAAGCACCGACCGCTGCAGCACCTACTAGCGCGGAAGCTGCGCCAGCTAAGGAAGAAAAGAAGAAGGAAGAACCTGAAGAAGAATCCGACGACGATATGGGCTTTGGTAAGTATTGTACTATTGATTATTATTTAATGAAACGCCTTATATTCAATGATTATTCTATCATGTATTAGCTACTGAAATTATCACGATGATGCTTGAAAATGAGAACGCTACTACAATTACATGATATTTTTAACCAAAGGAAAGAATCTATTTTAATTATACTTTACTTTTTTTACAGGTCTGTTTGACTAAACTTTCGGATCGCAATTTGCTGGTCCATCCACTTTTGGCAGTTATATTGTACAATGAATAAAATATTTTTAAACTGACTTACTCGACTACGTGAATTGTAATAACCGTAATCAAAGGAAAGAAGAAGCGTTTCTATACGCTTCCATTATCCGATAGGTCGAACCATACGTTTTTTTTATTTATAGTATTTGTACATGCAAATGTAAACTTCAAAAATAATTCCAGTACAGGATAAAGATTGTAATAAACAAGTATATAGTATCATTCGCAATTACAGTAGTCTTGTAAAGGAATTAAAAACTTTTGATAGATTTGCATTATAAAATAAATAAATGGTGAAATAACATTTAAAGATATCCAAACTTGAACACACGAAGTTGATCGAAATACGTCTTACAAGAATAATATAATAGTAATTGTAATCTTTCTTTCTGTAACATAACTTTGAAACGCAGACTTACAGTCATAGATATAAGTTCTTATTAGCGAACGGGTTAAAGTATCCGGCATAGTGGGACGGTTTTTCATGAGATTCTTAATCTTTTAAATCGGTGGTATCACCGCAATAAGTTTCTGGTTCGGATAGCGGTAACCATTGCGCGGATGCCCCTGTTCCTGCTAATACACGCTGAAAAAGCTCTTTTTGACATTTGTTAGATACCTCGCATTTAGCCAAAAGCTCACCATTTTCTCGTAAAATAATAAATTCTATTATGCATTTGGACAATACTTCGTTACCAACATCGAAGCTTAAGATATCATTCCATACAGGATTAATGGTTTCGCGTTGTACGCTGGACCTCTTCTTTTTAATACTTTTGCCATCTTGAATAATCTTCACCTAAAAAAATTTAGATATATTAAAAATATACAAATTGCAGTACTTACTTCATAGAAACGATGTAAATTACGTATACTTACTTTTACGTACAGATTTGCATTTTTCGTATCGTTAAGACTAGGTAAGCTTTTCGCTCTAACAATTATAATCGTTAATTTCTCTGCAGATGGTTGATAAGATAGGGAAACCATAAGCTCTCCCATAAATGGTGTTTTTAATCCATTCTCGATACCATACCGTAGAATTGGTTTTGTAATAAGAACAAGCGTTGTATCTAGATCGGTTACTGCAGATAAAGGAAGCTGTACGTAACCCAAACATTGATGCCTGGAGAAGGCATCGAAGTCGTAAAGTAGGATTTCCAATGTTCTTCCGTCTAACGATGACTCGGGCATTATTTCAAAAACGAAATCCTCGTCGAACACTACTCACAAAAATTATAATAATTCACGTTAGACTTTATTTTTATAAATATCACTTCATCGTAATCTACATGTACGAAATTTACCTGGATTCAAAGTCCGCCTATGTATTCTTGTTTGCCATACGTTACTCCAGTCAGGTAACAGACGTACTTTTGCATAAGGATCTGCAGTTCCATTTAATTCTCTTGCATGAAGATCGTGTGCCTTTATAAAGAGAGATATTTTCATTTCATTTCTTTATTAATTCAACATTTATTTTAAGGAGCAAATGAAAAGTAAATGCACACGTTTAATTAATATGTATGTATTAAATTACCTTGACAAGTCTAACAGTGAGAATACCACCATTTGCATCGTAAATTAAACCAATTTGTAATTCACCTCTGATTTCGTCAGACGAAGATGTCGATGCGGAAGAAGACAGCTGTACCACGCAAAAAATTGAAATATAGATTAATGGAATTTTGTGCAAGATACCAACTGGTCTTTAAAAATATTTATACCTTGTAGGAAGAAGTGTCAATTTCAGTACTACTGAGTCGAGAATGTGAATCAATTATACTTTTTGTCTTTGACTTTACAATTATCATGTGCTTTTCAGAGGCAGCCACTGTTCCTTCTGGTAACGGTGGTGCAAAAGAGCTGACAGGTGATATCGAAATATCTTCCGACTCTGATAAATATTGTAAAACTGAAAATAATCAATGATATATCAGATAATACAAGAAAAAATAAAACTTATTTGTATCGTTAAGATATGGTCACCTTTTTTAGGTGAATCACTTGCTAGGCTACCAAATACATAATTAGATTGCCACTCTTCACCATCGGAACAACGATCATTTTGTTTCAAAGACTTATTTTCTAGATCTAAAGCAGAATTAGATCTTAAACCACCAAACACATCTTTCGATGACCATGTTGCTTCTTCTGCTCTATTCAATAAATCTTTCTCAAACCTAAAATGTAGATAAACCGTGAATTGTGTATTTTAACTACAAATATTAACTTTAATCAGCTTTAAGGAATACGATATGCATACCAATTGAGAGGTCCTCTGCCTGGAACAAGAAGGGACAATCGTCTGCGTCTAATGCAAATTGTATAAACAATTACAGCTGATAGAGCCCCAGTTGCAGCCCCAACAGATCCCAAAACAGCAACAATACCAATGCCATGAACATCCATCTTCAATTTAAGCTTCAAACGTATTACATTTACGATTCTGTGCGATTCAATTTAGTAAGATACAAAATATTTTTCGATATTATTCCACTTTAATATGTTTACTTACTTTTGTCTTCACATTATTTCTTATGCTATACTTTTATAGAATTGTACAGTATACAATTGCACGTATAAAAATATATTTAATTTCCTGTACGCTGAAACGTAAGTTGACACGTTTAAAAACTGTATTTACATTAAACCGGATTAAAACATAAACATATGGACGCGCGCGTAGATACAACGAAGGGTTACAAAAACAAAGCTAGACGTTATATTGACCTATGGCAAAAACAAATCAATACCTACCGTTGTAATGCGTAATTTCTCATGGTACAATTTTGATTACGATATTATCGATTCAAGTCCTCACGTATTTTAGAACATAATGATTCAAAGCTCGCCGCATCCACGAATGATTTTTTAACTACCCTACCTATATAATCCAAAGGGGTAAACAGGGGTAAAAGTCATTATAAAGCATGCCCATTGCGGTGTGCGCATAGTTCTCGTTAAACGCAAAGAAACTCGGTATTTCTACCGACTAATATTTTTAATTCTACCGACTAATATTTTAATTATTCTACCGACTAATTATTTCGCTGACTTCACATTTTCTCTACTGCTACATTAAAAACATCTACGAATATTTCTAAAATGGAACGTGTATATTAGGAAAATATTAGCTAAATTAACCGGAATGAGATTATAATTTGTGCTAGTTGCAGAAACTCTTCTAAAATTGCATTTTAAACAATTACTAATTGTGAAATTCATAGGCAACGAATACGAAATAATCGGTACTAACAAGGATGTCAGAGAATGAAGAGAATATAAAACAATGTAAAGAAAGAACATTTTAATGTAAGACACAATTTAATGTAACACAAAATCCGTTGCAGTTGCGTAGACAACTCTGCACCCTTATAAACAAATGAAAGTAATACATTCTTGATTCGTTACATGCAAAAAAAAAATGATTTATTTGTAAAATTGAACCTACCTAACTCAGACCAGTCTTAAACAAAGGATAATTCTACAAAACATTTGACATTCTCATCAGTTTTACGAAATCGTATGAAAATATACATGCCTTTTCCTCTTATTTTTATTTTCTCTATACGACATATATTAAACAGTAGAAACTATACATTAATTCTACTAATGTAATCGCAAATTTTATTGTCTAGTTTGTGACTGCGATAAACGTACCGAAGTTCTTTTCGATGTACCTGACGAAGTTGAAATGGAGTTTCTACTTCTCGATACTGAAGCAGCACTCGAATTATTGTCTTTGTTCCGACTTCGTAATTGTCTTGGACTTGACGGGATTGCCCTAAGTCCTGTACAAATAAAATAATTAGACGCAATAAAATAATTGTTTCGTATATAGCAAAATCAACGCATATATGTCCACAAATATCTGTGGATGTAGTTTGTGTATGTAAAAAACTTACCTTTCGTTACAGGAGGTACTGTATCAGGATCACCATTGGCATCGTCATCCTTTTCATCGCTACTACTTTTGCGCCTTAAACGTCTAACACGGTTTCTTTTTACCGGTGCTTGTGGCGGTGGCATAATTTCGTTATCGTTATTGTCCGTTCTATTTTTGAGAAGTTCCTCTATTTTTTCTTCCAATTCTGTACAAGCTACTTTTGTATTCGGTTTCTTTTTGCACTGTTCCACAACATTCTGCAAAGCTTTTAAAACTTGTGGGTGGTAAATTTTCTCCTTCAATAGAGGTAAACATTCGATAAGACGTTGTATACCTAATAATAAATGTTTAACGAAACGTAACGTATTTAATTAAATTTGTATTTAACTGATTATTTCTTCTTTACTTTTCGGGCCAAATTGTAAAAGTGACAGACAGTATGAAAAATCACGCCACTGTCTTTCTGTAGTAGCCAGTTGAAATCTAACGCAAATTCGATCGATTATAGTTTCGATTTGTTTTTCCTTTTGCAATAAACCTAAGATGTGCCTGTAAATGTAAATTATTGAATCAAACTGTCGAGTATGTACGTTTATTTTTGATCAACAATGCATACTTTAGAACCTCTTGGAAATCCGATTCGCTTATCTCTAAATTAGGATCGGTTAATCGAGACAATATGTCGGGCATTATATTGTACAAGGCATTGGTTTTCTGCGAAAATCCTTCGAAAAATTGTTTTGCACTTTGACGAATTTCAAAGTCTTCGTCGACTATGCAGAGAGCTAATTCCGATATCTGGCCTCTGATACGCACCATGTCTCTCATTATAAGACTCGATAAAACACGAACACAGGTACTTCGTACGTTCGTATCTTCATCCCGTAGTCTGAAAATATATGATATTTCTAATCGCAGCATGTACTTTTATTACATCTGCTGTATTTAATATTTCTTAATTTCTATCTCCGATTACCTGCCATAAATGTGTTTCATCCATGGTTCAATTTCATTTGGAAATTTCGATGCAAGATCCATTATTCCGATAAGAACGTTTGCTCGGATTCTAGGGTACGGCGAACGTTCCAGTATCGTAATTAAAAGCTGCAAGTTTTCTTTGCAAAATATTGAGCTGACTGTCATCATTTTACTGAGAGCAAGAGTACCAGCTTGTTGCATATCTTCGTCGTTATACTTATTGGGATTTTGACATACATGTAACACTAGTGGACTGTGAAACATAAAGTTCACAACGAGACGTGTGTAACGTGTAAATTATTGTAAATACTGTTATTCGTTAACATACACAAATTTTGTTAGAAGTCCATCTCCAGTTACAATATGATTTTCAAGAATATTGTTTATCAATACTGCTTCCTCATCGTCTGCTGCTCCTTCCACAGCTTCCTCTCCGTTATCTTCCACTATGCTCGCCTAAATGAAAAATCGGAAATGAAATGAATGCCAAATATACAGGATGAGGCAACCTAACACGCTCACTTTGAATAATTTATAAATCATGTGTCGTATGAGAAATTGTACACATGGAGTTCTCGATTTAAGAATTTCCAGCTTTGTGAATTTTATGCCCTGGTTTCGATTCATTTCTTGCGAACAAGAAATTTGAATTTTTGTTAGCTTGCGAAATTCTTTTCCACTGTGTGTAGAGCCTCCCTCGAAATTACATAACTTTTGTATACGACGTTTCATACAACACGTAGTTTCTGCTCTATGATATTCAAAGCGAACATGTTAAGCGTTTCATCCTGTACGTCTGTATACAGACAGAGATGTAATGTAATTGATAAATCCATCTCTAAATACAGAATATTTCCCATAGATTATAAAACACTACGTACATATATCGTACCTCTTTATTACGAATCATCTGCATCGCACTATTTCGGGTAGTGAACGATTTGTTCACGATACTGGATTTACGAGAATTTCTTTTATTTGTATTTGATTTCTTTGTGTTTCTTGATTTTCGTATCGTGTCTCTTCGCTTCAATTCCGTGTAGAGTGATGTGTCCAAATGTACCATTTCTCTAATTGCAATGTGTCCGATTAAGTATAGAAATTTAGATAGCCAGTAAGATGGAATGTGTAGCGTCTTATCGTTATTATTGAATTTTCCTCGGTTACACACTTCTAATACTACGTGCTTCATTAAATGAGCAGGCTGATTTGCTAAATGATAAATAGCGTTAATAGCGTCTGTTGCGAACGACACGTATCCATCTTCTTTTGTGTTAGTAAAATTTTCTATTAGTAACGTAACTATTTCTTTAAACATTTCGTGATCATTGGGATACCTAATAGGTGACTTTTCAGCGTCGTCACCTTTTCTTTTTATCTTCATCAACGCTCTGCATGTATCTCTGGCTAGAAGAAAATCAGTTTTTGCTCGTGGCCCCAAGCCCACTTTTATTAATACATCCAAATTTTCAGTTAAAATACCATCTTCAGCTTGAACTATCATCGTTATCAGCATCAAAGCTGTCCAATGGATCTGTATCCGATGATTTCATTGAAAATTTTTCCCATAAAACCTGTAATTCTTCGCTGCCTAGTTCATTATTACCATACCACGTTAAAAGAAGTTTATTCAAAGCTTGACTTTGACCAGGCTTAAGTCCTTTGAATAATTCGATCAAAGCTTTAACACGCAAAAGGGCTTTCTGTCTGTCTGATACTTTTTCATTAGTACTCAAGTAAATGTCTTTGTATACTACAGCTACGTTATTGCGTACTGAAAGATCCTGATGAAATACTTGAGACAAAGCATAGCATATAGCGATTTCAGCCCCAGCTACATCAAACTGGTATGCTCTACCAAGTAAAGTACACGCTTCAATGGCATCGCTTGGTGTTGTAGAAAAAAGCAAGTTTTCTGCCATCGGTATAGCGATTTCCAATTCGTTTGCAAATACCAAACAGTTTCTCAAATACTCTACAAGTCGTTTCCGCGATTCTACTTCCTGTTCTCCTTTATCTTTGTCCGATAACTGTGCTGTATTTGCATTTACTTGCGGATTATTTTCATTATTCTCCGATTCCACAAACGTTTTCAATAAAAGTAAAAATAAAAATTCCTCTTTTGCTTCGGAAGACAATTTGTTCATATTTGGATTTTGCTTCAATTTCATACAAGCCTTCCACAAATATGTCACCGCTACAAAAATGTTTCCTTTTAATATTAATTGTCTAATGTTTTCAAATGCTGTATCAGGATTGAACTTTTCTTCGTCATCGATATTTTCTTCCTCTTCTTCACTTTCATCACCTTTGTCTCGTTTTTTACTTTTTTTCTCTGTATCATTACAAAATTTTTTTAATGCTTTTCTTATTTCCGGAAGCAAAGTGTTCCACAGTTCTAATCTTTGACTGTCACCACGAGCACTTTTGCTAACCATTTTAGTCTGCATGTTTCTCAGCTTTATTTCTTCCTTTTCTAACGACTTGGAAATTTCTTCTTTGTTCAACTTAGCAGCGAAAGGATTGGCTTGAAGTAAAACACGTAGTAATTGTAACGCGTATTTACGTACGATGGCACTTTTATCATTTAAACGTAATGCTGCGGCAGCTAAAAGTTTTCCTTGCCTTGCTAAAGGAATAGCTCCTACACAACATAAAGTTTGCCAAACCTGTAAGACTTTAGATCTAACGTATGCATTAACGTCTAAAATATGTTCCAATAAACTATTCAGACATTCATCGCGTTGATCTTTTTGTTTTTGCGTAAGATCGTCTCCGGTTAACGCTTTTTGCACGATTATTCCTATAACGCTAATCGCGCAATTTCTCAATGTATAATGTTCGCTAGCCAAATAATCCATCACGTTGACGAGAATAGGAATTATAAGATTTGGTTTAGTATTAGCAATAGTTTCAAGAAATATCGATATACAACGACTCTTGCTTTCAGATGGTTCGCTTTGATCTATTTCTTTTATTACTTCCTTCATTAAACCGTTACAACCGCATGTATAACACCGTTTGCTATATGCGTTGCTAACGTATTGTGTAACTTCAACAACTGTAACATTAAATTACATACTTAGTGCATTTTTTTTGCTAAAACCATATGAAATTTAAAATCATCGAATACATATACATACCTGGATAATTCTTATCACGCAGTCCATGCCATGATTGTATTTTTTAATCGAAATTCCTAAAATTTTTTTTGAAAAGAAAATGAAAATATTGAATATAAAAATAATATAACGAAAAAATTAAATAAATTTTACCTCGAAAATAGTCTGCCGTACGTATTTATCTTTTGAATCCCTACAATGTTCTAATATCTTATAGCACATTTTAGTGAGCAACCTACGATATGAAATTATAGTTAATATCTTAAATTTTAATTAACATGTACGTATTTGTGCGACTAAAACTTACATAATAAACGCATTCTCGACAATGGGAGGACGCCAGAGTTTTTGCAATGGTAATTGGAGCAATCTATAACTGTATTCCAATGCATTCTCCTTGGTAGTATCCCACTCTTCTTCTATATCTGATTTTGTATTTTTTTTTGACTAAATAATACATGTTAGTTAATATAAAAGTATGAAACATCTACAGTACCATTACGTTATATACGACGAACGAACCTTGTCAACATATTTACTGCTCGAGCTTTTAACAATTTCAGCATGTATATGGCAAATAAGTTCAGAAAATAAATATACTAGCATTTTAGTAATGTTGAAAAATCGTATGGATTCGTCGTTTTCTAGCTTGTTTCCTCTTTCGAGTACGCCTTCCAAATCGTGAACCAGCACTGTGATAGCTATGCACAACAGTAATTAAATTTAGTATGCATCTATAGTGTTCAAAAAAAGCATTCAATATTTATATTGTGTATAGGGCACATTATATTGAGTGAAAAAGCTGATACTAGCAAACAAAAATGTTTATATCTCAGAAACGGTTGACCTTTGGACCTATGTTTACTAAAGTTTTTATACAAGAATATTATGTACAGGCAGATGAAATATAATATTTCTTACCTTTATGAATTCTAGAGAAACCTTGCATAACGATTGCTAACTCAATTTTATTTCCATGTAAAAGTATAGAGAAAAATGTATCAAAGTGTTTCAGGATAAAATTAATTCCATTTGCTTGGAGTGATTTTCTTGCTTCTACAAAAAGAAAATTAATATAGTGGTACGTATAAAATAATATATCATGCAGTAGGCTACTTTCTATGTATACTATGTACAGTTTTCTAAATATTGTGTATACATTTTATAGGGAGAGACGTCTAAAGATAGTGAATGACATTTATTACATACCATCGATGGCGTGTGAAAGCATCCGTACAGGAACGAGTTTTTCAACAGAAAATTGTCCACTCTTTCTTCTTTGCAACAGTTCATCCTTATTTACAGGAATAACAAAATCCTTTATCATTTTGGTTAAATTCTCTTCTGTAGCCCCAGGTTAATATCTCGTTCCTATATTTCAAAATTCAAATATCAATTACCTATAAATTCTTGAAACATATTTACAATAACGATAATATTTAAAATTAGAGGATATACAAACCATAAAAGCACTGAACTCAAACTGTACTTTTTCAAATCCATTGATACCAACGTAATAGCACGTAATAGTCGTAGTTGCATAGTTGGTACTTCGCATTTGTGCCTATTTTCATCGCATCATACGTTCAACGTTACAATTGGATGTGAACTTTACGCTATTTACATACGACAAAATTGCAAATTCCATTGCAATACATTTCTATATATAACAATGTAATATATATTTAATTTCTATTGTTATAAAAATATAATATTAAGATTAGAATTATAACACGTAAAATGATAGAATTAGATAGAGTCTACTTGATAAGAGAAATTTATACGTATTATTCAGAAATGGGCAAAACCCTAGGGTTCGAATAAATCTGAAGTTTGCCGATGTGTTTGTTTTCGTTTCTTTCTCTGGAAAGTGTTCAAAAGAGGAAACGAGACAAACATATCGGCAAACTTCAGATTTGTTCGAAACCTAGGGTTTTGCCCATCACTGATATTATTCTACTGTACTGACTGTACACCACAAATGTCATTTACAATTGGCTGTGAAAGTGAATATTTATTTTTGTGTGTCAACCTAATCGTGCTTAGTGTAATGCAGTGTAATCAAGTGTAATCAAGTGTAATCATCGCTCGCATTGATATTGTATCGAATAATAGTCGTGCATGGTTGTACATTATTTGTTACGGTTCCACGTAATTATAAACAAAGATATGTTTTGTTTGCATTAATTACTAATTATTATTAATATATACTTTGTTTAATGTGTAGTGGCACCATGATATTGTGAGTTTATGGATACAAAGTCTATCCTAAAATAAAGACACTTTAAATAAATAAAATATCATCTTCGGTAATACGAATATGGTAAGTTTAACAATGAGTCAAACTGGTGTAGCGATAATAATTGATGTATTACGTACTGATAAAATAGTAAAATAACTTAATAAAATGATGCACTTTTATTTCAAAATACATTTCTAGTACATTTATGACAGACAGGATTTTTTATTTAATTTTAAATGTATCTTTATATTAACGAGAATTTTATTAATTTAGGATGACGATGATCAATATCAAGCTGGCTATGATGTAGGATCGTTTCCTAAAGATTTTGGGTATGCACCTTTCGATGGCGAAACAGAAGGATCTATGGACCCTTTGGCGGGCGAACAAAAGCCTAGAATACTTTTAATGGGTCTTCGAAGGTACTCGCTTAAATTTTGAATATGTTATCGTTTTATCCATATTATCGCGTGAAATTAATATTAAAATTAATATTCATTCTAGGAGCGGAAAATCATCTATACAAAAAGTAGTTTTCCATAAGATGTCGCCAAACGAAACGTTATTTTTGGAAAGCACAAATAAGATTATTAAGGATGACATAAGTAACTCTAGTTTTGTTCAGTTTCAAATTTGGGACTTTCCAGGACAAATTGACTTCTTTGATCCTACTTTCGACAGCGACATGATATTTGGCGGTTGTGGAGCATTGGTTTTCGTTATTGATGCTCAAGATGATTATATGGAAGCGCTTAACAAACTTCATTTAACGGTTACAAAAGCATACAAGGTTAATCAAGCTATCAAATTTGAAGTGTTTATACATAAAGTTGACGGTCTATCCGACGATTGTAAAATGGAAACTCAAAGGGATATACATACCAGGGCGAACGATGACCTCGCGGACTCTGGTAAAGAAAAGACAAATTATTGGAAATTCTGAAATACTTTTATGTTATTCACAAAAAATGCGTAAATTTATATCTGTATTTTTTTAGGGTGTGATCAAATACATCTAAGTTTTCATCTGACATCCATATACGATCATAGCATATTTGAAGCATTTAGTAAAGTTGTTCAAAAATTGATACCGCAATTACCGACTCTAGAAAATTTACTCAACATACTTATATCTGTAAGAGAAACAAATATATTTGTTTTTTCTAACTTTATTTCTTTATACTATAAATTATAATTTTTTTTTCAGAATTCTGCGATCGAGAAAGCATTTTTATTTGATGTAGTATCGAAAATTTATATTGCAACTGATAGCTCTCCCGTAGATATGCAAAGTTACGAACTCTGTTGCGACATGATCGATGTCGTTATCGATGTATCTTGCATATATGGGTAAGCTGCATTAAAAATTCTTTATGCAAACATTATGTTACAATGTAATTAATTTTAGTTTAAGAGAAGATTTGGAAGCTGCAGCGTTCGATAGTCAAAGTTCCAGTCTAATTAAACTAAATAATGGAACGATTTTGTACTTGCGAGAAGTTAATAAATTTTTAGCTCTAGTCTGTATTTTACGAGAAGATAATTTCGACAGACAAGGTATGTATTTTAGAACAAATGTACAAAGAAATATAACGATAATATTATACTCGGTCTTTTCAACTTTCTCGTTTTTCTTTGCAGGTGTAATCGATTACAACTTTCTTTGCTTTCGTAAAGCCATACAACAAGTCTTTGAATTACGCAATAAGGCTTTAGCTTCTATAAATGTTAATAATCATTCGACGTCTCCCGTTAATGAAACTTCGAATGCACCTGCGGTGTCGCAAAGTGGAACCATGGGCCAAAATGGTACTGTTGTAATCGCGCAAAGTTAACCTCTACGTTAATGCTCAGAATTTTTATTTGAACCTTACAACAGAAAGTAAGTTTCTTTCATACATATTTTTTCACTCTTACGTTACATGTTGGTAATAATATCTCGCATAATCGTATTATTCGGGACTTAATTTCATACATATTTAGTTAACGCAAGATGTAATTACTTTATTATTTAATATAAATTTTTTAAATGAATCTAGAAACGTGAATGTATATATGTTATTACTATCTATTAAAATATGAATTAATAAAATTATTAAATAATTAATTTTTGTTGTAAACCGTTATGTCTTTCTTTAATTACATATTATATAAAAACGTGAAATATAATCGGTACTGATAAATATTTATTCGAAGTTCCGTATACGCAATATCATTCTTTAGTAACTTACCATTTCATCAAATTTCTTCGTGTCTTAGTTTCATTGAATTACGACTATTGCACCTCGGTGTTATCATCGTCTATATTATTATCACTGCTCATAATATCTTCGATTTCGCGATGTAAGATATATGGAGACAAATTAAACGTAACAATATTTTCTTCCAATTGATACCAACGTATGTATGAAAATGTTTGTTCGTATTCGCTTAAACTAATTTCATTGGGTAAAGAATACTCGGAATTTAAACTGAAAAATTCAAATTTATTACGTTTAACGAGTGTTCTACAGAAAATTTTGTCTTTGATCAAGGTAATATCGAAACTTATTACAAAAGTCATAATAACGTTTAATAAACTTATGTAACAGTTAGTTCTAAGGTTAAACTATACATTTCTTTACCTGCTTCTGTACCAATCCGTTTTATGTATCAATTTTGGAATAGGAACAGGCAAACCTGATGGAGGTAAATATTGGTATGCTACTTCAATTAGTAAACTGCGACTCAGGTTATCGAACGAACATGCTTCATTATTTATGTACACATTTCGCATATTAAATTGATATTGAAGCATTAAATCATCTGAAAGGAATTCATGGAAATTGGATAGGATTTTGGAATATAGGGAAACGAATGTTCAAATATTAGGATAGAAAGAATGTCGATGTTTATTCTACGATACAAATCCATTTACTTTAAATGTAAACAATATTAGACAGTGCAGTTTGCGAGAATTTTAACATAAAGGGGTGCGAAGCATTAGTAAGGACAACATTCTCCTTGTTAATGACTAGTTTCATATAACACGAATTTTGATCAATTTTGATTGTTACAAAGTTATTCCTTATAGATATGCCGTTTATTATTGCGTTTAAAAAATATAGTGTGAAACCTTATTAGTGTTAAGCACACGACATACTGCAGTTAAATGCTGAGCTTAAACCAGTCACTGTGAACAAACCAATTAAAAAAAAAATATGTTGAATTAATTATCATGCATTTGTGCATATAAATATATATATATTTGCCTCGATTAGTAGGAACTGTTAAAACTTAAAACGATGATGATAATTATTATTTTTATCTGATAATCTTATAATTTATTGTTCTCATAGTTTCGAAGAATTCTACTCAATTTGGGAGTATCAGATTGAAATATATTGTACAATGCTGTTAAGAGAGTTTCTGACTTACAGTAATTTGCATCCTTATTTTGTATAGCATTGTGCAATGTCATAGCGAGATACGTGTGATATTTAGCGTAACTGCTTTCTAATACATCTAACTCCTCGCTGGCAAACATCAAATTTTTATGATTCCATCGAGCTCGAATATGGCTACACATTTCAATTAGCTGAAATACAGATACCATTGTGTATTTGTGTACATTTCATAATAGTATTCAATATGCATACATACATTATTTACAGTCACCATTAGATCGTCGTACTCTGCTGTTAACAAACAGTGTTCGTGAACTTTTCGCAAATATTCGTTATGAACTGAAAATATTAGCAATTAGCAAAGTATTAGCAACAAAGATATCGTACATCTATATATGCGCGTCGATTTATTTCTTTATAAATTCATTTTACCTGATATGATTACGTCAAGGCTATCGGCTTGCATTAACGACTTCTCTAATACGAGACTTAAATTTTGCAGCACTTGGCCTGATAAATATGTATGTATCGAGCTAATTGCGTGTAATAAAGAAAATCGCAAACTTTCAATGCGTCTTATATGAAATTGTTCCAGTTTGTTTCTTTTACGCATTGACTTTGAACCTTCCAAATCTATAAGAAATATCATTATTTATAGTATGTTATCAAACATGATACATTGCAAGTTTTCTAATATTTCTTACCGCTGAATCTCAAATTGTTCAATGTCCATAAAGCCCATTTTAGCCTTAATTGAAACCTAAATATTTCATTATATTTTACGAAAGTTTTTTCGTTTAATATAATGTTAATAGGCCAACCTATTGCATAGTGTAACGTTATATTATCCACAGCCACTAATACTTGATTTGTATTAGTACTACAAACTGTAACAGACCAACGTGAACTTGAATCTGGCCAACATGGGGATAGAACTTCCTCGAGAATACACGATAAGAAGTAAGGATTGCACCACATTTGATTAGTTTCGATCTACATTGAAAAAAAAAATATATATATATATTTATGAAAAAAATATACGGCATACTATGCATAATATTTTATACTATACCTCGTGGAACAATTTCTGATAAAATGTACTCATTATGTGCCCTGCTTCCATCATGTAAACAGATCTCATCAATGTTAAATGTGACTCCAATTTATATTCTTCTGACATTATATTTTTGACTAACTTGCTGGCATTATTATACCGCGAAACTAAAATATCCGCTAAAATATTTTCTAATATTTTTCTATATGGCAAAATATAATTCGATACTTTCTCGAGTCTGAAAATTGATACTTTGTGTTTGAAGAAGAATATTTTTTCCAGAAGTTTCAAGTTCATAATGGAAGTACCTTTTAAATAAATTATTACTATTTACTTTAGTACTCTTAACGACAGAGCAGCAAGCATCGGAGATATCTTTTCCCAATAACTGAGGAGGAATGTAGCCTTCTAAAGCTTTCAATAGAAATGGATTATTAAATTCAGATAATTCTTGTACGATATTCTTTTCTACATCTTCGTCGTTTTTATCATCGATTATTTCATTCTCTTGGAATATCGGTAATTCTTCTTGTAGTTCGCCTGTACCGTATTTAGAAAGTTCAATTTCTAGTTTAGCGTAAAATTCATCCATCAGAGAGCTTCTTAATTCTGTAAAATGTGCTTTATTAAATACTTTTATTCGTCGTAACTACGATAACAAGCAAAGTTAAACTGAAAGTACCGCATACCGCTACTTCCGCTATTAATTTGCCATATATCTGTAATGCGATCTAAAGATACCAATAACTCGATACTCTGACCCATATGCTGCACTTTCTTGATTAAAAACTGCATTATCGGATCAGCCAAACATATATCGTCCAAAGATCTCAAAGAAAATACTTCGTACTGTTCATTGTTTTGCGAAACTACATCGTTCGAAAACCTGAAACGAAAAAGATAATCACGATCTACCATCATCTCATTTTATATTCAAATATATTTACTTGTAAATTATAAATTCCTCTCTCCAGTCTTCGAATCGTCCCTCGCTTAACCACGTATCAATTATATTCAAATAAACGGCAAGGCTAGATAAATATAGACTGGCGCAAATATTTGTTCTCTTTCGATTATGCGATTTCTGCATTTCAAAATACAAAGACGACAATAACTTTGATGCGCACATCCAATTCGAGTCATCTCTCCAATTAGATATAACTCCTTTATGAACATCATGCAGAATTTTCACGCTGCACAAATGTTTTTTCAGAAGTGTCGATAAAGATAGTAGCGTAAAACAGTCGTCTAAAAAGCAACAGTTTATTACTTTTAAAAAATGTATTCGCTTTAGAAAAACATTTTCTATACCTTGTTTCATGAGATTCTTTTCAATATCGATTATTTTATTCTTAAAATTGATTAAATGTTGTCCAAGCGCTGCGTTATACGCTTCATAAGTCAAAGGTGGTTTTTTAGAAAAACCATCCCGTTCCGAATATAGGTCGATTCCAAATTGTTCTATATCGTGTATCATAGAAAAATATTTGCAAAACGGTTGAAGAATGCCATTAAAAGCAACCTAAAATTTTCTAATAACATTATTCTCGAATTTCGGTTAATATTCGATATATACGTAAAACATACATTTTACTAAATTATATATTCGTACTCACAATAGTTAAGCTAGGTATGGATATATCAGGACGAATTGAAAAATCTGCTTCTTCGTTTTGTTGAAACACTACCATACGCGCTTGAATATAAAACATCCATAATAATTCCCTGCACGTTAAATATTCGCTAAGGGTGCCAAGCGAATAGAAACCTGTCTCGGTTGCTTTACGCCTATTCGATATTAGCATAATAATATTACTTACAATATAGAATGAACATTTTTTTTTTTTATATATATAAAAAGAAATGTATCTACCAGATTTCACAAAGATAAGCGTCGCAAAATTTACTCTTGACTGGATATTCCCACCGTTCCAATTCGTTCCACCACGTATTTTGAATGTTTAACATTAACCAGTTTCTAGATTTAAGTTCCTCATTTAAAGCTACGGATAATTTACTTAATTCTGCTTTAGCAGTTGGTATACACAGCGCTTTAGCCGTATTTGTATCGGTTGTAAGTGTTTGAAAATTTGTACTTAAGTTAGAAGAATCTTCTGTATCATCCGACCATTCCTATAAAAGATTATATAAAAAATCTTAGTACATCTGCGTAATCTGTAGAAATAAGAATACTTACGCTCTCTGTATCGCTTTTGTAATCATGGAAAAAATGTTGTTGGTCCTCTTTTAAATATTGGGCCCAATCAATTTCTTCTATAATTTCATTTTCATTTTCACCTGTTGCATTAAAAATATTTTCTCCCCGTGTTAACTTTAAACATTCCAAATCTGATTTACAAGTCTCTTTAGATAATTCCAACAAGAAAGTTAATAAATACCATTGTAAATCATATTGTGGATGCTGTTCAAAATCAAAACTCGATAAAAATGTATCTACAAGCTCTTCGAATTTTTTTGCTACATTATATTTTCCATGAATGGAAAACTTTGTGATCAGGTCATTGATAGCTTCTTTTGTGGTGTTACTGTTAACAGACAAATATCGATGGTGTTTAATGCTCATCGTACAAAATCGTTCGCAAACTCTGAATCCTTCTTCGTTTTCCTATAATTATACAAATTGTTAATGCAAATTATCAAAAGTACTGATCAATTACTGATCGATTAACTTAAAGTAAATATTACCTCAAACGAAGTCATTGTTGTTATTAATTGTTTTATATCTGTATGAATGTCGTTCAATGTTTTTGTACCCATGTTTGCTGAAAGCATGAGCAGAGGAAATTCGTTAAAACGTAAAATACAAATGATAAATTAAACAGAAACAGAAGATGAAAATTTGTCCTTAAAAATAGTAAAATTATTTAATATTCTAACCTTTTAATGAACTCCTCGTTTAACTTCGGAAATAAACTTTCAAAAGTACGCGACCTTGTTTTCTCCTCGTATATAATTTCGAACTTATAGATAACGATGTGGAAACGTACATTCTGTTATAATAAAAGCGACTCTAAATTCTCTGCGAGAAAGAATAAACCTGGACACGATAGCTTGTACGCGCATAATTTGTCATATAAGTTACTCGAGCACTATTTTAAATTAAATACTATAGTTTATACTTACACTGCTATTCATAATATTCAATAAACAAAAGTGACGATAACTAATTGATAAGATCAAGCTCTGAACTTTTTTTTTTTAGTCAATTAAAGAAAATTTGTTTATGGAATTAGAAAATGATTTATAAAGCAAGAATTCAGAATAAACTTTTAATTGACTGTTGAATTGAATAACAAAACAAAAAGTAACAATCATCGATCGATAAATTGTTACTAATTTAATAAACTATTCGATTTGTTTAATTAAATATACCTGAATACATCAATCTTAATCTTCGAAAAGCAATAATGTAAGTTGTATTAAACAATTTTAAGTAACTAATGAAGTTGTTAAGGAATTACATAAAATAAGAAGAATAATATGAAACATGTTTTTTTTTACATAAACTGTTTTGTTGCAAAATTTACTTGACAAAAACGTAAGATAGGATTACAATTAGTTAAGTATAAATGAGGAGATGATTGTTTTATGTATTGATAAATGTATAAACATACTGCATTGTTGTAATAATATACATTTTCCCTATAACCATGATGGAAGACTAAAATAACTCAATTAAATAATGAGATCATAAATAAACGTAAGGGATTCAGCAGTATGCATCGTAATTACCATAATATTTGGTCCCATTGTAGGGAGAACCAAAGTATGTTATGGAATGCACTTAACATCTTATATATTAGCTGTAATTATTTTGAGTTTACAACATTTTCATAAAAAAGTTTTAGTTTAAATACAATCAAAGGAGAAGTATATACTTCGTTCTTATTATAAAGTTTTACAACTTTGTACGATCTATTATTATTTAAAAAATGTACAAATAATCGCTTAAAAATATTTAGACACGTCCCTTGATATTTAGCTACATTCAGAGTTGCGAGTTATACACAATTCTATTGTAGCAAACAGATTCAATTTTGAAAAATTTACTTTAATGGAAGAATCGGTATCTACTTAATTTAATATACTTAAAATTCCTGAGGACAATTGTACGAATAACAAATTGACGATGCGTTTCAGCTGAAAGTAAAAAAAAAAAAAATATTTCCGATACTACTACGATGACGCTGTATTGTTATTGTACATTAATACGTAGTTATACAGTTATAAGTAGAAAATAATAATTTAATATAAAAATAAGTATCGAATTATTTTTAATAATGCATGTATATGATGCGCATACTTTTTTTTTATGGGAAAAGTTGGTTTTCGTAATTACAGCTCATCTTTCTCATCTAGATCTATATCGCTAAGATCGATTTCTTCTTCTTGCGGTGGTTCAGCATCCTTGCCATCCCATGGCGTTGTTTCAAGAATCTCGGGTAATTGAGCTCCCTTCAAAGGAGCTGTGCCTCCTCGTCCGTAACTCAAATCTCGTAAGAATTCGTTTATGCCATCGTAGGAAAAGCTTCCTTTTAATAATGAGTATTTCATTTTTTTAATATTTACAACTGCTAATGCAGGGTAACCAAAACCTCCGATTTCTAAGGCTTCTTCGATATGACGCTGTGCACCAGCTTCAGCCCAAACCCATCTATAAACCATACAAGAAATATAATCACTCGATAGACATTCCTTCTTATGTTGTTTGTTGATTTTTAGGACAATCTTCAGTATGCATACAAACAAACAAACATGAATTTTGAATAATAATATATCGTTGATATTTTGGGTTTACGCGGGTTTAGCGATCCCGAAATACCCACGCTGTAATAGGACCAGTGAGAAGATTGACCCAAAAATCAACGAATATCGAGTTTCACAATCTGAAATATGGATATATTCGTTAATTTACTAAACGATAACTAAAACCTGTACATACCCCCACATCTTCTGTTTATATTTCTCTCCAAGCTCGTTCAATGTTTTCAAGTACTGATTTCTACAATCTGATTGACAATCCAAGATATGTGGTAAAACGGATACAACGCATAAAGGCTTGTCTACGCATGCCTCTTTGAAACTCTTTTCACTTATAATTTGAGCTATTTCTGGCGCTGGAATATTTTCTGCCAGTTTTTCTAATGCCCAACTTACGATATCGTTACTCGTGCGACCACCGTCGTACTCTTGTACAGAATCAGATGATTTTTTGCCAGGTGCAAAGTATTTGATGGTGGGATATCCCTTTATTGCGTACTGGCTAGCCTGTAACATTACTATCTTGTTAAATACGTAACGATATAAATATAGCCATTTCAGATACAAACAATTTTGAAAGAAACCACTTACTTTAACTCTATTTACAGTAGCATCGATAGCACCTAATTTTACTTTTCCTTTAAGTTCCGTTGCCGCGGACGCCCAAATGGGAGCTAAGTTTTTACAATGCCCGCACCAGGGTGCGTAAAACTCGACTAGCCACAAATCATCCGAATTCATTACCACTTTATCGAAATTTTCATCCGTCAATTCGACAACATCTTTAGATTCTTTGAACTATAATCAAAATAGAGAGTTTCTTTTATTATGGATTAAATTCAAATGATTATCGAAAAAACTAGATTAAATCGCGATCTCGTTCTTCGATATATTTCAAGATCATCAAACATAGCGATAGCATTATCACACTTACTTTAGAATCTCCACTGCTCTTTTTTCCACCTAAAGCCCTTCGTGCTTTTTGACTAACCGCATTAAGAGCAGCGTCGACGATTCCACTTGCGCTTCTTGGTCCACTAAAATCATCCGGTTTACTACCGGCGCCAAAGATTTTAATCGTTGGGAAACCTTGAATTCCATATTTCGATCCAAGGGATTTATGCTCATCCGCGTTCACTGCACCAACCTTTACGATACCCTGTTCAAAATTCATGGTAGTAATAAAGAATTTACTTAAAAAAGTGGACAAGAATAATGTAATTACAATGTTACCTTTAAAGCTGTAGCAGCTTTATCGTATTCAGGTGTTAATTGTTGACAATGTCCACACCAAGGCGCGTAAAATTCCACGATCCAAACATTATCGCTATTCAATACTAGACTATCAAAATTGTTTGGTTTGAGATCTATGACATCTGAATTAGAGGAATACAAACAATGGGCTCCGCTAACTAATACCAAGATACCTAAATGAAACAAATAGAAAAGATATATTAAATTGCACACGAATAGCATTAGAAGAGAGTATTTGAATTTCTATAAAATCAAATAAACGTGTATATTTGACACAACGATTAAAACAAAAGGCTTTGTATGGTATACACCTGCTGGTCAAAATTTAATAATAATAAAAAGCCACGAAGCAATTGACTCATATCAACTTTGAAAACTTACCTAGTAAACCGTACATCTTTCCCGTTAAAGGAACGATAATTTTACAATTTAAAAAAAAAGAACCATTCGCTGAAAATCGTTTCTAAATATAATACTGAACGGAATCAATTTCTCGTAGTGCTCGATCGTTCTGGTTCTAAACTTCTAATGTACTGTTTCGTGCTTTCCCACTCTCATAGAACCACATATATAACTTTTCGTGGATCGTTTTGATTGGTTCTCGTAATCAACAGTCGTACACATAAATAAAGATTCTCTGTGGTAGATAGATAGGGAACTATATGGCACACCATATATAGACACTCGCAACAAAGTAAAAAAATTGAATTGTACTTGTATGTAGATTGTACTAAATTTCTGAGTTATGAAGTAATCAGGAACCTATATCCTGTAAGAATTATTAACGTATCTTTTCTGTGGGAAAATCTACCAATTTCATCAATTTCTAGAAAATTATATGGGTATACATTATTTTATCCAAAACTAAAAACAAATTATCTGATTATATTTCTTACTGATTTTCTTGACTATTTATTATTAAAGTAAGAAGCTTATGGGTTTTCCATGATTTTCCTCAATCTGCCACAACAACAATTTTGTCACTTTGTTGTAGATCATCGTATAATACCTGTGCAATATTTTATGAAATATTGAAATCAATCGCCAAACATTCCCGCTAGAGCAAATAGTAAATATTCAAAAATAATTAAGTACAGCATTACAAAATTAAACTTGGCGCCATTTGCGGTAGGTCATGGGATCTCAAGATGAATTTTCATTACGTGAAAAAAATTCTATAAACAAAACCACGTGATTTACGAACGAAGCTTATCGATCTGTTTTGTTAGGTTATGTTTGATTGTGTTTCTGTCTACATATATAGAAACATATAGTAGATTGCTATAACTTTGCGATTTTAAGTATAGTTTCGTTTGTATTACTTTAAATAATATCGTTATACATTTCCTTTTTGTTTTAAATTCTTTTATTACCGAGCTTTGATTATTACGTATACATAATATTTATAGGTTAAGTTACCGTCGTTTCGATTCTAACGAAAGCTATATGGTTATTTACAAAGATATCTTGTTGGATTTAGTATACATTAGGTTAAGTACATGCAATCGCAGGATTATGTGAAATTAATGTTTTGTTTGTATACCTCAGAGGTATACTGCAGCTTAGTAATCCAAAGGTACTTAGGGTATAAGTAAAAACAGAGTATCTAATTTTTATATTAATACAAAAAAACTATTGTACGTTTACTATTTATTTTACTTAAAATTATTTATATTATATAAATGTACAATAATACATATGGTGGCCACAAAAAATGTGTCGAACCTAGTAATATTCTAATGTTCATAATAGTCGGTTTCAATAATGTATCATTGTTTAATATACATCACTTTGATATATTGTTTTCACTTGTATAGAATTAAAAGAAATCGCAGAAAATTATGGGTCAGAATACATAGTTTACAACATTGTTTTCCTTTTTTTAAAAAATTTACAACTACCTATTATAACTTATTATTGGTATATCTAGTATTTCTTGATGTTTCTCATTACTCTTTACTAAACGTAAACTGTCACATAAAATGGGATTTTAAACATCGGAGGAATTCGTGTTCTAATACTCACTTGACTACGCGATACATGATTTACAAATATGTTATTTAAATGTATCGACTCAATTACTTTAGAAAATTAATATCGTATATATTCAATTCTTAATTACAGTAAATCGAAAACAGATATCCTAATTCGTTATACAAAATAAAAGAGACGCGAAAGTAACAGATATCATTCTTTGTGATTTAGATATTTAAATATTTGAATATAATACTTCCATGTAAATATTCTTAATAATTTAACGTTGAACATATACGATACAATCATTTTAAACATCATTGTAATTACACCCACCCACAGTGAAGAGTCTTTGGTTGTACATTTTCTCTCAGAGCAATAGACTCGTATGAAGCATCTTGTATTCATATGGATTAGTAGCACCATTTTTCACACAAGATGTAAACCTCTTATATTTACTTGATGGCAGCTCAATTTCTGGTTAACCAAGAAAAAGTTTTGAAAATTAAGTATGTTAATGTGAAAGCATATAAAATTTTCTCTTTTTGTTGACATTGTAACACATCCAGTTCAATAGCCATTACTCGACGTTGTAATTTCCCGACTTGCCGACGTAAATGTTGGATCTCTTCGCTAGGCGGAAGAGAAACATTGAGTGCGTTATATGATGGTGTTTCTTCTCTGAAACAAAAGAAATATCGTATGTAATTCCAAAAAAGTATGAGCAAAATCCTTCTACAGATCATGACTTTCAAATAACGAATAGAAGCTTATATTTTGAATATTATTCGAATCTATAGATATACGTATGAATATTAGTACCTAGTATGTCTAACTATTTGCATTTCTGTAGTGTATGGGCCGTTAGGTCTAGTCATCGAATCCTTAGTTTCTGTCGAGTATAAATCTGGTTCTTCTTCATCGACTGCAGGAAAATAGTGATTATCCAAAGTCAAGATTCGTGGAGGTGTCTACCAATAACAAAAAAGTATTACATATTATTTTAACTCATATGCATATGTACATCAACTATTATTTACCTGTACTCTAATCATGCCTGGCTCAGGTGGTAATACAGCATTTTCTAATGTAATTTCTCTTGGAGGTGCCTTTGTTCCAACATGTTGTTCTTGTCCTACATACATTTAGTAAAATTCTTACTTAATATATTCACAACTGCTCGAGCAAAGCATTTAAATCGAAGTCTCAGAATATACAGTACCTTTATTATATAAATATATGCACAAGTCGTATAATTACCAACAACTAAAATTCTGTCTGGAACATGCATCTCAAATTTTTCTGCCACTTGATTCCAGCTAGAGGCACTCGTCCTAGTTACATCCTCATCTGTATAGTCGCCACACACACGGATACTTTTGGGCACGTGCATTCTTTTATTAACGTCCAAAGTAAAATTTGGGTCATAAAAATTATCAGCCTCTCCATTAAAAACAGTAGGACTATGTGTTTTTGACATTGTAACTAAAAATTAAGAGAAAAACAAAGTGAAACTTAAAATTCTGTTTATGGTAAATCCATTGGTATATGTATTTGATATACATACAAGAAATAGCTGTACAATATAATATAAAATATGATTAATTTGTGCTTCTATCTTCTAAAATAAACATAAACTATTTAAAATAATACAGTTTACTATTTATTAAATACGACGAATTTACATATTACAAAACGAGACGAAAGTTTACATACATTTTGTATCGTTGTTGGTTATCAACAAACAAAACAGATTTATAAATGGTACAACAAAGGATGAAATCGTGCTCGATGATTTTCCAATACAGTTACAGTGGAAGAGTATAATGACGACACAAAAAGATATTCAGATTGATCCATGCGTTACGAAAAAACAAAGTGGAGGAAATTCAAATTCAAATTATATTCGTAAATAACACTTCGTCTAATATTTACGACAGTAAGTGTATATATGTTTGCAACAATGTAAGTTTTTTTCAAAACCTGGAGGAATTATCCATCGCATACCTTTTAGATCGTTGAACACAAATTCGTCGAATGAAGTTGGCAACGTGTGTGCTCGTGCCTGTGCTGAAGTCGGTCTCAATCCTGTCGATAGTTATCGATATTTGGAAATACATCGATTTCGATAGAGCTCCCGCCAAAATTACTAAACTTTATCTGCCATTGAAACCTGAAACCACTGAATTTCTCTTCTTCGTTCTCTGCGAATATATACAACTTTACTTTTAAGAGTGTTATTTATAATATTGTACAGAAAATATGAGCAACGTAGAATGTGAGTATTTCTGACAATAATTTATCTGCATTGCTTGAAATATTCTCTAAACCATCTGTTTATTGTTTATCATGCTTGTTGCTATAATATTACAATAATTATAGTAATTATAGTTATATATATAATAATAGTAGTCTAGGGAATGCGATCCAAATATCGAAATGTAGTTTTCTTAGTCTAACAAAAATGTACAAAATGTTTTTATGTGTTTGTAAATACTTATAGTGTATTATTAATAAAAATTGTTCAGCATCCTCAACGGGTAGAGCTAAGCGACAAACAACTGATAAAACTGGAAGACTGTCAGCCTTAGAAAAATTGAGACAGTTAAAAGGTAGTAAACACAAATACGAGGTTGATGAACTGGAAAACGTTTATGAAGAAGTAGATGAAAAAGAATACTCTCGCACAGTAATAAAAAGGCAACACGATAACTGGATCATCGATGATGGTAACAACTATAATTAATAAGTGTAGTTAACGTTATAAAGATTTTAAATGTCTTTGATGCAAACGATTTATTTTGCTCAATAGGAGAAAGCGGTTACGTGGAAGATGGGAGGGAAATTTTTGATGATGATTTGGATGATGAAAGTATACAAGAAGCGAGAAAGCAGAAGATGGTTGGACCAAGGAAGAGTAAAAAAGATAGCGTTAAAAAGAGAGGAACTATTCAAAATATGATAATGAATATGCCTACAAAGAAGAAAGCTGATGTTGGACAGAACGATGATGATATTTTAAAAGACTTGATGTCCGACTTGAAGAAGAGCGCGACACCGAAAAAACCTGAATCAAGAACTCCTAGAAACAAATTTTCGCTGGCTTCTCATGCAAATAACACGTGAGCAATCATTTTTTATACGCGATAAGCTTTTGAATATTAAATATTTGTAATGAATTGTTATTATAACGATTACAGAAGCACTTGTACAGAAAAAAGTATGCAATCTTTCCCTGAACATAAAAGAGTACAAAATGACACGGATGTTGACGATTTAAGAATATTTGACTGTCCAAAGAAGCAACATGAAAATTCACAAACTGACTCAACTTGTCAATTAAAGAATATTAATTTAGATCAAAGTACCAGTCAGAACATTATAGATGATGAAGTTACAGATCAATTGAAAACTATAGCACCAGATGTACATGCAAATAAAGATGTTAAGGAAAAAAGCAGCAGTCAAATAATTCAAGATGACAGTGAAGATCTTAGTCAATTTGTTGGCGACGTAAGCTTTTTTCTTTGCCTTGTTACATATTTTAAAATAAATTACCAATACTACAATCGTTACGCCTGTTACAGTTCTGTAATGCAGATTTCGAAAATGAAAATATAAATTACGTTGAAAAATCAGTGCCATCCGTCGATAAGGGAAACAAATATTATAAACCACTTATTCAAACAAAAAATAAGGACATTGAAAACGAAATGCTTGAATCTGAAATCTTTAATAAAATATTGGATACAGAATTTACAATGCAGACATCAGATATCGAAGTATCCGTAGACGCTACAGAGTTACCTTTACCGCTTATAACTAATGGGAACAAAGAAGAAGTATTTAGATTCTATTGGTGGGACGCATACGAAGATCCTTTTAAACAACCCGGAGTTGTATATCTATTTGGAAAAGTTTTTGTTCCATCTATAAAAGCATATTGTTCTTGTTGTTTAACAGTAAAAAATATTCCGCGAAGAATTTATCTTCTTCCTAGAGTACACGTATGTATAAGTACATATTTATAAACAGATTTCTCTTACAAATTTCAAGTTTATTAAAGTAACGATAATCTTCGTAAATTTTAGATAAAAACATCTTCTAAGGAAAGCGACGAAGAACCAAAATTAAATACAATGGAAGATGTATATAAAGAATTTAATGAGTTTGCAAACAAATCGGGAATAAAAGAATTTCGTTGTAGTACAGTTACGAAACATTATGCTTTCGAACAAGAGGGTACACCAGCACAGTCCGAGTACTTGGAAGTTAGATATTCTGCGCATTACCCAGCTATGGCTCCTGATTATACCGGACCATCGGTTGAGCGTGTTTTTGGAACGACAGTAAATTCTTTAGAACTGCTACTGATAGAAAGAAATATCAAAGGTCCTTGTTGGCTAGATATTAAATGCCCACTGCCAACTGGCGTACAGACTAGTTGGTCCAAAATAAAAGTATAATAATTTAATTTATCGATAGAATTTATTTTCGCAAGAGAAATATTAAAAATTGACAAGTCGTATTATCAAACAGGTAAATTGCATGAAAATGGAGAACATATCTGTTTCTTCTGAATTTGAGTCGTTGCCACCGTTAGTGATAACAACGCTGAATGTACGGACATCTTTAAACTCTAAATCACAACAAAACGAAGTAATCATGATCGCAATACTTACACATTACAAATATCACGTTGATAAAGAACCGCCTAAACCAGCATTTCAACAACATCTTTGCTGTATGTTGGTTTATTTAATTTAATACGTAATATTTATTTTCAGTATACGATATATTGGATGATTCTAGAAATCTAATGACTATGATCTAATGTTAGCGATGCACTGAAAATTATATTGTTCCATGTAGTGATCACTCATCCGCGCGACACCCCTTGGCCGCGACAAGCACGAGAAACGCTCTCAAATATTTCATATACGAAAGTAATGAAATTCGAAACCGAAATGGATTTACTTGAAGAATTTTTAACGATAATGAACACAACAGATCCTGACTTATTAATCGGATACGATTGTGGCTTTCAGTTTGATATATTAATGCACAGAATATTCACTTTAAAGGTTTCGAATTGGAGTAGATTTGGAAGACTGAAGCGTACCGCGCCTCCTCTTTTTAAGGTATAGAACGTGCCGTGTTACATTTTTCTATATATTTATGACAAATGTATAAAGAAATCTATTTCAGGGAAAGATAAATTTGAACCAAGTGTTAGCTGGTCGTCCTATGTGCGATATACAAGTGTCAGCTAAAGAATTGAATCTGAAAGTCAGAAGTTACGACTTGCAGTCTCTCTGTACAGCGGTAAATATTTTACGAATATTTACGCGACATATAAATATTCGCAAATATTTAGTAGAAAAGAAATTAAATTGTAATCGCTGCCATAGGTATTGAAGAAAAAGGAAAGCGAATGTAAAGAGATAAAACCTGGGGAAAGCTCGTCGTTTTATAGCACAACAGATAAAATAGATAATTTAATTAAAATAACATTAACGGAAGCATTATATATTTTATCCATTGTATTCGAGCTGAATGTTGTGCCACTCGCGCTACAAATTACATGCATCGCTGGTAAGAAGTATATTCGTACATGGTTGAGGTAGTAAGATGTTATACAAAGCAAATATTTTCTTTTTTTTTAAATATGATATTTATCTTACTGTATATAGGGAATGTTATATCGAGAACGCTAACAGCAGGACGCGCAGAGAGGAACGAATACTTATTATTGCATGCTTTCCATTTGAAACATTATATAACGCCAGATAAACGAATTACACAAAAGGGGAAAAATGCTGAGAAGAAAGGTAAGATTTGTAGCATCTTAAACTTTGTATTATTTGTAAGCGATTAACGGTGTGTTACGATTAGAAAATACTGGAAGAAAGAAGGCAGCTTACGCTGGTGGTCTAGTTTTGGAGCCAAAAAAGGGATTTTACGACAAACTTATTTTATTGATGGATTTTAACTCTTTGTATCCTAGTATAATTCAAGAGTACAATTTATGTTTCACGACCGTACCCGGCGCTGCATACGTTGACAGCGAGGTGAATATATTTATTAATCATCGATTAAACGTATTCTGTTTTTATTTACGAATGTACGCATACAGGATTTGTCATTGCCCGAGTCGAACTTAGAGCCTGGAGTAATTCCAACGGAAATTCGTAAATTGGTCGAAAGCAGAGTAGAAGTGAAAAAATTAATGAAATCTCCAAATATTTCACCTGAATTGAAAATGCAATATAATATTAGGCAATTGGCTTTGAAACTTACAGCTAATTCTATGTATGGTTGCTTAGGTGCAACTCACTGTAGATTTTATGCCAAAGGACTTGCTGCCCTGGTTACAGGTATAACATGAAATAAAAGTGTACGACCATTGTAACGAATACATACATGCATGTATATATACTAAATATTCTTGCAGCGAAAGGTAGAGAAATTTTGCAAAATACAAAAAGTCTCGTTGAAAAATTGAATTACGAAGTCATATACGGAGACACCGACTCTATTATGATCAATACGAATTTATTAGAGTACGAGGAAGTTTTCTCTGTTGGCAAAAAGGTAAATAATAAACTGTCAATTTAAAAAGGGGTTTGTTTATTTTGCATCCGTACGGTGACGTTAAAATGTGAAATTGCTTTTTAGATCAAACAAGAGGTGAACAAATTATATAAACGAGTGGAATTAGATATCGATGGTGTCTTCCGCTATTTACTACTTTTACAGAAGAAAAAATATGCCGCAGTAACGATGACAAAATTACCTAACGGGCAGATAGAATTAACGCAAGAACATAAGGGTTTAGATATCGTGAGAAGGGATTGGTGTCAGTTAGCTTGCGATATTGGAAGGTAAGTAAATTATACGTGCTTTTAAATTAATTTGAATGTTGATAACATCTGTAAATGTTATTAATCATTTTTAGAAAAATTTTGGATCAACTTCTTTCCGATCAGTCGAACGAAAACCGATTAGAACAAATTTTCAATATATTACAAAACGTCGCGAAAAGCGTTCGAGAAAATCAAGCTTCTTTGTCGTCGTTGGTTATTACAAAACAATTATCGAAAAATCCAAATGAATATCCAGATACTAAACAAGCCCACGTGCAAGTAGCGTTAAGATTAAACAAAGAAGGTGGTAGAATGTGGAAAGCTGGAGATACTGTTCCGTACATTATATGCGACGTTTGTATTTCTTCGTTACCGTTAGAATTGCCCTTGCGGTTTTTATTCGATGGTTTTATTAAATATATAGATCTCATTATGCGTTAGGATGGGACACAGAAATCTGCAACTGAGCGAGCATATCACATCGACGAATACAAAAAGAGCGATTCTTTAAAAATAGATGTTAGCTACTATTTACTGAGTCAAGTTTTCCCTATCGCTTTACGAATCTGCGAACCAATCGAAGGGATCGATGACGTTCTACTGGCCGAAAATTTAGGTAAAATTATAGTTTACGTTAATCAGAATATTTTACATAAGTTCTCGAATGTATACTATGGATTAGAATCTTCTAATAGGTTTGGAAAATGTGTATAAATCTAAGAGATTGATACACGAAGAAGAGAACAACGATATCCCACTGTTAGTGAACGACGATAGATTTAGATATTGTCTTCCCCTGAAATTTAATTGTACAGATGAGAAATGCCAATCTGAGATTATACTCAAAGATGTTGTCATCGAAACAGTGAGTGATCATAGAAACACGTTTTTCTTTTTACAGATTTTTATCGTTTGTATTTTTGACTATTTCAAAAACAAAATATATTACTTTTTTTACAGCAAATTGGTAAACAATTATCGTTAGCTGCATGTTCAAATCCAGATTGTACAGTAAAACCGTGGATGTACGCTAATGTTATACAGAACGCAATGCTACTCGCTGTGCGAGAATCAGTTACCGAATATTACGGTGGTTGGTTAGAGTGCGAAAATCCATTGTGCGCCGAAAGGACACAAACACTTCCGCTAGGTTTTCATAGAAAATATCCAACGTGCAGGAAATGTAGAGACGCTGATTTACACAGAGTAGTAAGTTATACAATTTAGCATTGTTCTTAAGTTTTCGAAGCTGTGTCAAAAAATTACAATACTATATTACAGTTTTCAGAAACGAAGCTTTACAATCAGATGTGCTTTTACCTTCATCTTTTCGATGTGAGTCAGTCAAATTATAAAAGTATGTATTTGGATTTTTCCGAATAAAAAAAAAGAATGAAAGAGCGAGGAAAAACTGATTTACGATTGATTTACTTTCAGATCTGTTATCTCAGTATCCGCAAAGTATGAGAACAGCGTATGATTCTTTAAAAGAAGCAATGGAAAAGATATTGAGGCGCAATGCGTTTTCCGTTGTGTGTTTGGATTCCATATTTTCGAGTATTAATTCGCAACATAAATCGTCAGGTTTAAATAATGGTACTCTAGATATATCGGACGCATCAGACGACGAAGTAGTAAGTTTTACGCGTTCTATAAAATCATTGTTAATTTCATTAATCATAAGTTACAATTTGTCGTCTTTTATTTCAGATTTGAAAGTTTTAACATTTTACCGGATGATCAGAATGGATGAAACTAATTCCTATAAACGCGTCTTATCGATCTAATTTTATATTTATTTTTTATATCGATATCGTTTTATCTATTCGTTAATTATTTACCAAAATTGAAATACTAATTATTACAAAAAATATATTTTGATGGGATTACAGGATATTTAGATACAAAAATAAGACGATATGTTTATGATGTTATTACTTATACGATACATAGGTTTTAGAAATGTATCGTAACCTGTAAATGAAAAAAAGAAAATACGGTTTACGTAATGGTTTTAAAGACATTTTATTTGAACTGTTTTACAAGCCATAAGGAACATTTAAGTTTACTTTATTTTTGTATATTTCTAGTAAAAATAAATAATGTAACAAGATAAATTCACAATTTATATTTTTAACAAATATATACTTCATCAGTTTCCTTTTTCCTTTATAAATGTTAATGCTTTAATGTTAATCTAACTGTTGGAACATTGAACTATTACTTTTTTTATGAACTATATATTTGTCAGACATATACATCTCACATGTTACGTACTATATGATGGCAAACCAAACATTTCAGGCTTAAATTCCTCAAGGCTATTTATTACCAATGTTGGATTTTCAATATAACGTTTTGGTAATTGTGGATCCGGAACCATGACAACCTGCATTCCAGCGCTAAGAGCAGCTTTTACTCCATTTGGAGCATCCTCGAACACAAGACACTAAACAAGCATAAGCGTAATACTTGGATTAAAAATACTCGTACGACTACGTTACGTACATGAACTATACAACGAACCTTTGAGGGATTAGGATTATCGGGAAAACGCTTTGCGGCAATCAAAAAAATATCTGGTGCTGGTTTACCGTGAACAACATCAGGATCAGAACCGCCGAGTACTTTATGGTTAAATAAATTAAATACCTCTGTCCATCTTTGAGTTTTCAATTCAAAATTTTCTTTACTCGAACTCGTAGCTAATGCAAATGGAATATTGTTTTGTTTCAGATGCGTTAGCAGCCGTTCCGCACCTATTCGTATATAATGGATTATACAGTAAACATAAAAATACTCTTTCGCGAAAATAATTTTGTTGTTCTCGTATTTTGGTAAATTTAAATAAACTTGGATCTATTACCCGGCATTAGGTTTGCAGATGGAAATATTTCTTCGTATATTTTAATTATCTCGCTTTGAAATTCGTCTACCGTTAGAGGTAAGGACAACATTTCAACTACAGCTTCTGCGACTGCTGTAGTTTTGAAACCCATAGTTTGTGCTTTATGCTCCCATGTAAATTCTTTTCCATAGCGATTTGTTATGCGATTAAACGCATCCGAGTAAAGCTTTTCTGTATCTATCGAGATTTTGATAAAAGATTATTTTACACAACTAATATAACACATAGAATTTATTTAATTCATTAACTTTAACTAAAATGTATAATTTATGTTTATTTGTAGAAACTGTGTTGAAGGTAGCTTTTAAAAATGATAACAATTTAAAATTTTTCATTGAAAATTATAAGTTAATCTAATGCATGTATGCAAGGCATGTATGTAGAAAATTCTAACACAGCTTCCTCAAAGAAATAGGAAGAAAGCACATACAAACTCACGCATGATGAGTGCTTTTTTAACCTTTTCATTGATAGTAGAATCCGCTCATATAGATGCATGGAGTATTTTAATTTATATTCCTCATATTTCATAATAATTGCCATTGAGACTTTATTCATTACTACACGTGCATAGACAAAACAAAATTACTATATTCGCATAAATAAACATAAACTTATCTAAGGGTTAATTGGAAGTATACATCACGGAAGAACGTTACTTTTGTAATATATAAAATACACAATTAACAATAATTCCTTCCTAATTGTTGCGTTAAAGTTGGTTAATTTATCATTTATAACCGAATTTCTACATTTATTTAATACATGCGAATACTATAGTATTTTATAAAGCAAAGATTAAATGAAATTCCTTACCAAGCAATAATCCATCCATATCAAAAATACAATGCGTAACATTGTTAAATTGATTCTTAGACATTTTTTTAGGTATAAATAATATTTCCGTGATAACAAGCACCTCAAATCAACTGATAATGTCGCTTGATATTGTCATACTGAATTATGGCGCCAATTACGCAACGTTACGATAAAGCGAGTATCGGTCATTTCATTGACATTCAGGCTTACATGTATATTAATTTTTTTTATTCATGAGTAGGAAAGTTACTTACATTATGGAAATATAAAATATAAATTATCTATCTTTATAATGTAGCATTTTTACAAAATGTTTAAAAAGGGTTACAGATCATCATAATCCTGAAATAAGAATTTTTTAATTTTATGAAATAAAAAAATTGATTGTATTTATTTTACGACATTTGAATGTATAGGAATCGAAGGCGTGTGATTGTTTTCTTCTGTATTGTTGGCACCATGAAGTGTTGGCGAGCTTGAAGTTATGAATATTTCGTTGAAATATTGCGCCGCAAGTGGACGAAATATTCATAACTTCAAGTTCGGAATTTTGATAACAGTTTTCTAGTAACTTTCTTAGGGAGTTGGATCTCCTTATACTTAGTATACTATAACCTAGTATAGTATAGAATAGTATAGTAGAGATTAGTATAGTATAGTATAACCTAGATACCTAGATCAAGCTTCCGGGTTCCGTATATGCCTTGAATCTGCTTTAGTGCTTTCTCGCGTGATGTAAACGGACTTTCGAAAGTAGTGATACCAAATTTGCTATCAAATCCTGGGTTCACCTTAGCAACAGAAACAAATAGGAATAAAAACATAACAGGATTTATTATTAGGAGATCCAACTTGATTCTACTATTTAAAACGCATGTATGGAGCATTCTGTAAAGAATTCGTTATTTTTACTGGAATGTGCCAATTAAGGGTGCGCAGGAGACCCAGCAAAACTCCGAGTTGACTTCAGCGACAGTTGCGGGGAAAGTAGGAAGCTCTGGGACAAGGATAGATAGATTCTTGTCTCTCTAATGATGCTGTGACAGAGAGGGAGATACATCAATCGGAGGAGAGACAAAGACAGAATGATGTCAAACGTTTGCAATTTTTCAAACAGTTATTATAATTTTATGAGGCGAGGAAGCGACCTTTCCGGCTGATTTTTTTTTTTAAACTGTTCCTTATAAAATACCGTTGCGGGGGACAGTTACACATTTTGCAATTTCGCTTTTGAAACTTGCTAAAAATACATTCAAAGACAAGAAATTTTTTTTTTTTCAATTTTTTCCAAAAAACGCTTGACGAGACGATAGATTTACTTCCCCTGATTACGAAATGCATAATTATTATATGTTTTTTTCATTATTGTGCCTGAAAAACGGGAAAAACTATCTAGTAGTTCACCTACTTTCCGTTGGTGGCGTCAGTTTGTAAAGGTGGCAACCCTATACATATCGCTTTTTATTTTTATTGAATATTTTGTGGGAAATACCAGTTTTATATATACATAGGAAACTTCCTCTAAGAATGCATTTATGCGACTTGTTACTGCAAGGGAGCACTTGAATTGTACGTTGTATTTGAACATTTAAGTCGTATTACGTTACATGTTGTGATTCTAAGATGATCCATGAATCATTTTTTTAGGATTTAAGAGTCCCGTTAGAAGTTAGTAACTATAAATGTGATGGCAGTTTGAGTTTAATCTCAGAAGACAATGTGACAAATAAATATATTTTTACCGTTGTTAAATTTATTTTGTTGCTTTCTATTTGATAATAGAGTCTTTCGTGTAACAAAGTTCATCGAATCGTTATAAAGGCCTTATTTTACGAATCCAAGTATACACTGGTCATCATGAATTCTTCCAAGATTCAGAAGGTAATTATTTTGATTTCTTTTCAGGCGATTATTACAAATTATGCTTATGTATTTTAATATAATTTAGATGATAAAGCTTGCTACACAATATCAACAAAATTGTTACGAATATCTTCCCGATTGGTTGCAATACAATTATAATGAAGAGAAATATATAATGCAAAATATTCAATTTGCACTTTGTGGCCCTCCTATAAATGCAGAAGGCAACGAACTAGTTAATAAAAAAGATATCGATAAGAAAACATATGAAAGTGTTACTGCAGTATATAAGCAGATAATAGAATATGGCAGAGAAGATAATAATAATCCCATTTATGTTGGAATAATATATAATGTAATATTCCCTGACGAATTGAAGAGCAACAATAACGAATCTACAGAAATGATCGATGAAATATGGGCTGTACCAGTGTTTAAAATAAAAAGAAAAATGAATACTATATGGTATATTGACAATAGTGGTAGAATATATCAAAGCTGGAATGATTACTTAAGTAATAATACATTACCCAAGACTGTTATGATTGTACCAAAAAATGGTTTTTATCAGCATGATCCACAGTATAAAATCACAAAACAATCTTCAGTCGTATGGACTGAAATGTTACAATCACCCGCTTGTTCAATTAAAACTAAATTTCTTAAAGTTATTGATACTGCTACTAGCGCGTTAAGTCTTACCACAGCTGCCACACTAGGGGTTACATCTTTGGTCACCCCTGTTGGACCTGTATTAGCAGGTGCAGGTACGTTTTCTTTCTTCTTTGTTTTATTTATACGTGCATATGACACTTAAGATTTTATATTGTGAGATCACATTTTAATTATCAGGCCTAATCACTTGTGGTGTAAATGGACTATGGACCATCGGTCGAAGTTCTCAACAGTTAGTCGATCGCCATTTACACAAAGAATCCATCAGCCCCATAAATAAAAATGCATTACCTGCGTGGCTTGGTCTAACTGGCACAGCTTTAGCATTAGGAGCAAATAGCGGGGCCATGTTTCTGTCGAAAGCTATCGAAAAAGGTAATCATATAAGCAATGTAACTAAAGTGGTATATAATTCAGTGGTAATAAGTAATTTGACGGTTAATGGGATAGGTATAGCTTATCAAGGCTATTCATTAATTGACAAATATCGCGAGAAAAAAGAGGTTGATCTTTATGACGTGATGATGTTTAGTTCTCACGTTTTATTCTTCAGCAATACAGTAATAAATTCCAAATTATCTGGTGAACTCATAGGATCGTCTAATGGTACCATTCTTGAGAGATGTAAAAACGCTTTGCGTTTCAAACGCTTCCGTGAAGAATTTAATAAAATGATGGGATCAAGCGAATCTAATGATATAATATGTCCAGTCGTGACCGTTACTAATATAGTAGATTTTCGAAACATTTTCAAAGATTTAATAATCTTCAAAAATGGTAAAATCGTGGTAGGCGGTGTAGAATTAGTAGATCCTATTCAGCTCGCTGAACATTTGTTGAAAGTAGGCAAGATAGGACTCGATTTGGTACAATCTAATCCAAGGGTATATCAAAAAACATTGCTAGAGCTGAAAAATTTGTTGTCGCGTCTATTAAACAATTTCTATTCCGATGAACAGACAACGTCAACGCAACCTACTCCAAACGCAAAATCAAATAATGTAGATTCCTTTAACGATATACTCGCAGACGTAAAGACTGTGAACAATCCAACGAATATATTGAAAAGAGTTTTTAATATTGCTTTAGTTGTATTACGATATTGTAACGATCCAAAAATGTTTTTGTGTGATGCTGTTCACTTTGTGTGGGAATATTGTAAGGCAAATCTGAAAGGGTTTCGTATAAACGCGTGTTCAACTTTGAGAACTAACGTCTCCAACAATGCATTAGCTGAGATTGTTGAATTTATATTCGACGTTATAGATGTCCTAAGTTATGAACTGTATTTAGCTTTTTATTCATACGTATCAAAGAAAGAAATATGCATGTAAGTAGCCTTTAATATCGTGTTTTATAGAACAGATATTACTACATGAGGTTGAATAGAAGTAAAATATTTGTTACACTGTCGAAGTGCCTTAAAAGAAACTATGAACAATTGTAATTATCACATTTGGAATTAAGACGAGACTTTATATCGCGGTTCCCAAAATGTACTATTATTAATTTACAAATGAATGCGCTAAATAGTTTTTCATTTTCTGGTAAACTATGCAAACTAAATTTTCATCGTTTTGCTGCTTGAATCATCGTGTGTTTATACTTCTACTGCGAATGCTTTGGACATTATTAAAAATTAAATACAAGGAATAATAAATAAAAAAAAATGTTTTTGCCGCCTAAAACATCCTTGTTCTTCTAGAAATTAAGTACTGAATGATATTAATTCATATTACATTTAAGATATATCGTGTTCTTTTATAAAAATATAACATCTCAGAAATTGTATAAAAAGTGTACAGATATTTAAATTTGTTTGTGATAAGTGAAATGTAAGTTAACGAGGACACATAGCGTGTCTTCCTCCGTCGACAGGTAAAGTTTCACCTGTAATAAAACTAGCATCGTCGCTTGCCAGAAATGCAATTGCCTTCGCGACTTCTGTAACATCTCCTGGTCTGCCGAGCGCATGAGTTTCTTTACTGTGCTCGAAAAATTTCTTCAATTGCTCGTCCGTCATACCGCTATTCTTATGAAGATTTGTAACTGTAACACCAGGATTTACAGCGTTTACTCGAACCTAGTAAACGAAAAACAAGAATTATATTTCCTCAAAGACTAGTAATGGATTTAATAAATTTCAAAAATGTTTTTATGATTTTTATGTAGAGTGCATACTTGTTTTGGCGCAAGCTCGAGGGCAACGCATTTTGTAAATTGATCGATAGCTGATTTACTCATACAATATGACAGAACACCTGGAAACGCTCTTATTCCGCAAACGCTTGACACGTTTACAATATTACCTTTAGTCTTCACTATATGTGGAACAGCCAACATTGTTAAATTGTATATGGAACGTACGTTTACATTGAATACCCTGCAGTATTTATAATTCTTTTACCTAATTCTTTGTAAATGTAACGTTTAGAATAACAAATTTATACCTATCATATTGGTCTAATGAAGTATTTTCTATACTTCCACTTTCCAATACACCGGCATTATTAACCAAAACATCTAATCTACCATAGTGTTTAATGGTGGATTCAATGATATTTTTAACATCGGTTTCATTAGTTATTTCTCCAGTTACAATAAACGGTTTGTTAGGTTTACATTTTTCAGCAACTGCATTTAAATTCTCCAAATTACGACCTGTTAACAATAACGACGCCCCAAGTTGGGCAAAATGAACAGCTGTTGCAGCACCGATACCAGAGCTAGCTCCTGTTATTAACACAACTTTTCCAGCAAATGCCATCTGAAATAAAAATATAATGAATAATTAAAATAGTCTGCTATTAACACAATTCTAACAAATATGTAAAATGTGTTTTTTTCTTTTAACAAAAAAGATTAGAAATATTCGTAACATTTGTGAATTAATATTTGGGACGTAACAAAAGTAACATCATCATAATAAATGATTAAATATTCTCAATGCGGAAATAATTACCGTGACGCGGAAATCGACCTTGTAACAATATACTAAAATATTATATTTCAATGTATTCTTAGTTACAATATCTGCACTTACTTTGTATCGCGTTCAATTTATTACGTAACGCTGATTTTGTTTATTAAAACGGATTATCGTTTTCCAGTTGAAATTACGCAACGAATCAAATTACGTACATTCCCTTTTTGGTAAGCGCTTTTATTATCGCGAAATTACTATAGACACAACCGACTCTTATCGGTGTGGTGTAGAATGATTATATACAATGATGCAAATTTGAATTTTGTTCGTTGGGCGCACAGTAAGTCGCGCAGGTAGTAACAAGGATTTGAAACATAAAAGAAATAATGAACAATTTTTTTATGCTTTTTATTTAAGATACATATAATACTTAGATTCTAAACTTATGTTATGGTCGCTTTGGTTTTTCGCTGCTAAGTGTCGCTATCAATTTGTTTACAACTACGTTGTAAAACATAAGAGTTAACAAACATTTTCTCAGCTAAATTCTAATTATCGCAATGCATAATTAAATGTTTATTATACAATGTTATTGTCGGCAATTGTCGATGTCGATGTGTCGGGTGCTCCTTCCACTTGCACATGCGCGTTGTCTGTAGCGCCAGTAAAATATCTAATGCGACCATAATATATGTAATTATATGCTTAAAGGATTAAATAGATAATAGAAAAAAAAAAAAAGAAAAATAGAAGTATAATAAATTGGAACTCCGCCACATTGTTTTAGGCTCTCTTCCCAGCGTCGTTTGGGTCGAATCCTATGAACAGAGCTTTGCAAGATACTCCAGAGAGAAGAACGAGAAATTCCTGACACGTAAAAGATTACAACAAGAACTATTTCGTTAGAAACTTGAAAGAGATATTCTAGAGCGTGTTTCAGTATTAGTATAGTTTAGCGTTTAAATCTTAATTTGGTCTCATTTACAATTTCCATTGGTCAATTCAGTCAATGAGTATGTAAATTTGGTACGTGAAAAAGTGTCGCTTCTGAATCCGCCAAAAGGTGTCTCAGGGAGAACAGTGTTAATATTTAGAAAACATGGCAAGTAAAAAAGTCGTTGAACTTTTCGGAATTTCCAGCAAAAGTTGTAAAGCCAATTTTGCAAATGTAATAGTACGCAACCGTTCGAATCTCCCTTCGGATAGTATTAAAAAAGTGACGCATACTGGTCAGGTAAAATATTTCTTATTCGATGTTGGAGTTTTTCTTTCTGTTGGAATCTCGTTTTTTAATAGAAATATTTTGTTTACGCTAAAATACGTATATTATTCCGTAATAGGTGTTCGAGGAGGATGATTATCGAAATGTCAGATTCGTGTACAGACCAAAAGAAGTTAACGACAATTGGGCCATCAAATTAATAGACGAAGTTCCACCAGCACCTGCCAAAGAACGAATTGTAGCTTGCGATGGAGGTGGTGGGCCTTTGGGTCATCCAAAAGTTTATATTAACTTGGTACAAATTAAAAATAATTGCTTACCGATCTAGAGCATATAATTTTATTGTATTTATAAATAAATTTTTCCAGGACAAACCCGGTAACCATACTTGCGGCTACTGCGGTTTACGTTTTCACAAAGAAGGTCACTGAATAGGTGACTATGAGAAAACAAGTAGTTACATTGCACTATGAATCTTGTACATATGATAAAAAGTATTTATTGTAATTATTATTAAAAATATAATACAAAAGGTATTGGTCTATTATCTAAAAGTCTTTAATTTAAAACAATGATAATATCTATAGAATTTAGATAATACAGTAAATTTTATGTGCACGCATACGTTACAAAGCTGTTTTATGACTGTTCATACCTAACGGTATCGCTTGTAATTCAGTTTTCATACAGAGAAACTCACCACAAACACACATAATACTTACAGATACGATATTCAAACACCACCAGCTAAAGGTCGAAGGAAAACTCGCGTTATATATCCAACAACATAACAAATGTATCAAGTGTGCTGTACATGCAAAATCCATACACTGTTTCGTTCTTTGTACCAACCACCACAACGCGAATGCCCCAACTAATGCATTTATGATAAAAATGATTATGGTAAGCTGACCAGCATAATCTCGAACATGTATTTCCTTATAATGAAAGGCGTAATCTAGCGACTTTGTTGATCCAAGAAATGAAGCAATGATCCAGATCCATAATCCAAGGCAGAAATACATGACAGTTTGAACAGCAACTATTTGGGATATTATTAAAATAGGATCCCATATTGTTTTACGAAATTGTCCAGAAATATTATTCATCGTGTTTGCTATTGAAAGTTTAACATCTGCTTATTTGTGACAATATTCCTTATTATTTTGTTTTCTTTGTATTCAAATATCAATTTAATTCTTCTTTCAATCTGAAAGAAAAAATAATTGAAACAATAACATCGATTTCGAGATATATTTGGAATACAAAGAACGCGTTTACGACATTAGTAGCAATCGTTTCGCAAAATTAAATTAAGATCCTTACGTCATTTCCACAGAATATTTATTAAAAATTTGTATAATTTTGCTCTGCTTAAAGGAGGTTAACCTTTACACACTTTGAAGTATAAGTACGTTAGTTTACAGTAGTTCGGAATATATTTCTTCTTCGCGAATATATTACATGAAATTTAATAAATTTTATGGTACAGTTTTATACAAGATTATCGATATGTTTTTTATAAAAAAAAATAATGAACTGTGTACGTCTCTGATAGTTACCATTGCTCAAATTGTTCACTGTACATGCAGGAATAACTAATCGAGTCGTATTTTTCATGATATTTTTCTAATTTAACGCGATGAGGTACATATAACGATTACAAATGAATTATATTGTCAGAATCAATTAATGTCAACATATTTTGTGTAAAACTCCAATAACCAATAACCAATAACACTGAACTGGTAAAACGAAAACGTGGTAAAAAAAAAAGGCACTAGACTTATTCCTTATATTTTTTTATTTGTTGACGTTACCGTTACATTGAATAGAATAAGATAATTACATTCACGAATTTGGATAGTTTTAGGATCAAAAATTCGTGTGGCCTATCACACTCCTTGAACTAGTTTACAGTAATTCGATTACTTGTTTGTCTAAATATATATAATGCGCACGTGCTGTAGAAGAGTAAATCTACTCTAACCTTAAAATTATTCACGTCAAAGTTCCTTTAGTGTTGCAGGGTGTATCGGTAACTTGTGCGTGAATTTAAAGATTTATATTAGAAACAAAAGTAATTAGTCTGATGGCAATGCAGGTTCCAGCAAATGTGGATTCTGAGCAGATTAAAGCTGTATGTATTTGCAGTGATTTCATAAATAATCGTCTGTAAAAGAATTGCATTGAAGTATACAGGTTGGACTAAATAAAGTGTTACGTATTGTTTTCTTCGAAATCGCTGTTAATATCGGCTTGACTTTTTTTTGTTTTTACTTAAATAAAAAGATGAGTGTTCTTAAACTATCTAACAGTCATTGTAACAAAATTGCATATCAAATTGTTGGCTCCTATGTTCCATTTAATGTAATACTAATTTAAGTGAACGTTTGCAGTGATTTTGGAAAAAATAACTTGTAAAACTTCATTTGATGCATCCTGTACGAACGAGCGATGTACGTACAGATCTGAAGTGTATAGAATTTTTGTGCTTCAGTTTAGAGAATTCCTGACATCATATAACAAATTATCAGAAATTTGTTTTATTGACTGCATAAATGATTTCACTGCCCGGGATATCAAAGCAAAGGAAGAAAAGTGTGCTCTAAATTGCATGGAAAAGTACCTGAAGATGAACCAGAGAGTTTCTCAACGATTTCAAGAGTTTCAAATGATTGCCAATGAAAATGCATTGGCAGCTAACAAAAGCTTAAGTGACAATAGATAGTTTTACAATAAAACATATTATAAATTAGATGTTTTGCCTTTATCTTTTGACTCTAAATAAAATGGATGTATAATTCAAATTATCAAGGAAGTAATAAACGTTTTCATTTCCAATTCATAAGTTGAACATTGATTGTAATATATTTAAATAATCGTATATAAAAATATTGAAAAAATTTTAATAAAAATATATTATGTAAAAAGTTGTTAAATAAAAACGTTATTTAGTAAAATATGGATTAATAATTAAAATGAAATAGTACCAAATTCAAAATTGTATTTGTAATGTGATTACAAGGTCTAAGCATTTCAGGAAGTAAGGCAAATAATGTATACTGAATGTCTAATATTTTACAATGTGTAGTTGTAGACTTTCAGTTATACATTTCTTGTGATAAAAAAGTAGTATATAAGAACAGCTTAAAAATATGCATATCAATAATTTATTTTAGAAAACAGATTAACAAAAAAGAATTTTGTTTAGTTTAACTTGATTTCGAATGACCAAAATCATGAAATTTTTGTTTTCCATGAATTTCAATGTCCATGCTATTTGAATCCCATTCAAAATGAGAAAACTTTTGTAAATTTTGCATCGAATCTAAATTTGATGTGGGACTTATACTTTGCAACCCGAAACTTGTGCTAGAAATTTGATATTCCTGGTTATGCATTCTTGGCTCCGGATTCGGAGAATTCGGCGGAGTTCTCCTTAATCTCTTATGATCCGAAAATCTTTTTAATGGTACATGATCTATGCAAATGGCTTGCGTTGTATTTCTAGTTTTGTATAAAATTGGACATCCTAAGTCTCCTTTTAAACTTAAACTATATAAATTTGCAAGGCGGCGGAGTTTCTCTCGCTCAGGCTGACGCATAGGATGTAATTTAAGTTCACTTTGGGTAGGATCTTGAAGAAACCTAGAAACTTTTTCGTTAGCTGACGTAATAATCGAATATCCAGGTTTATTATCAACGTGACGACGGCCAGCACGAATTTCTCTTCCGCTATGACCTTCTCGAATTCTTTGAATTCTTTGCCTATAGCTTTTCCTTGCTTTATCCGTGGCATGCTCGAAACTGCCGTGCAATATCATTTGGAATGCTGGATCTGTAGTAACTTTATCTTCGTTAGTACTTTCGCCATCGTCCCACCAACTTGGTTCTCCGATCCAATCCGACTGTTCGTCATCTCCTACAGTTAAAAGAACGGTTTGAACATAGTACTATTTGAAGCTACTAATCGTATACCTTCTCGATCCTCATCGTTTGTAATAAGTCCAGCTTCCGAATCACTAGAGGAAATACTTGAACTTGATATTCTCGAGCAATCGATTGTATCTTCAGTTTGCATTTTATTGCGACTTTTTGATTTTGTATTTCTACTGGGTTTCAGTGATCTCATTTCACAATCTGTAGAACGCTCCCTACACGACCTTTTACGTTTTCCACACCTACGATGAAAAACTTGTTTCGTAACAAACCGATTTTTTATAGTTTCGAAATTAAATTATGTTCTACAGTTCTACTATTACATATCATGAATATATCGTCATGGTTTTTATATTACCATATCGTTCCATATCTGTTTTTACAGTCGCTTCTGAGAACCCTCTTTTTATCTCCAAGAGTCGTTGACATAATTGCAATGGTTTGAGAAGTTGACGGATTAGAATCGGAATCGATAGCCATTCTTTTAAATTTTCTTTTGCGTCTCGGATTTACGCTAGACACGAAATTTTCATTAACCGAATCGCTCTCGATATTACTAACATTGTTTAAATTAGAAAAGCGAGCAAATCTTTTCGTTTGATTTGTATCGTCGCTATCGGATTGATATTTAGAGGCAGTATTATTCTTCGGAGCGTGGATGTCGCATATGGAAGACGAACTGTCATCTGAATGTTTATTCATGTGTAATGATGCTGAAATAAAGAATAATTATTAAATAATTATATCTAATGTTCTATCGATATCGCTCGTGTTCTGAAAATTACTTTTCAAAAATGTGTAAACTGTACTTCTTTACACGATTAAACATTCTTTCTACAAAGATACTCTTGACAACAATCCTCTGTCTGCTCTGTAGAAATAGACTGGAACTGATTTCATAGAAATACTTTAATTTGCAAATAATTTAAATAAATAATTCTTTAAAAAAGATTATGTTTGTATACTTTTATATCCTTTCACTTACGAATATTGCCTGTCGAACGAGCCCTTCTTCTGATACCCCATCTGCGCCTGACATTTGCGCTGTTGCTGCTTTCTTCCAATGCCAAAGTTAAGTCGTGCACAAGTGCCTCCATTTTTACTCTTAAATCTGCTGGCACAGCTTTCAAAACACGCTCCATTTGAAGGATGCAATTGTTCCTAAACATCATTTGACGCAATTCATATGGAAATTTTTTAATTCCATAATATAGAACTGAACAACACTGAATATTTGTTACATAACAAATAATAGTTGAAAAATTATCCTATTATATTGTTATAAATTTATTGTGTTAAATATTTTGTTATAAATATATGATTATATTTAAACTAGAATAACAATATTTATTGACATTAAATACGTCTGCTTTAAATTATATAAATGATTGTACGATTTTCAGTACGAAATATATTATTCAAGAATTCGAACACTATATGTCCATTTTTTTTATAACGAGCGAATTAGTTTATTTAGCATGTATCTTATCTATTGCTTTACAACTGTCAATGAACTTAAATAAACAACAAACAACGTCCTGCAGACATTACGAGATAGAATATTTTGTGTTATTATTAAAAAATACCGATTATCAAGCCAAAATCAGAAACAAATCGAGAATACATCATATTTGAAAAGTGACAAGATAAAAACAGATTAAATTCGTGCTTACCTTGTACATACAATTGTGCAAGACGCGAATTTTCTTTAAATTGGTATCATTATTAGTCGACAACTCGTCTAATTAACAATGGAAAAAAAAAACAAAACGGGTGATAGGAAACTGTCAATTCCAAACTATTTTCACTGTGCGCCACAGCCTTCTGTCTTTCTTTCTCTGTGTGGTGTGTAGATCCCAAGCTAAAGATACATATGCATTTGCGCGCGAGCGCGTGCGTGTGTGTGGTGTGTCTGATTACAAGCTATAATTTGGTCATGGTTCCACTCACTGAACATAGTACAGTGGTTTAGTATAGATGAGTGGTTTTCTACTAGTGGCGCCATCGGTGGTAAAAAGCTCAAGTGTGTAGTGAAAATAGTTCCCACTGTTCCTATAAGATGGCACCACTAACTAAGGGGTCGACTGCATTGAATAACTATTCATAAACAATGTTAATTGGTCTTATTGTATAATCTACGCATGCATAATGTACAATGTGCATAATCGGTGAACACTAAAAAGATATACGTTGTCTGTTTTGTTTCCGGATCTGCAAATATTGTAATATGAACTTTACTTTGAATATTTTTTTACATTATTGCATACTGCGGACATTTTGTTGTTTCTTACGCATTCAAGTTTCCTATAAATGGATAAAAATTCGTAATCTACTCATGAAAATTTTCTTACAGTAAACTCTCTCGAGCTTTGAATTATTCATCCACAAACCTAGGAACCCGTCGAAAACCATTGGTTCCTATTCGCGAACCTATTTACCCCGAAATCCCTTAAATATAGATTTCAATTTAAATCGATAAATGATAAAAATTATTTTTCCGTCCAGAGGTCCATTCCACGTTTTTAATTCATTTTCAACGCGACGAAGAATACCTTTGCCCAGCCGTACCGCGATTATCGAGACACTCTGTATACATAAAAGATGACGCAGATTGGAAACACGCCTTTAGCATATTTTTTTCGGCCATTTCCGGTTGTGTTTTACAGACGCTTCGTGTCTGTCCGAAGTTATCGCCGTTTTTTGTTCGTGGCTTCGACTAAATCGCGTTTATGAAAGGATAAGCAGTATTCGGCCGAAACGTAGTTCTCGTTTTATAATACGTGTGTGTTGGTGATAATTTGGTAGTAATGAGGAATTGCTCGGTAACGTATCCAATCGAAGGAAAAACCTGGCGGTTGTGTAAATAGCGCGTAGTGGTAACTGCGCGTATGTTATGCGCATTCGCGGACAGATGAGCGCGGGATCGTGATACCCAGACGCGAGGGGAACTGTAACACGGGTGGCTTACGCTGGGTAGTACTGTTTTAATGGAGTTTACACGAAGTGTGTCGTGTAACGTGTAATACAACGTTCTTGGCGCATCGATCGTCGTACGTATAACGAGTGCTCGGTCCCAAAGGGGCCGCACAATGGACGATGCAAATGTTAATGGCGGGAACGCCGATGAGGCGCGCGAGAATCCTAACCTCGAAACTGGCAGTATGCCGGAATTACAAGAGACGCAAGATAATGTGGAAACAACCGCTAAAATAGACGGTCAAGAAGTGAATGGAGACATAAAAGGCTCTTCAAAAAAGTCACCGATCGTTAGGAGAAAGATGCGTAAGTTCAAGGCCAATTCAACCAGCACCATCGAAAGCGATACACCGTTGGACACAAAAGGACGCAAGCGTAAGCTCTCGGAACCCGATGATGCTAGTTCCGACGAATCCATGGAAGTCTATGGATTCGATGTACAAGAAGCTAAGAATGTTCAACTAAGAATTCATATCCTGAGAAAACTAATTGGTACTAATCATTGTCATGCTACATTCAATATATAGACTATATGTTTACTAATCAGAATATTGTTATCGTATAATTGTTTTCACGAACGAATAATTGCGCAGAATGAACACAATAGACGATTGTTTTTGTTTATGTATATTGTTTAATGGATAGTAGGGTGGATCGACCCTAACATGTATGTTCTTTCAAAAATACTATTAATGCTTTAGTCATGTGTACATTGTATGGATTTTCCATTTGAATTTAGATGATACAGATATGCATTATTGAGAGTTTTATTTATATACATTGTGTTTCGTTTATCTAGCAAAGTAAATATCTCGTGACGCATTGAAGTTATGAAAAAATTTATTTACAAAAATTATTCGGTTTGTAGGGTATGATCATATGATGTAATTTTTTTCGGGCCTGGAATAGTAGAGAGGGGGGATTTCAAAGTCAAAATAAGTTTTTTAAATGGAACTATATATATATATTTTTTTATTGGCCTGACAGCTTTTTACGAAACAAATTCAACAGTATATCACATTATTTAATTTGCTGTTTCCAAACATTAGAAATTATATTATAAACTTGTAACATTTTAAGTAGGTAATGGTAGGACATATCGCGTTGCTGTGTCTATTAGCTGCAACACTGTAAACAAAGATCAACCTTTTCATGTCTCCTGAAGCATCTTAAGTTATCAAAAAAAATGAATACAATATTTATAGTTTATATCATTTGAAATTGTTTGAATAAATTAACAATGTTTCTTATTGGTGACACTGTTGGCATTTGTTGACAAGGATGCCGTCTATGAAATTTCCGAGGCACTTCAGGATAGGATAAATATCTATCACCATGCAGACAAACTAATTCGGCTTTTTCCTGAACTGTTAAGGACATTTTCTGGAACTCAATAATTTCTAAAGCACCGAACAGAACTAATCTCTAGTATTGCACTTCCTCAACTAAAATAAATGAGACTCGAGCCAAACATCACAACTCAACAAAACAAATGACAACAGTGTTACAGCTAATAGCCGTGGCAACCCGATATGTCCTACCATTACCTACACAAAACGTTACAAGTTTATAATATAATTTTTAACGTTTGGAAACAGCAAATTAAATAATGTGATATACCATTAAATTCGTTTCGAAAAAAAGCTATCAGGCCATGAAAAAAAAAATATATAGTTCCATTTAAAAAACTTATTTTGACTTTGAAATCCCCCCTCCCTACTATTCCAGGCCCGAAAAAAATTACATCATATGATTGTACCCTACAAACCGAACAATTTTTGTAAATAAATTTTTTTCGTAACTTCAGTGCGTCGCGAGATATTTACTTTGCTAGATAAACGAAACACACTGTATACATACATGAAATAAATGTGTAATTGAATTAAAACTGATATTAATAGAAACTAGAACCGACATTGATTTTTAAAATATAATTATATATAAACAATATAGTTTTAAGTACATTTTTGATCAAGGTACTAATTTAAGAAGTTATAATAGTAGCTGTAATTTAAGAAGTTGTATTACCAATTGCATCTACAATTTTAAAGTATTTAGTTGAGAATTAATTGTTACATCAAAAATGTATGATAAAGTAATAGTATTTCTTCTTAGTATCACACACAATATTATCTTTATTCAAAGTTCCTTTGAAAAACAAAAGAAAATAAACTCTATTAGTTTTTAAGAAAATAGTTTGCAACAGTTTATTTGGATAACTGTATATTTATACAATCATGTAGGGAAGAAGTTTGTTTTACGTGTTTACATGATTTATTACAGCCGAAGCTGAGACGGAAACTCAATTGGCCAAGCGAAATAAATATAGTATAAAAAGGAATTTCGATGGAAGGAAAGATGATCATGATTCAGATGATGGTAAAATGCATCATTACGATACGGAACATATATTAGATGTAGAAATAATAAAAAAGGAAAAAGAATCTGATAAATCAGAAACAGATTCAATTGGAATACCAAATACTATGGAGTTTGAATCGGAAGTACAAAAATCAGAGGACGCTATGATAAAATCGACAAATTCATCGGCTGGCAGTAGTCGGCAGAAAGCGGCTGTCGATATTACGAATCCTGCATTCAAAGAACCTTTTAAATATGGGTGGAAGAGAGAGTTAGTATTTAGAGCAAGTACTGATTCGAGCCTGAAAAGAATGGCTGATATTTATTATTATACACCAAAGGGCAAGAAAGTTCGAAGTTTTAGAGAAGTTGCGGAATTTCGTAAGTGTAATTTATGAAAATATATTACTGACAACAACGTTTGGAACGAAATATAATGTTATTTTTTTTTCATTTTCTTTTTTAGTTAATACAAAGGAGTTGACTATTGATAATTTTACATTTTTCAAAGAACCAGTTGGCATCGACGATCCTGAGAAGGAAATTATCCGAGATGCGAAAAGAATGAGAGTACGTTATCTTTCTTGATTCGTAACAAATTCACATCAACGTTTAGCTTAATATTAAGTTTTACTCTGCTACAGGGATCCATGGGACCGAGTACTGTGTCGCCTCGAAAAAATGTTCCATATAAGAAAAGTACACCTGGAAGAAGGGCTGTGGCAGAATCACCCGCTTCTGCGCCTGCACCTGTACCTACTAAAGTTGCTTCTAAATCGCCGAAAGCGGCGTCAACGGGATTTAAAGTTAAAGTGCCTGCAAAGAGAACTCCACAAATAAGTATGCACTTATTATGTCAATGCGAAGATATAGTTTTTTTTTATGTGTTTATTATGAAAATTCATTTATAACATCTGAAATATTTGTTCTACTTTTATATTTAAAAAAAGAAAACTTGTCACTATTTATTAGTTAATGGATTACCTTATTTATAGTTTCCGTTGTTTTAAACCATTTATTTTTATGAGAATTTTTATTCTTCTATGCATAGCAGAAATAAAGCCGTCTTTCGAAGAAAGCGAGATGCTTCCACCGCAACGGACCACAAGCACAAGAAGAAGCCAGCAATTGGTTGAAAAACCACCACCTCCTAAACCTAAAAGAAAACTAACGTAAGTAGCTGATTACTTTAATCATAATTCTGTTTATTATATCGTATGATCGCGATTAATTTGCAATATTCGAGGGTATCCAATTGCTTCACTAGTTTAACACGATTGTTAATCGTGTTTAATGTGCTTTGAAAAGGTCCAATGAAGGATTTACAGCATGTGCATTCATTATGTTTTTTAAGAATATGAATATTTATTTGTACGTTGACGTCTTACAACGTATCAAGTAAATGGAAAAAATTATGAGAAAATAATAAATTCGCTCAACTTATCCTAAATTCTTAATTTTATAAAATTCTATATATAATTTTATAGTAGTTATTGTACTGGTTCAGAAATGTTTGTTTTATTTTGCTAGTTAAACTGTATATTTCATGTTATTTTATATAAAATTTTATGCATAAATTTTGCTTCAGTAGGCGCGTAAATATTAGAACTACCGTTACAAGAATATATTAAAGTATACTTTATTCAATCGATCTTTAATTGCATGCTGTACAATAAGTATACGTAATTATAGATTTCGAGATTTTATTCTGAAACAGTTCAAACTTTTCCTTCTATATTTTTCATAACTGTATCCTTCTTTATCCTTTTGATCCTAAAATCCCTTATTTAAATTTTGTGTTTTATTCCTTGATCCCTTTCCCGATCGACGCACATCTTACAGGACCAAAGTTCAAGAACCGTGCAGTATAAGGTGCTCGACAAGTATGGGGTTGATACCAAGCTTACAATGTAGTGTGTGTCTCTGTTTATATCATCCGGAATGTGTTGGTGGTGTGGAATTTGCAGGCAGTGACAATTATATTTGTAAGGTACGTTTCCTTAACCACAGAGTATTCTCTCTTAACATTGTTTTAAACAATTAAATTCTTTTCATATTATCGGTTTAATATATCATATTAACCGATATATATTATAATTTTGTTGTAGAATTGTCAGCAGGATACTAGTGAATCTCAACAATCTCAAACAAATCCAACTTTGACACCCCCTCCGTTAATACCGATTAGTATGCTAGGCACGCAAGGTGCAAAGTCGAAACATCACGTTACTCTAACTCCACCAAAACTTCAAAGAATTCCAAAATCTGACAATCCAGACTCGCAATCTCGAAACGGTGCTAAAGTTTCAAAAGCATCGTCGGCAACGTCATATTCTTCATTGAATTCAGATAAAAAAGAAGGCAACTGGTTTGCGCAAGCGGAACATGAATTTTTACAAAGTCACGATGGCGTTTTGCCACGACCAGCGCAAAATATTGCTCTAATGGGAGGTAAAAAATACATTGTTGTGCCAAAAAATAATGCTATGGCTGTACAGCCGGCAATAACAGTGAAGCCTGATAAAATTGGTGATAAACCTCCGATACTCCAGGATGGTTCACTCACCGATATATCGAACACTGTCGATAATTCTATACTCACAAAAACACGGGTTTCTTTGTCAACGAAATCTTTGGGAAACGATAGTATTGATGAATCAACTGATAAAGGTGCATCAAAAGATACATCTCATGCAGAACGTACTCTATGCTCCCTAGAGAGGGAAACGAAAGGAACATGTAATAACAGTGATAGAACAGATACGTCGACTGTAAACGGATCGGAAAATGATTCGGCCAATTTAAGGACAGATCTTGCATTAGAAAGCATTAAATCAATAACGAGTAATAAATCACCTGAACGAATGGCTGTAATAAATAATTCGAATACGATTAGTACAAATAATGATCCGCTTAAAGCAGATTCACGTCAATCTATAACAAGTAGTTTGGGTACCATTAAAATAAGTAGCAAGTAAGTGTTTGTTTCTCAAACACGCCTGTATATTTCTTTTTACTTCCTTTTTTTTTTTAAACAATCTCCAAATAAGTTAAGGCAACTCTCTTTTGAGGTTTTGGCAGTTGCTTTGTACATATTGTATTTACAAGATATGTGTGTTGTTTCTGTGATGATTAATTTTATATTAGATATACATATATATACATATATATATATATATATATATATATATATGTGTGTGTAAAAACATTTACAATTTTTTTATTTAAACATTTTTTATATAAATTATGCCAGGTTGATCATTTTATTGAATCTATAGCAAAATAGCTATGTATATATTCGTATTCTTTTCTACAAAATTTACATAAATAGTATTGTAAATGCAATATATACTGATGTTTATTATATTTGGAAATATAAAAATTCGACGTGAAAAATGAATTTGATTTTATCTTGTGATCGAAGCACACTGCCTTAGCTTCTTAGAAATGCGGCCAAATTTTTGAGACGTGTGAAAAATGAATAGAACAATCATATCGTTGGTTCTTGCAGGTATTCTGTAATTGTAGTATCAAAGTAAAAATTTCTTCTCCCTGTAGTCTTAACCTTTGGTTTAAAAGAAAAACAGAAAATTGGACAACCCTTGCATGCGTTATTTACATTCATGCTACAATTACAAATACAGCTACTGATAAGTGCTTCAGTATAAAAAATCTAATTCATTTTTACTTTTTATATTTACAGATATAAAGACATGTGCGAGCTGAAACACAAAAATCTCTTAGTGCGTTTTCCCACAAACATCCAAAAATCCTTGCTCTCCTTATTATTTACACCACCTGTTTGTTTGTTTTTTGTTTCTGTACTTCTTTGGTAATTTTACAATGATAAATTTTGTAACCTTTGAAATCATTGTCTGAGGCTTTTACTTATATTATCACTCGTTTAATTTGACATGATTATTGTTGTAAATCATTGGTCCTTTAAAAGTCTCTTCAAAAATTAACGTTCACTCATCAATCTTAAGGGAAATTATAATTAAATGTAATAAAGTATAAATTTGCTCTTTTATCTAAGAAAATCAATGTTAATATGTATTTTAATAAGCGATACCCTTATTATGTATATTTTAGGCCATTGTCTCGGGAAAGGAAACTATTGAAAACCATTTTTTATTCTCATACTTTCAGAAGGAAACAACATCATCAGGAAACGGAACAACAACCACATTTTATGGATTCAGTATCTGCTGGTTATCATGCTTTGCTACGTATTTTTCAATATCTTAAGGTTCAAGAATTGCTTCGAGCTGCGAGAGTGTGTAAGATGTGGCGAGACTTAGCTGCGCATCCCTCTTTATGGAAGACTGTGCGAATGAAAAACAGTCAAGTCACAGACTGGGATGGTCTAGCAGACACTTTACAAAGGCGCGGCACTCAACACTTAGATCTACGAAAAATGCTCGTAGCTGGAGAATCAGATAGCATTTGGAAAAAGTTCTTATTGGTAATACCACGTGTAACTAGTCTCGTCAAGCTAGAGCTATGTAGATGTCCCGTGATGGTAGTCGAGGAAGTCATCAAGGGCTGTCCTCAATTAGAAGTGTTGAGTGCAATGTCGATAAAATGCGATACTTTGAATTTGGAATCGGTTGGGAATCTTAAACGTTGCCAAGAATTGAGGCTCAAGGCAATTAGCGGAATGTCTCTGCAAGAAGATCTCACACCTTTACACGAATTAACACAATTGTCACAACTCGTAAGTATAATCATTATTAAAATTATTTTTCAACATTTTAGGAAAACACCATTTTTATGGAGTGCCTAATGTAAACAGGAAACTGTTAAAGTGGTGTTCACTCTTAACTATCATATCACGATTTTCATACTTAATTAATTATATATATATATTTTTTTTTATTTTTATATACGTATTACAGAGTTTAACATCAGTTAAGGAACTTGGAAAGAAGAAAATCGATATTATACAAACTCTAGTAAATTTGGAGACATTAGAATTAGGAGAGTGCTCTGATTTCCCAGATAAATTTGGTACTACAGTTTTAATAAAGTTACAAAAGCTAGAACGGCTTAGGCTTGAAAAAGGTCAAGGTTCGTGTTGTACATTTGATATTTTGGATGGTGTATCTAAATTGCAAAATTTGAGTCAAATGGAATTGGTCAACTTTGACGTGAAAAACGGCTTTGACAAATGTCTTGCGAATTGTAAGAATATTAAAAGGTTGTTAATAATACCAACTTACATATCTCAATCTGCAACATCCAACAACATGGTGCTTGGCGGCGTTACAGAATTGTCAAATAATTTGACACATTTTGTATGGGGTGTTACACTCGAGTTACTTAGGGTTACAGAACTATTTGTTGATCAGTGTAACTTAATGAATAAACAAGTTACCGGTGATTCGATACCAGTCTTGAAACCAGTACCTTGTTTAAAATTAATCGAGGATGTCGGGGATGAGAATGACAATCAGAAAGGTACTTTTTCGAACAAATATGTACATTTTTGTATTACATACAAATTTCCTGTATGTGAATAATTATTTTTCAACGATTTTTTTATTTTTTTCAGGTGACGATAAACAACAACCAAATTTAACAAATCCTCAAGTGGATATATTGCCATTGCCACAACTTCAAAAACTTTTACTAACCGCATTGCCTAAGACGCGCGTTAAAATTTTGAAGATTCCTTTCCATGCTACATGGCGGCAAAGCATTTCAGATACTGCTACGCAATAGAACATATGTAATAAACTGTACAAATACATATACTACGAGGGAAGAAAATTACTTGATATAAGAAAATTAGAAATTTTATAAATTTGACTCCACATGTCTGCACAACTAATTGTAAATTTGGTGAAAAGTAATTTAATATTTATGTTCTACGTGTTTTATAGTCTTCAGTTCCCCTTGAATAGTGTATCGATAAACTCTACAGTAATCACAAATACTGTTTCTATTAAAGCGTTTAATTACAAAAAGAAATGAAGAAACAGGGGACCATAAAGAACAAATTTTACGAAAGTTGGTATCCTTGTGTTGAATCGTTCGAAAAATGAAAGACAAATTTTGTAGGCTGCGACAGTTTCAATGTATGGTCCACGGATTATTTGGTATACTGTAACGTGTATCCGTGTAAAGAGAAATGCCTGAATTTCGAAAAAGATGTATATGTTTATTAGAGTAATTCTGGTATGAAATTAAGATCTACAGAAGTTTCGCACATGTTAATTAAAAGGGAATTGATAAACGAACTACACTAATTTTTTTTTTTTTACGAACGTGCAGAACTTGTAAGACATCTTGTGTAAGATGTTGAGTCAAGATAGATTGTACTCTTAATTTCGTGACGTACAACGGATTTCTATTGAGGTAGCAGTGACAAAAATCGAAACGAAATCAGGTGGTCTATAAGGCTCTATGTAGTTAGGCTGTATAAATAACGGTATATATTATTGTAACTGTATGTGTATCTTTAATATTTAAGATATGAGTTTTCCGCTGCAAAGAAATTATGGAGAAGTTTATGGGTAATGTTGTAGAATGTGTAATATACTTACGATTCTGCATAATTCGTAATCAAATATAATATTATGAAAACTTAGTTATTAATCCATACTTGGTACAAATTGCGTAATTAAGATAAATTCCCTAATTAGGATGTTAAAATCATTTTCAAACATTATAATTATTTTTGTTCCTTCCTTTCTTTTCCCACTTCTTTTGTTATACTTATCTTCATCGTACTTTTTATCCTGCCTTAAATACATTGTTTTTTATAAGGATGTTTTATAATTAGTTACCTTAACTTTGCAGCGTGAAAATTCAAGTAATTGTTTTATTATATAATTTTTAGTTGTACACAAACTGTATAATTTATAAACATTAAGGGGGATCTATAGATACACTCCTAGTTGACAAGTTAATCAGAAAAGAAAATATTTTTTATGTTAAATCGAGCTGTGAATACTACTGAATTAAATTTAAGTATAAATAATACATTTTCATGGCTCTTAGCCTTGGTATAAGTATTAGAAATACTTTTATATCAAAGTAATAAATGTTAAACAACCAATAGATAATTTAAAAAAAATGATCTCTTAATATTTTTCCAAATTTTCATTTCGTTCATTTGTTTTTTAGTTCACGATACGTATTTTACAGATTCTTAATTCATCATATTTTTCGTTTGTTTCTTTTACGACTTCAAACAAAAGTACTTGTCTTGACAAATTCATTCGCACAATTTAATGTTTTTTCGTTATCTTTAATATTTAATACATTTTACTCCAACATGGTTACTGTGTGTATTATAATCATCCTTATATTTATACAAGAACTTATGTGTGAAATAGAATATTAAATTTTTACCATACGTAGATAATTATTGACGATTAACCTCTACTATTTTTTATTGGATCCCCGTTAATGTACTTTTATAAATAGAATAAAAAGCAATATAAATTTATTCTTAAACAAATTTATCAAGATATATGAATCACCTGTTTATTACTTTGTACAATATAGCTCTTATACAAAACAAAAATTCGTTTCATTCATGTTTTGTATATAATTTTCATTTTTAGTGAAAATATTAAAAAGAAGACAAATAATTAGATATATAGAATATGTGTATATATTATATATGTACACATATATATACTTGTGTACATTTTCGAAGTGCCGTATCGTATTGCGCAAATATCGACATGTGTGGAAACGTAACATAAAATTATTTTTTATTTCTTCGATACAATGACACAATTAATTTTAATGGTATACATACAGAAAAAATTAATTTTTGTAAAATGTGATTATGTTCGTTTCGGTTAGACGCAGCGAAAGAATAATATAAAAAAAAAAAAAAAGATGCGGTTGTTCCAAGAAGTTTAGCGTAATTGCAAAAGTAGGTGACCTCTGTTGGCAATTGAAAATCAATAAAGTGCAGTGGAGTTCGTGGGCACAATTCGCAGGAAAGGAAAGCAGCTTCATTTCGAGGTTATGTTAGCAGAGTTTCTGAACAAGAAGACGCGGAGCGTCGATTCTATTTTTGATCCGGCGAAGTGTTTATTCTTGCCAGTCGTAGGCGCGCGTCACACATTATAATGCATCTAAATGTGAGAAGAAGTCACGAAAGTTCTGTGAGATAGTACAAACATGGGTAGAAGAAAATCTCACGGATCGTCCAAAAGTAAACAACACGTTCCGCATCAAAGGCAATTGTCTATAACGAGAAGAAACGAGATAAACGCTTTATGCGAGAAATTATTTCATCGTAAGTATATATTTTCTGAAAATAATTTTTGCATGTAGCACATTCACTGTACAACCGTACCATTTTTATATCACGGCGATTTCAAATGATTGTAAAGCATTAAATTAGACGCAAGTAGATATTTTTCCAGACTTGTTAAAAAAAAAAATAGACGCAACGGTTTTATTTCGACCGTTAAAACAATTTCGAGAGTTCCAAATCGTTTAAATTAAAAATTATCGTTTTTTTTTGTTAACCAGTCAGCAGTAATTCAGCATACGCTACCCAACTATGGAACAACTATATAGAGATATCGTCAGTTTTGGAGAAGGTTAAACGGTTGGAGGAGATGAAGACGGAGTCGTCGAAGCGGTCCCAGGGGATTGGACAATTTATGAATTGGCTCAAAGAGAATGGGGCAAATATTGATGGAGCAAGCGTAGCTGAGTTCCCAGGATACGATTTAGGCTTAAAAGCTGAACGAAATGTCCTTAAGAATGAGTTGATGTTAAGGATACCGAGAGGACTTATTTTTAGTGTACATAATGCTGCACCAGAATTAACTGTTCTCCAAAATGATCCATTGATACAGCATATGCCACAGGTAGCACTGGCGATCGCGCTTCTTATCGAAAGGCATAAAGAAAATTCGAAATGGAAGCCGTATTTGGATATTCTTCCTACCAGTTATACCACCGTATTGTACATGACTGCTGCTGATATGATCGAACTTAAAGGCAGTCCTACTTTAGGTATACTTTTATTTTGAGAATTAATATTTCAAATGTTTAACAATCGTTAAAATTCATGAAGACGGTAATAACATTTTATGATTTTTCTCTTTTACTTATAGAAGCTGCATTAAAACAGTGCAGAAATATTGCAAGACAGTATTCCTACTTTACCAAGGTGTTTCAAAATAACAATAACGCGGTGTCCGCTATACTCAGGGATGTTTTTACGTACGAAAGATACTGGTGAGTAGCGATAAACCGATACCGTATTTTCTATATTAAGATAATAATTCTATATTAATAAGATACATTTATTAACCTGGTATAAATAAATATACTTTATTTTACACGTATGAGTTTGAAATAGTCGGTTTACATCAGCGTAACGCATACACTTTTCGATATCAAGAGAAATTCCAAAACGGGTCCTTACAAAGAGAATCACGCTAACTCTAACATTCTAAATTACATAAAATTTTATCGGGTAAAGTTGATCAAAAATTCTATACAGTTATATGTACAAACGTCCGTGTCTGTAAAATTAGTTTACAGACCGATAGAAACATTGGAGTCGGTAATTCAATGGTCGATCTACTAAGGTATCTAACATCTATTATTTTGTATAGTCATTAAAGTCAAGGTACATGGTCAGCCTTCGGTATATACGTAAATACAGGGAGTCACTTTAAAAATATATGCGCAATGTCTAGGGTTTAACTCAACGTAGACAAGAAAATACTGTTGTTTGTCAAGCGTCCCACTGGAAATATTGCAAATACGTTTAAATAGGTCTGCCGTTATTTCATGTAATCAGGTATAGTTTCCCAGCTGTCGTTAGCATCCAGTGAATCATTATCGATATCACTTCTACATTCCATCTCTCCCACAGGTTGTCGGGTTTCGTTTCTCTCAGGTCTTTTTGTCGTCGATGTGGCGACCACGTTCACCATCACGGTGCTCAGACTGCTCGAATTCGAGAGTTTCCTGGCCGCCAATATAGGACCTTGAAACACTGCCCTGGAAAAGGTGTTCCTGTATCTGTACTTTTGTTTCTGTCGAATCCTGCATACGATGAATATCGCCAGGAAAACCACAATCGTCACACCAAGGATCGCGCCGCTCGCTATTATGCTGGGCTTCACTTTTGAGAGAGTCCTTCCCCGTTCGTTCTTGTCATCCTCTTCGTCCCTGTCAAATACGCTAGTTTCTCTGAATACCGTTTGTATGTCGATAGAATTCGGTATCTTCTCGAGAATCTCTTTTACATACCCAGACTGAACGACGTTCGCGGTGTCGTTTTTATGTACCGTTTCTGTATCGTTTACGAACACGACACCAAGATCGCTGTTTCGCTCAGGCAACTTTTTGTCCGCTTTATATTCACCCGCAAAGTCACGCTGGAGGTCCTTCGCGAAAGGAAGAGAACCGAAAGTCGTTAACAGATCAACGATCTGGACTGTACGACGACGCTCCTCCATGTCTTCGTTCTTGATTCCCGAATCGAAATTCGATTGTAATCGTTTAGTAGTACTCTCCACTGGACGAACAAAATTCATTAGATTCGAGATTGGAGCACCGTTGGTCGCGTTTTCGAACGATTTCGATGAGATATCGGTTCCGTTTCTCTCCCTAAATTCATAAGAAGTCCCCTTGGATAATTCGTTCGTCTCCGAGTTACTTCTGCCCTTCGCTCCATCCTCATTGTTCGGCTTCCGTGCTTTTAGTCGCGACACTTCGGCCAGGTGAACCTTACTGGAGCCCCGCTGTCGCAAAGCGATCAGTTCCTCCAAGCTCATGTTTCTTGATTTAAGAAGGCGTTCCAATCTCTTACCCGCGGATCCAGACGCGAACAATTCGAAGATCTCCGCTCGAGCTTCTGGTTCTATTTCCGACGTCGCATCCTCGCGATTATGCTTCTCGGTGGCGTTCGCGATTTGATGGTTTTTCAAGGAGTAATCGACGTTGTTCAAAAACGTTCGTCGATCCTCCGTGGTTGTACCATAAGACGTTGCATCCGATGCAGATTCAATTTTGTCCATCGTGCTTGTACTGTCTTCGTCAGCGGGAGTGTTAATTTGAGTGTTTTGTTCTAGATCGTGGTACGTCAACGGCGCGTCCTCCTGATATTCCAGTTCTGAAAACGTGGTGTAATCGCTCTCCTGATGCTCGACGATGATCTGTGGCCGCTGAATTTCTTTTGCGATCAACTTGGTCGCATCGTTGCGTTCATTTTCAGGAAATACATTTCTCGTCGACTCGGTGCTTTCCGTCGGATTCAAGATCTGCTCGATGCTCAACGTCGAGCCTCTGTCCTCGTTGATCTTCAAAGTAGGTTCCGCGTCGCTTTCCCCGTCCTTCGCCATCAACCAAACCGGAGACATGCCGTTCCGTCCATTTTTATAATCGGTGAAATCCGAAAATTCCATGATCTCGTCTTCGTCCAAGCTCTCCGGTTTGATTTCGTCACCGTCCCGTAATTTCGTAGCACCGTTATCCTGCAAGAACCGCACGGAATTCGTTGCAGTCGGCATCGATGTCGTAATCGCTGCCGGTGCTCTCGCGTTGGGCGTTACTTGGACTGGCCCTGGATCAAGATTGACGCTAATCGATTTTCCAGTAGTTGCGTTCCCGAGATTTAAAGAAGGCCACGAGGAATCGGTGAGATTCTTGCGCCACAGAACATCCACCGTGTCCACGAATGAAATCATTAGGCCATCGTCTCTCGGAGCATTCTTCGTTCTCGTGGTTTCTGTATTAGCAGTATACTGCGGTTTCTTCGTGGTGCTGGTGGCTTTCGTAAGGGTATTGTACATCATTCTAGACGCTTCCTCGATATAATCCTCTGTCTCGACGTCTTTCGATTTCAATGCGTTGATCGCGTCCGCTTTACCTTTCAGGAGATCGTCCAGAGTCAGATTTTTCCGCTGCAGGAGTTCTGACAAACTCAGACCCTCTTCCTGCTGCATCTTTAGAAGAGACCTCAGCTCCACGGCGTTCTGCGTGAATTGATTACCGCGTTCTGATTCGGAGGAACTCTGCCAAGACCCAGGATTGCTTTCCGTCTCGTTTTCGGCTAAAGCGAACTCGTAATTTTGCGGTGGTCTTCGTTTCCTTGGACGTGGTTTCAGGTACTCTTCGTCGTCCAGTTCATGCTCGTAGTCGTTAGGCCGTATTTGAAAAGCCTCTCGATACCTGACGGACGTTGCTTCTTTGTTATCCGCAGGACTCCAAATCACTTGTTCCATCCTATCGCTCGTTTCTTTGGAGTTGGCTAGATTTTGCGTAGCCGAGGCTCGAGAGTCTTTTCTTTTCTCACTTCGTCCCCTATATACGCGTTTGTCGTAATTCCCTGGTCGAGATTCCTCGCGTCCATTGTTTCGGCGATGCTTCACTGCTCGATGACTGTAATCGAAATCCTCTTCGTTGTCCGCTTTGTCGCTAGTGTATCGCGATAATTGAGGAAACGGAAACAGCGGCACGGTGTCGCCGTCCCTCCATTTTGGTTCAAGAGCCTCGCCGTTGTTTCGCCATTTGCCGATGCTCTCGCCAGAGTTTACCTCGTCGTCGTAAATCACGCGACGTGGCAGGCCATTGTTTTCTGTCTGTCTCCGCGTTGTCTCCTAGAAATAGAATAATTAATATATCGATAGAATTAGTATAGTCCTATTTGTACAGTTTGTTGAGTTTCCAATCATTATTGGAACAACATTGTTACAAATTGTCATATTTCCTTGCTAGTTCGAATGTAATTCAAAATGATTAGGATGTTAATTGTACGCGCAATAACGAGTTCTGATTATGTGCCTCCAGCTTAATTAAACATTGATTCGAATACAAAGATATTACTGTGCTACTATTAGAATGATTTCAACTGAATTAACACAATACTGGGAAACTCTTTAATTTTGTTTCGTAATTCGCTAACAAGCAATGTAATATCTCTCTAAATTAAAGATACGGCATCCAGGAAACTATCCTGGATATAGTTTCTTTTAAAAAAATGTATACACGCACATGATGGCGTAAAAGAATTTTAATATGGAATTTAGTCGAGTTTCAGGCAGTACGTAAATATTGGGGCGTTTTATTTTTACTCGAAAACAATTTTAATAATATATTTGTAATTTGCAGCAAAGATGAAATTATACAGAACTTTCTCGTGTTAAATGTTCCTTCGGAATTTTCATTAGGATGCATCAGAAGTTAACATATAGCTCGAATACACGAAAGTAAACATATATTAGCTATATCCTTGATTTATTTGCAATGTTAATTTGGTTAATCACGGTAATAATTATCATGACCACGCATTTTCGATCTGTGTTTGAGATACGAAAGTATCGTTCATTAAAATTCAGTCAGTTTCTAAGTAAATGAATAACGGGAATGTAAACAGTGAACAAAGTTCAGTGACTACAAAAAGGGAAAGTGCAATGTCCAGATGTAATTTGTGCAATGACGAAACCGTGCAAGGATGTCATCATAGTCGTGTCACATCGATATAATTATTAACCTAAAACATAATCGTAAATTGTATCGAGGAATAATTTAAAAATTATTCGTTCTAGTACATCGTTTATATGAAACATTTAACGAAGTTCTTGGAATTGCACGAAGTATGGAACGAAGTGTTTACGAAGTCTCGAACTTTCCGCGGTTCGGTGTCAGCTTTCTCTTTCTCTTGTGGTTTACGTGCTACCGTACAGCTATAGTTCTGTTTTTCATTTCAATGACCTCAACGCGGATTTTGATATTTGCTACTGTTAGAGACGTGTTCCGAAGCGTGGAAAACTCTTATCTATCTTTTAACTACGGCCGTGAACATTTGGTGAAATCCTTCTTTATATGTAGGATTTCACATAAATGACTAACAATAATCATTCAATTTAGGGTTAATTTTTTCTCTCGTAATATCTTAAATACAGTGATGGGGAAAACCCTAGGCTTCGAATAAATCTGAAGTTTGTCGATTTGTTTGTCTCGTTTCCTTCTTTGAAATATGTTCAAAAGAAGAAACGAGACAAACATATCGACAAACTTCAGATTTATTCGAAGCCTAGGGTTTTGCTCATCTCTGCTTAAATATAAATGTGCATATCTAATCCAAAGATTGTGATACACAATTAGTAACCAACAAAAAAAAAAGCAGTTCTCGTAGTGATTTTTCAAAAGATCGATTTGGTAGGATCCAATTTTAATTTCAATTGAAAATCGATTTCGGAATTTCTTCTTTACGAGAATTGATCATCTCTACCTTAACGACAACGATAAGCGCGATAGGTTTCTACGGTAGCTCTCCAGAGGTCGTTTCGATCGTTTATTAGTCGGTAAAAAGCGTACGTAGATCGCAAACAATCAGTATCCCATGATGGCGTCATAAATTGTGATTCATAATGGTCTTGTAACGAGTTGAAAGTTCCTTAAATCGCGAAATCTGTAAGACTTGGATTAATTTAATACCCACATTAATTTCAGATTAGGTTAATCATTGATGTACTACGCGTTCATAGCGAACAAAATTGAAATCTTTTGTATCACGAAATAAAGTTACGTTGCATCTTTTTGGCTATTTTCAGATGCAGATAACTAATCCGTCGGTTTCGTCGTGTAAAACTATAACAAATACACCTGTCCCTTGATTTACACGGTAGATACACGTGAAGGAGAGTGTTTGACAAATGAAAATCCGGAACAAAGAGGTATCTTCAATTTTTTGTCGAAAACAGAAATATTAAAATTCTAGAAAAATCCAATCTACGTCAATCAAACCGTGTTTGACGTCCCTTACACGAAAGTAAACCACGCTGTTTTAACCGGTCGCGCATTTTATCTCTCACTTTGATTTTTTTCTCGCGGAAACAGGTAGGTTGCGAAATGCTCGAGACATTTCATCGACGCATTCGGACGTTCGACAATCGTACCGCGAGTAGGTAGCGACGCATCTAGATTTTTCGAGACCTTTAGCTAATTATTTCGTGACGCCTTTTTCATTTTTAGGATGTTCGATGAAACGTGAACGTTCTTTCAGTGAATTCTTTAGCTCTCTTAGCAACGAACATTCTAGATCGAGATCCTTTTTTTCGTCGTAGATCTCACGGAACCCTGGATTTTTTGTTAGGAAATGTTATTAAAATAATTAATTGCTAAACTATTCTTGTGAGTGGCGCCAGCTGTCGAGACATGCCATTTAAAGAAAAGAATTGGGTGATATTAAATCGCCATTTATTTAACGAACGGTGCCTTTCCTCAGGGCCGGCGTAACCTTTTGCGGGGCCGGGTTCAAAAATTTTGCGGGGCCTGAATTCAAATCCTACACTTGAATTTTACAACGAGGAATTATTTATTTACAAATGCTATATATTTTTTGTAAGATGAATATTAAACAATAATACTTTGATGATTTTTGTCACTCCTTTCAATTTAATCATCGCTACTAAAAAAATGTCTTGCATCTCAGCAAAAATTGCTTCCACTTGTCAATGGTGTCATCAGTCTGTAAAAAGTTAATCAAAATCGGTACCTTTTAATTCGGTAATTATCGTAGACCGCGGGGCCGAATCGATCGTCTATCGATTGTTTTCAATCCGTTTACAAACCTTTGTGTACACTTTTCAATTTGTAGTTTCGAATGAGGGATCGACGCCCTTAAGTCTAGACAGGCCTCAGCCAGTATATACTTCCAATAAATGAGTTGAGGGCGAGGGGGGTGGGAGGGAGGGAGGGTAACGTCTCTTACAGGGGAAATTATCGCATTATTTAGAGAGGATTCGCTGTACACTCAAGGAGACACGACACCGTAACGACACTAAAAAGAGCGATATTTCCAGAAATTCTTTATGAAGAAACTATGCGATGAATTATTTTGAAACTTTCAGTATAAGAACCATAGTAGAATATGTGTTGTGTACAGGGTGTCCCAGCCTTAGTGATACAGGGCTCTAACTCCAAAACTATCGGCCGAATGGAAAATTTCAAATATGGAAATTGCATGGTAAAGCGGGGCTCATGTTTCAGCGAGAAGGGATTTTTGTTAACTTTGTTATTTAACGAGATATGATGGTCAAGTTTCGTTTTTCATAATGGAACTATGTATATTTTTTTATACCACGCGATAGTATTTTTCAAGATGGATTCATTAAGCTTTAACGTATTTACCCGATTTTTCTTAGTTTTGAAGATAGGACGCTTCAAAGTTTGCTAATTTTCAAGGAAAAAACTCGGTTCGATCCCGGGCGGTCCCATTGATCCAATAAGCACCATGCGGTTCTTGAAATCGATACGGAGGGTCTCGCTTGGAATTCTAGGCCCAGAATAATTGGGATTCTTCCCATTTTCCTCCGTATCGATTTCAAGAATCGCATGGCGCTTACTGCATCGATGGGACCGACTGGGATCGAACCGAGTTTTTTCCTCGAAAATTAGCAAACTTTGAAGCGTTATAGCTTGAAAAGTAATAAAAATCGGGTAAATATTAGGTTGTCCCGAAAGTTTCTTTCGCGAGTTGCACTCAATTATTTTCTGTGGTCGTGTTTATATAAATAGACAACCTAATTTCATAGATATTCATGTTGTAACAGTAATGGAGCAAAATGAATCGTGCACAATTCAGTAACGTAACATAAAACACAAACTACTGTGCATGTATTACTTATTAATAAAGCGAAAGAAACTTTTCGGACAACCTAATACATTAAAGCTTAATGAATTCGTCTTGAAAAGTGTTATCGCATGGTATAAAAAAGAAAGTATGTAGTTCCATTTGAAAAACGAAACTTGACCATCATATCTCGTTAAATAATAAAGTCAAGAAAAATTCCTTCTCGCTGAAACATGAGCCCCATTTTATCATGCAATTTCCATATTTGAAATTTTCCGTTCGGCCTATAATTTTGGAGTTAAAGCTCTGTATCACTTAGGCTGGGACACCCTGTATATCCTGGAGGATAATCAAGACATCTTGTTGACATTTCCTTCCCATGATTTCATTTATACACATATTTTTCAATAATTTCTACAAGTAAAATATTTTTAATTCTGTTCTGAAAGCATTGATATGTATACACGTGTCGCGCCTCGTTAATCCTTTATTTACACGATTTCACTTTTTCGCAGACTAGACGACAACGGTAGGAAAGAAGAAAAACGGGTGATCGGATGAACGGGGATTTGGGGATTTAGAAATATTCTTTTTCGATCCTTACCTGATAGCTCTGATTTTCCCCTCGAGCTGGTCGGTCCGCGTTCGGTCGAGTAGACTCGGCGGATCCATCACGAGGGAAATCGAACGCGAAGAGCATCAACGAGAGCAGACAAAATGTTCTCCACATCGTTGCAGCGCGATCGGAACACCGAAAGCTCCTCGTCATCGATGCACCAAGTAACCACTTGCTCCTCCACGTTGACGTAGGTTGTTTGCTCGTTGGCTTTGTGCTCGTCGCCGTCCAACAGGTGCACGTAGACAGCCGTCGCGCACAGGATAACGAAAATCGCGTTCTTCCTGTTGCACAGGCCGTAGATTTCCTCAGGGTTCATGCAGAACCGCTCTGTCGTCCCCGTCTGGTGGCTAATTACAAGCAGGCGACTTCTCGACTCGGTTAATTTCCTCTTCGAACGCGATTATATTCTCCCCGCCAAATTTATGGTCGTCGGGTCCTCATTTAACGCTGAGAGATCGAATTTTTACCTGTACAAACTACCACGTTCAGAAATTTCTACGAATTCAATTGTTTTAAAGATTCGAGCGCTCTTGAAATTTCTATTTCCTTAACGGATATCGAACGATTCTCGTTTAAGGCGATGTCGCGTCGCGAAACACCCTCTCGAGCGGTATTTTCTTTTTTCCCTTCGTGTCGTTGAATTTTTCTCGTCACCACGCGGACCACTGCAACAGACGCGTGTCGTCTACCATTATTATTAGGTTTTCTTGTTTCGTTTTGGTAAACCTTCGCGCACGAGGCTGTGGATACTGCGAGCGACTCTCGTTCACTTTCGAAGCGGCACACTCTTCTACGCGAACTGACGACGGTTTTCTCCGTGCGCGATCCTAAGTAAGTCGGTGAAACTCGAGAGCAGAGAGTCTTCTACTCTAAACGTTTGCTCGGCCAGGGAGAGACGCTCTCTTGCTTCCCAACGAGCGCTGGCTGATCGTCGAAGATGAATTTCATCGTTAACCATTCTTGCAAGACGGTGGGAGATTGTGCGAGATAATACCAGCCGTTCCTTTGACGAATCGATTTTCCTCTCGCAAAACAGAAAGTGGAGAAAAGAGTGACGAAGTGGTATAGATCGTGATCTTAATCCTCTGTAAAGTCATTCCACGCAAAATTCTTCACTCACCGTAATGTGTGTGATTTTCTCCGATTTTTTAAGTAGTAATTTATTAGGAAATAATTGCAAACGAATTACTATTATCATTATTTATTCCAGAAAAAATATTATATGTATATACATACATGTAGTAACGGTTCTAGTGTTTCTAGTGGTTCTAGTGTCATTGTAATAGTGGTTCTGGTTGCTTGAGAATATAATATATTATATTAACATTATATTATAACATATATTATATTATATATTAACATAATAGTTTTGAGAATGAATGAAATATAATCTTCGAAAAAATAGTTCAATGTATTTGGTTAGAGTAGATTTTTCCAATTGTAAAATGTTTTCATCGGTCGCGCTCGAATGGAAAGAACGAGAGATTCGCGAGAACCGTCGTACGCTTTGATAGATCTTCACTCGGAAGCGGAAGAACGATCGATCGTATCGAATCGTCTGTTCTACGCGATCGTTGATCGGCCACTCGAAGATCGAACGAGATGTTGCGCGTGTTTCTTTAACAAATTCCGTTCGTATATTTATTAATTTATATTAGTCTTTAATTGCATAATTTATTCGTTTTATTGTACTCGAGTATTCATACACTCTATCAGATTTTGTTTGCGTGCCAATAATTAAGTGACTCGTTGCACTCGGTTATTCTCGGTTTCATTGAACTCCTCTATGATCTCATGGACAGTTACCGGATAAAGTGAAGTTGTGCGATCCGATGAATGACTGTCGGGGAAATTACTTCATCGATTCTAATTGTAGTAATTATCGAGGCGTATGTAGACTGGTCGAGGTTGAGGCTACTCGTGAAATTTGTCTGTATTTGAACACTCGGTCGAAATATAGATTAGATCCAAAAGGAGGACAATTGTTAGAAGAACAACAATGATCAAAATTTGGTGGTTGATGAACTTGGAACGTATACGTGTATTCTAATGGCCATCGAGTTGAGACTTGGATTATCTATAGGTTCGCTGTAATGGCGACCAGGTTGAGGACCTAGAAGGCTGGATGATAAAATGACGATTAGATATTTCTACTTAAACCAGAGCGTAATCTCAGCCCTAACCAGCGACAGTTTCGTGATTGGGTTCGCCAGTGATAGTCTCCGCGGCGAAGCAATGTTGTAGAAAGTGCGCGATGGAGATCTCACGATCTTCGATTCATAGCACGACCTTCCCACGTGCAGTGGACTGTGCATCCATCCCCACGATGCGGCAGCGGTTTATGTTGTGCTCGTCTCCCTGATTCTTATCCGCAGGCCCGCGATTCGTTGCGAAACGAGCCGCCGCCGTTTTTATTCCGTCGTTTCCTTTTGTTCCCAGCGTCGTCGCATCTGCTTCCTCGACTTCTGTCAACCACGCTCTTTCAGGACCACTTTCTTCTCTAATTAAAACCAATGATTAATTCATTCGTAACTACACGCGAAACGGTCGATCGATCGACCGATTTATTCCTAATCTTGTGTAGAAGTATGAGCGACAAATAAGGCACAGAAGAGATTCGAACCCACGATTCTCGGATCCACCAGTCGACCATTTTCTCTACACGACCGTCACCTCACCTTACGATTCGTGTTTTCATTTGACTTCGTAGATTAATAGTAAACGTAGATTATCACGTTCGCAGCCAGACTAAAATAACAGTAATTATGTTAAATGCGTACCATTTCGTCATACGATCTTCCTAAGGCGTCTGGCCACCCTGAGCGCTCGCCAGATGGGTACTATTCTTAAAAAAATTCATAAATGCGAAAGTATAGACAAAAATATACTTTTATGTTTCGACACATACTTAAAGAACGGTTTAATGAACACATGAAAAATTTTTTGAGATAACAGAAAAAGAAATGGCGACGGTTCGACAATTTTGGTGAAGCCCTTCGGCACGAAACGCGCGTGGGCTGTCCCATCATTATATTCTTTAGGTTGCATGTGAAAGAGCAAAAAAAAAATATTACATTGTTTCTGGAGTTTGTCGCAAGAGAGTAGGAATTGGATTTTTTTTTTTTACCATTAAGAAAATTATGATGAGCCGAAGAAATTTTATTTTTCTTTTTCACCGAAATTTCACGAGAAAAATGGTCAATAAAAGAAAAACTAATCAAGTAATCGCAAAAATCCATTGCTACTCTTCAGATAATGTATCTAAAAGTAGTGTGTACAAATTTCAGAGCAATCGGACCGATAGTTTACGAGATTTACGTTGTATCATTTCGAAAAATATAGTTTCGAGATAATCCCAAAAGAAAGTATACGGTCCGATTGCTCTGAAATTTGTACACACTACTTTTAGATACGTTATCCGAAGAATTGAAATGGATTTTTGCGATTACTTGATTAATTTTTTTTTAAGAATAATACACATCTGGCGAGCGCTCAGAGTGGCCAGACGCCTTAATTCTAATCGATACACTGTACACGTCGTAAACTGTTCAATCGTCAGCAACATGATTGATCTGTGTCAGTGGATCGAAATATTTGCATACAGAATTGTGTATCTATTTGAACTAAATATTTCGTTCTGAATTTGGTGTACATAGTAGCTCGCCGTATTCTTCTATGTTTACGTTTGAAGATATGAGGAAAAAATAGCTAGACCGAGGTAAAACCTCAGGATAGAGGTACTTTGATCGTTCTCGAAGGGGAGAAAAGGAAACAAAGTTATGGAGAAGAGTAAATGTTCATATTCAATGAAACTGTGACCCATATCTTTCGTTCTCACGCGGAAAAATAATTAATCTAGGTTCTTCGTTCGGTTTCAGATGTGAAATTAACCTTGTTTCGAATGCATTTCTAATTATATCACATCCGGTAAATTTATTAAACGAGAGCCATCGAAATGATTAATTAATAGCGAATATGTATTTATGAAATAAATGAAACGAGATAAGAAAGAGACATTATTAAATGATCGTTACGAGGGAACATTAGATTGATCGATAAATTCAAACGTAAATAAAAAGTTTAACGAAAATAGGAGGAGATAATCCGTATGTTTAAAAGGAAGATAATAGGTTTCGTTGTACCATTCAATTTTTTCCTATAATCACGAAACAGAATGTACCATTCAGAAAAATTGCGTGACGTGCGCTATATAATTTCGTAATTAGTTTTGCTCGAACTTTACGCGCGTGTATGTCACGTGACCAAACACTTTACCGACCATTGGCCTATCAATCCGCTTTTTTAATAATCTATTATCGATATAACATTAAATACTCCTATCGTTATATGAACATTAATTTAAAAATTGACTCTAGTAGACTCTAATCCAGTCAAAATAGAAAATATTATCGTGTAGCGCATCGTAAAGTGTTAACGCCGCGAATAAATGGCCATACAGAGTTTTTATATTTAATTATACATTTAATGATTTCTCTAATGAAATAGTAATAGCGCGGTGAAGGTAACTTCCTAATACGGTAAAAATAACATCGTATCCCGATGAATAGAAGCGAAATGTTGTGAGAGTAGAGGAGCTAATGGAGAAGAAATGTCAGGAAAAAAAACGTTGCTCTCTCGGACGAAAACAGTAAAACGTGCGTTACTCCTCTCGACGATATCTCCTCTTCCGTAGCCTGAGATCGTCGGTCGAGGAGACTCGTAACAAGAGTGCTCGAGTCCAAGAGCGTATCTACTACGAAACTCCAGGTCCCGCCGAAAGTACCTTATTTATTAATTATTTTATCTCAACTAGGAAGGAAGGAAATTTTGTTCGGTTTAAAAGGATTTAAATAATTTTATAGCGCTCGAAATTTATAGAAATATACATTATTTGTGTACCTTTAATACATTTCTATGGTAGATTATCAAAATTTCAGCGTCTACATTTATAAACTATATTTCTACGATATCATTTACGATTTACTAAAGACCTACCGAGTAATGGTACGTCAGCACTTTTGGACGATGGCATAATGATTCTTGAATATTCGAGAAGTTTGAGGTAATCGTAGAATGATTATTCTAATATAAAATGATTCGACATATTACGATGTAAAACCGACGCAGTATGTTTACTCGTTTCGCGAAAGATTTTAGAAAAGTAAAAGGGGGCCATTCCGAAATAATTAGCTCTTGATCCCCGATTAGCCTAGTTACGCTACTGCTCGAATTGCAAGCAAGAGAGGACGAGCCGCGCACTTTCACACGAGGCCGAACTTTCATACGGTTTACCCGTATGTAGTAACACACGCAAGGGAGCAGGCGAATGTTCCCTTTTCCCGTTCTTTTTTTCACGGAATATAATTTTCTATTATCGCGTAAACGCGGCTACTCGCCTGCGGTTTCCCAGCTGATTTGTTGAATCCCATTGCCTTTCTTTTCCTCGGGCCATTCGCGATGCATTATTCATTAATACCGAGACGTCGTAAATGAAATAAAGCCGTCGCGCACTGTCCTATTTCAGAAGAAAAAGGAATTGTCGTAACTTCGATACATTTTTAAATAAGTAGTTACAAAGGTCTTCGTTTTGGCGGAGCATCGCTATATTCCTCTCTTCGTTACTTGACACGTTGATCGCCGCGTCATTTGGGTGACAGTGCTTTTCACTGAAAAATGAAAACTATTAATTGTGAAAGTTGAGCGTCATAGAAAATGAATTTAAATGAAATACTCGAATTTTGGTGAAGTTACAAAACTAAATACCAAAATAAATGTTTCATTGCGCAGTTTCCAAAACTCTGTAAACAAAATTAAATCGCGATAGAAATTTTCAAGAGTGTTAGTCTGGCAGTGAACGTGTTAAGGCGTCTGGCCACCCTGAGCGCTCGCCAGATGTGTATTATTCTTAAAAAAAAATTAATCAAGTAATCGCAAAAATCCATTTCAATTCTTCGGATAACGTATCTAAAAGTAGTGTGTACAAATTTCAGAGCAATCGGACCGTATACTTTCATTTGGGATTATCTCGAAACTACATTTTTCGAAATGGTACAACGTAAATCTCGTAAACTATCGGTCCGATTGCTCTGAAATTTGTACACGCTACTTTTAGATACATTATCTGAAGAGTAGCAATGGATTTTTGCGATTACTTGATTAGTTTTTCTTTTATTGACCATTTTTCTCGTGAAATTTCGGCGAAAAATAAAAATAAAACTTCTTCGGCTCACCGTAATATTCTTAATGTTAAAAAAAAAAGAAAGAAATCCAATTGCTACTCTCTTGTAACAAACTCCAGAAACAATGTAATATTTTTTTTTTACTCTTTCACATGCAACCTAAAGAATATAATGATGGGACAGCCCACGCGCGTTTCGTGCCGAAGGGCTTCACCAAAATTGTCGAACCGTCGCCATTTCTTTTTCTGTTAATCACAAAAAATTTTTCATGTGTTCATTAAACCGTTCTTTAAGTATGTGTAGAAACATAAAAGTATATTTTTGCCTATACTTTCGCATTTATGAATTTTTTAAGAATAGTACCCATCTGACGAGCGCTCAGGGTGGTCAGACGTCTTAATCTTGTACCTAAAAATGGTCGAAAAACCACTCGTGTAACGATTACGCGTATATTATATCTGGCCGTGTTCGCGTTGATCGCGAGGACCGCTTTCGGAGATAGATTTCCGTCTTTACGTAAGAGGAAGTAATCTAATAGCCACGCGACGACCAGAACGATCTCGACAATACGATCAAGGCTTTCATTTGTCCACTTTTGTCCTGCCACGACGATCTAGACGAGCCCGTGAAAGAAAGTACACAGATCGACGCTTTAAGATAACTATGACGAGCAAATATTAGGTTGTTCCAAAAGTTTCTTTCGCTTTATTAATAAGTAATACATGTAATACAGTAATTCATTTTGCTCCATTACTGTTACAGCATGAATATCTATGAGATTAGATCGTCTATTTATATAAACACGACCACATCAAATAATTGAGTGCAACTCGCGAAAGAAACTTTCGGGACAACCTAATAGAAGAAAAACTATAATCTTATAGAAATTCTATATAAATGAACTTTTACGATAGGAATGGTTGAACAAATTCCATTGTAGTTATTTGAATTCATTTTCGAATTCAATTACACTCATCGAATGTCAAGAAACTCGAAACATTTGTTTATCCAAAGAAAAACGTCGACGACTGAGTTTACGTTGCGATCAGAGCTAAATTATATGTATAAACTAAATCGCCAGTCCGAAAAATTGCCTCATTGCTGGACCACGTTTTCATTTATCAGTTAAATTGTAGAAACTTTGAAACCCATAAAGATAATAACGATATCTCGTAGCTTTATGTTTCGCACGAGCGCGTATTTCAGGTATTTTAGAAAGCGAACGAACATTAAATCGTCTTTTTTTCTTCTTTCGGGAGTTTTACGAGTCTTTGTTTTCGAGGTGTCCGCCGTTTTGTTTCTCTATGTGTTATTTTTGTACGTGTTTTGTTCGCGGCGCGAGTCGTGAAACGCGAATGTCTCCTGAGAGAGAGAAAGTCGAGGTAAACGACGATGGCAATGAATCTTCTTTTCTTTCCATTTCCGGAATTGTAGGTCAAGTTCTTTGCCCGAAAAGCAGATACAGCTGCTGTTCGACGATTATACAGCGTGCCACTCTCGAAGGCGAAAGTCACTTCCACCTTTTTCTGTGGGATACCCGTGATTAACACCTCTGCACCCGTGATTAACACCAGAGCACCCATATAGAAGCAAAACTTGCAACGTTTTTTCAAGTCTTGATTCTAAGTTACAAGATAGGAAGTCGTACCATTTTCGCGGGAGCTTCTCGAACAAGGATTTCGACTAATGAAATGCTTGAGAAATTTGTTAATGATTTAGTAAACTTTTGTACGAAGGCTGGTCTTTATTGGGAGTCATCGATTTAATTATCTTGGTGACGGCCTTTTCGCGCCTAATGCAATCTCTGTCCCATTTTCTCAGCATCTCTTTATACACATTCGATTTTCTCGATCTCGTGTCAACTCTTAAATAAACATGGGTACAGTGAAAGCTCCGCTACCGGTGCTTTCGAAAACAGATAAATATATAAAAGCATAACGGTAAGACGTTTTAATCAACCGTGTTAGATGCTCAACCTAATGATCTACTTTTACTATCTTTTCCAAATCGATCAATTTCTAAACTACACATCTTAGAAAAGAGAAAGCGTGCACCTTTAACAATCTCTCGAACTGTAATCTGCTTATCTTGTGGTTTACAGTAAAACTTTTTTTAAAACAGTAAAAATTGTTCAAGTTGGCTCCCATGCAACGATCGAGATTCTATCGCAATAACATGATTTCGAAAGAAAGCGAATACGATCCCAACGAAAGTAGAAGATCGATTTGCGCTTATCTTCCGATTGGCAGGACGGAATGCGCGGTAAATTAAATTTCCGCGACGAAATTCCTGTTACAGCTGGGCTGTCTCCACGATAATGACCAGGCAGAACCTACTTCCTAGCGAGGACGGCTCACGCATGATCTATGCCTTGATCCCGATGTGGGACATGTGCAATCACGAGAACGGGAGAGTTAGTTCGCTCGTCTACATTCTACGCGCAATCAACACAGCGGCCTTTGTATCCGGTTCTTTTTATTTCAGATCTTCACGGATTTCAACGAAACATCAGACAGTTGCGAGTGTTACGCTCTGAGGGATTTCAAGAAAGGAGAACAGATATTCATTAGTTACGGACCTAGAACGAATTCCGACTTTTTCGTACATTCTGGATTTGTTTATATGGATAATAAAGAAGTATGCCGTCTCTCGAAATTATTCAATATTATAGTAGAAATTCTCTTACTCGAAATAACAGGGAACACTATATTCTTAGATAAAAAAAAAGTTCTTTCAGTAAATAGAAATAAATTGTTATCGCACCCGACGTTATGATTAAATAAATCGATACTCCCTTTTTCAGGATGGCTTCAAACTGCGTCTTGGAATTAGCAAAGCCGATTCTCTGCAAAAGGAACGTATAGAATTATTGAACAGATTAGACCTACCTCCTGTGAGCGAATTCCTGTTGAAACCAGGAACGGAACCAATTTCTGATTTATTGCTGGCGTTTTTGAGGGTGTTCAGTATGCGTAAATCCGAACTGACGCATTGGCTGCGATCGGATCGGGTTCACGATTTGAAGCACATGGATTGCGCTTTGGAAACTGTCGTCGAGGAGAACATCAGGAAGTTTCTGCTTACCAGGTTGCAGCTCTTAATTGCTAATTACCCGACGACTCTGAAGGTGAAAGTGAAACGAAAATACTGTTTGTAACGCAAAGCGACGCTGTATCAGCGTTAAAATCGTAATCGTTGTGTTGTTTTAATTGTACTTGTTTTATAGGAAGATCTTCAGCTGCTCGAAACGTCGTTGCCGCAAATTAAAAAGTTAGCCATTCAACTAAGAGTAACGGAAAAAAAGATTCTTTTAGCTGCTCTCGAATACGTGGAACAATGGATCAAGGCTTAACGAAAAATTCACGAACTGATTTTCTTTTCTGAGATCGTTCTAATTCTATTCGACGTGGGTTTGATATAAACAAAAATTTAGCCAAAATAATTCTTTGAATGATTAAAGGTACATATAAAAAATAGTACGAGATAAGCAAAACGCAGGCAGAAAAGGGAGCAATGGTGTAAAGTATACTAATGTGTATAAACATTCAACAAACTATATATACATATATATATATGTGTATGTACGTGTATTATTAACAACTATACAATGCAATGTAAAGTAATTACGTGTTCCAAAGGATCTCGATTCTTGTTTTCGAGAGATGAGAACTTTACAAAATATAAACTGTGTTTATCTAACGCGTAAATATTTTTCGTCGAGCTTATACTTCCAGTCAATGTGCTAATCAAGTTCTAATCTCTGATGACAAGATTTGACGAACGCAATACATTTATTTCAGCTTTGATAAAAAAAAAAAGAACAAAAACAAAAATGTACAAATGAAATGTTATTATTCATGAATATTTATTTTTCAAAGAGGATAGTTCAGAGATCTAATTCTTTATGTAAGCTATTACGTGGTTTACACGGGCCTACGAAATCAGACTTACAAACAATTATGCGCCGTAAGATTTACCAATATATCTATCGAATTCTAATAGTACACATAAAAATAAGACAAGCAGCGAGTTCCAGATATTTCCCAGCCATTACAGTTGTATCATATCATGTTTACCCCTAAACTTCTATGCGGTGATTTAAGAAAACTTTGCGCTTACACGGATATTATAACTATACTTTAAAAATTTATCTACACAAAGGCGTAAATGTTTCGATCTCATATAATAAAAAATAATACCATAATAAATTAGATGGCGCTACAGCAGGACTGATAGCTTTCTGTATTGCTTTTTCAATACAGCGGGGCAGACATGATACAATTAAATACAAATGTTACGTTAACTTAACATTACATTTTCCCCTAATATAAAACACAGAGAATGTATGGTTACATTACTTCGACGAATCGCTAAAAAAAGTTATCGTCTTGTTATCTGATCCAAAAAGTTCTATAAGTAGAGTGATTGTATGAGATTCTTAATTATATTCTTAAAGTGATATTATCGACTTCGTGACAATACGAGTAACCGGATGAATGACGATATTCTGTATCTTATATAATCGCTAAAAAAATATACCTGTACATGTTCATCCTTTCTTCAGGTGAGGTCAAACTGCAATACAGTTTATTTAAGAACTTTTTGATCAGATAATGTTTTAATACATATTCGTACCAATAATTTATGTTGTGTGTCGCCAGTCATGTTTAATTGTACTTAATATATACTACAAAGAGACTGTCAGCAACAGCAGATTTCATTATTACGAGTAATTTTTAACCATCAGTTTCAGATCTTTTACATTTCATTCTGTATTTAGCTTTTCTACTTTAGCTGGAATTATTTTCTGGAATATTATCTTAGATTCATAACGTATTTTGGAATTCGATTTTATCTTTCGATAGATCTACGTTATCGTTTTCACTAGCGTACTTCTCAAACTCCAAGTATTACGGTACCGATAGAGTTTCCCTCTTCTTCTTCATTGTTTATCTTAACATTTTTAATGTCATGATCTCTTTGAACATGCGACACGAGAGAAGGTAAGGCATAAAATATTTTGTCGCAAAGATTGCACTGGAATGTCTTTCCGTCTGCCGCCTGCAAGCAGTGTTGATGATCTGGTACAGAAGTGTACGTTTGCCTATGTAACGCTACATGTTTCTCATGATCAATGGCAAGAATGAAATCGTAAGAACAAATTGGACATCTTAAATTGTGCTTTGCCCACACTGTGTGCGTTTTTAATCTATGTAGACTATCATAAACTTTACCACAAACAGGACACTTCATGCATTTATGATTATTAAGCGTTTCTATGCTTTCGTATAATCCGCTACATTCTTTACATTGATAAGTTCTTTCTCCAGTACAAGCATGTTTAAACCAATGCTTTTCCATTTGTGGTAATAAATCGAACACTAATTTGCAGAGAGAACATATAAATCTCCCTTGATGATCTCTTTTCATACTAAGGTTCGATGCTCGTGTATTCCAATGTTTTTCAAAATTATTTTTCAGCAATAAATTTTCATTACAAAATTCACATTGATTTTGATGTTTTGATAAGTGAGTGAATAACATTCCAGGTTCGGTGTTTGTGTAATTACAAAAGGAGCACACAAAATAATCCTCGTTTTGGTACATATGAGAGTATAAATGTTTTTGGAATGAGTTTGAAGTAAAAAACATTGCACCACATGCTGAACATTTTAGGTAAGGCTTACCCTCTTCTGTATAAAATAACGGCAGAGATCTAAAGCTTTGTAACCAACTAACGTTATCTGCAGAATCCGCATTATTCTCTTCATCCATAGAGGATTCCTCATAATCTATTTCTTTCAGAATCGGCATATGTTCGTCGGTAGAAATAATTGAGTGTTCGTCTTCTTTTATTTCAACTATCGGCTCGTGCTTGCATATGAGTTTCCTTAACAATAGTACTTTGTTATGTCGTTTGGAACGACGCAAAGACTTAGATTTTTTATTAGATAAGGAACATTCGTTTGATAATTTGTTTGTCATTAATTCGTTCTGTGCTTCCAATTCTGTTATTATTATAAATTCTTTATTATCAGGTACGGAAGTAACATAAGAAAGAGATGATTCAGTTTTCAGATCCTCCCAATCGCTGAGAGTAGCATCGCTACTAATTTCAGAGTCATTTTCAATAGACAATAGGTCTTCCTGAGTTTCTATATCATCGTTATCATCATCCTCTGCAGACAGCATAGGTGTCCTTAATATTCGTTCGCTCGTTATCGGATATTTGTCCTTTTCATAACTTTCTTCGTCGCTTCTTTTCTTATTAGATTCTTCATCCTCCATTGCATCTTTTGAAAAGTCTTTGCATTCCATGTCTTCTAGCGTTAACATTTTATTATATAGATGTATGCTCAATTTAAACGATCACTGTAACATAGAAAATGAAACGATATGGTAACTGTATAACAGGAATGGGTAAAATTTGTATCTAGATGAAAATTTTCAATACAAGAACAACAAAAGCTTATCCAAATAACTGTTCAATTGAAGAAACCTTGCGACTAAGTCGCTGTATAGAATTTTTATTCATCTATAATCTAAATAAAATTCTCTGCTATCGAATGTTTACACGCAAAGTTCTAAAAAAAATGAAACATAACCTAGCTTTTGTTTGTTTATCGTATCTTTTTCGTTTGTAACGATTATAAGTAAATGATAACTATATTAAGAGTTTGAATGATAGATGCCTGTTATTGTGCAAATAAAGTGTACTCACGCGTGGACATTTAATCCGGCTCCTCCTTACAATGCTCTTCGCGGTACGAACATCGATTTGTATCTGCTTGGGATTCTTTAAACATGCATCGGTAGATGTGCAAAAAAAGTATATAGGAAAATGAAGACTCGTTTTTCAGTAATTCAAACATCGCACGTAATTCACCATTCTCAAAATATGCATTATTATTCACGCTCGAATAACTTTAGTCAGCTGTTTTTTGATTACACGGAATTGACAGGACGTTGGAGCGCGTTCAATGCGACGACCTGTCTGCGATCACACAAAATATGTCTCAATTTTTTCGCTATTAATTTCTATAACCTATTTATGCAATCCATTCGAAACAACAGAAACGACGTAAAATACTTTCCAAATCTGTTTACAAATCGAGAACTGTTCGCGTGTATGAAGTTTGTTTTTATTGGAGTACAAACTATTATGTATTATGTTATATGCAGGGCTGATCCTAGCGTGCTCGGTGCCCTTCTGTAATTTATAAATGGTTTCTGTTTTCGTTGAGTCTCTCAATTTACGTAATATAGATGGAAAACGTTTTCTCAGCTGCATTTTAGTATTATAATGCTTGTAGGATAATCAGAAATTAATTATTGTATGCGATCAAACAGATTACGGGAGTATCCTGTAATATCGACAATTATGAGGCGCCATCTAGCGAAAATGTTAATTACTATTCTACGACAAGCTTGGCCGTATTACCGCCGATGGCGTTGATGTCAAGTAGCAATTCTATTTTCAATTCAAAATTGAAACTCTAGAAGTTTGACTAATTTTTCAAATGTTTTAAACATTTTTATTTTTATGTTAAACGGGTATACATACTTTCAAGGTTTTCAAACAGATAGCAAACATAAACTTAATACACTTAAATCGATACAATATACACAACTGAACGTAGAGATTATTAAACAAACAATAGTAACAACAAACGTCTTCATGTACAACGACGGACTTACGATACTTAATTCTTTGCGTTCCACCTATTGAAAGATTTAACCTATCGACGAATGTAGAATATTAAATCTCTTTGTGGACATTATTGACTATTGCAAAAAATTAACATTACAGTTTTCTATAACATCAATTGTCTCGATAAAAAAAAAAAATATCAAACGCATCTCTTCCTACACACAGTTTACATAGCAGTTCCTAAATTATCCTTAAAAGTGGCAGTATGTTCCAATGTTTCTCGCTAATTAAATATTTCTAGTTTTGGTTTACGCGGTCATTAAAACAATTGCAGACAGCGTACCGAAATTCATTGTTTGTGTAGTATTTCAGGATCAATATAGTCGATGGTACATATACAATGGTATGGTTCTTTTAAGGTAGTTGTTCCGTGAATTCATTTAATAGAGGATTTTAACAAAACCTCACTCGACTGTTCTGTGATTAAATGTGAATCGTATGATCCTATTTCGCTTCAAATTTACCACTCCAGTTTTACGATAAACGATATCGAAATTTTGGTATTTTAACTCAGCCTCTTATGGAACGTATAGATTTTCACGTAAATTTGTTCAATTTAAATTCAAATGCTTTCAGGAACTTGCTGAAAAATTTGTAACGTTATCAAAATCGATGTTATCAAAAAGAATCGATGTTATTAAAGAGAATAACAGTTATTGAACGCGTTACTATGACATAATTCATTTCTCGAGTATTACGAATGTATGTGCAGATACACGTATTGATTTATGGACGTGTGTGAAAGCAGTAAGGCTGTAACTCTTACAAAAGTTTCCAATTGGCAATTTTCGACGTTTGAATGTTACTATCTCGAAACAACTACCTTAAGTCACTTTCGAGAGGGTTAGCGGTACTCTCGTTAAATGTTAGCCACCGAACGATTATATTCATTGGTTGCAAGGTCATGATTTCAAAGACGAGCAAAATTTGTATCTAGATAAAATGTCCTGCGTAAGATACGATCGATCGCTTGAATCACATATGTACTAGTAAATTACAGGTTAATAAAGGCAAGATCTGCTACATGAGCCTAACCGATAAATTCAACTAAACAGATCCAGGCCTCATCTCTTAGATATACTAAGAGCTTCTAAACGCTGCGCGACCGAGGTTTCGCTCGATCTCTAAAGCCGGCGACCGACTTGCAACAAAACAGTGTAATGTAACTGCTCGGCACGAATTTTACGGTTCAGCACCAGCATTACATTACAAGGTCGTTTTTTGGAATCACGAATGCTCGCTTCGAACTCTCGACTGGATTATCTCTCAATGCTTCCTACTTAGTTCAATGAAAAGTAGACGATCAAAGAGGTTCGTCAAAAAACCGACAGACCAATGGAGCACGGTCGAGCGCGAACCGAACTCAAGATCGGCTCGATTCGTTGCTCGCTAGCCCGTCAAGACTAAGCAAGTGCTCGCGTTAAATTGTGTGTTACATGTTCTGTTGCAAGTCAGTCGTCAGCTTAAAAGACTCTGCAACCAAGAAACGATTTTGGTCTCCTCTAGCGTCAACAAAGTCACCGTAAGTGTACCATCGACCGTAGTCCAAACTTAGACTCTTGTTCCATCGAGGATAGGGAAATCAAATCCCCTATTGGCAGGTGGTCCTTTCAATTTTCGCTCCGTTTCTTATGACTGTGCCCATGGCCTTGGTCATGGCCAAAGTGAGCAGCCGGATAGCCATAACCGTGGCCATGGCCGTGTCCATGCGCGTACAGGTGTCCATGGCCATGCCCGTACAGGTGTCCATGTCCAAATTCGTGCCCATGTCCATGTCCGTGTCCATAACCGTGGCCGTGGCCGAAGTCGTGGCCAAATCCGTGTTCGAAACCACCGCCGAATCCGTGAACGAAGGGTCCCGGGAAATGTGGACCATGGAACGACGGGTAAAAATGTCCAGAACCGTAACCTCTACCGTAGAAGGCACCAGGAAGCGGACCTGGACCGTAAACCGGCACCGGCGAGTGCACGGCGACCGGAAATGGCACTGGAACCGGTACTGGAAACGCTTGTTTCACAGGAACTGGATACGGTTGTTGCACCGGCACCGCCACTGGGTGCTTCACCGGTATCGGAACCGGCCGTTCCACCGGTATCGGGACCGCCTGGAGGACGAGGGAATTCGATTATTTACAACTTTCAATGGTCGCATTCCATGTACGAAAGCGACTCGAGGAAAGGTGCTCGAAAAGTTTTTATTGCCACGAGTACCGATCACAGAGATATCATAGATAGAGTAGGGTAGACACGCTGAATGACGTATAACAATTAGGATTTTCAATCAATAACACTGACAAAAATTCTGAAAAATGTCCTTCCATCTGTTGCATGTCTTACATTTTTTTTCAAAATTTTTCGTCTAGCGGTATAAGAGAAATCGGGCAAAAATCTGTTTTTGTTTTTTGCCCTCTTTAAGTCTAGAGCAGTAGCGAGACCTCAAACTCGGTTCATACAATGTTGAAAATTTTGTGTTAAATTCGACAGAAATCGCATGTCCCACACCGATATTCACCAATATTTCAATTGTCAAATGTATTCGTCAAAGTAACGAAGATTGTTAACAGAATAATATAAGTAAACTTTAACGTTCCCGTCGCTAAAAACTTAGGCGTTGATGCGACGTTAATCTAGATTAAACAAAAAAATATCAAACGTTTATTTGTTATGTTTTAGGAGATTTTTCAGGAGAGTCCTTACCTCGGGTACCGGAACAGGAACTGGAATCGGTTTATGTATGATCTTCTCGATCGGTACGTGGATCACCTTCTCTACGGGCACGTGGTACGGTTTCTCGATGTAAACTGGCGCAGGAACAGGTACTGGCTTCTCTAGGACCACGTGTTTCGTTATGTACACTGGAACCGTCTTCAAGAAGTCACCTCTTCCGAACGAGAAGGGAATAGATGGCACTCTACCGTACGATAAACCCCCGTATAATCTATCGAACACAAGCACGTTATGAAATAGCATTCGTTCAGTGGAGAATTAACACGTTGACTGGCGGACTAATAATCGTGAAAATTTATGCGAGGTTAAAATTTTGTTACTATACAATTAAAAATGTAGTACTTATTTCTGCAACCTCTTTAGAATTTGCCAATCCTATTTACACTAATTGTCTTCGAAACCTCGCTTTCGGAATTAATTTATTTATTTCTCAGTGAAAATTATTGTCACCCATGTGTCACCCGTATGGGTGATGTGGCAGTCAACGTGTTAAGAAACGAAATCTAAGAATTTCGCATTGATTACCCTCCTCCGTGGCCTAGGTCGAAAGAGGGGTACTTGATCCCTTTCCAAGGCGTGCTACCACCTGCCCAAGGGTGCCCGTGTCCGTACCCATACGGATTTGGTATGCCGACCCATCCTCCAGTGTCGATGATCCCCCGTTTACTTTGCTTGGATTCCTCTGTCGATTCCGCGGACAACGCGGCACCACAGAATAGTATCAGGAACAACTAAAATTAAACGCTTTTTTCGATTGACGTAGAACGATACAACGCCCAGATGGATACTTGGCGCGTAGAAAATGCGAATGCTAGGTAAATCGCGATGAAATTATCACGAAGAAAGAACGGAAAGCACGACGAAACTAAATCGCAAGCGTGTCCGAGTCACCGCGTAGTTTTGTTTCTTATGTCTCTTACCGGGATCATAGACATTGTTCTCTCGTTGCGAAGGAACTGTTCGTATGATCGGGTAAACGGTAGCTTTATATATTTGCCCGTCGATAGACCGACAGACGAATCTAGATGGTGGTCCAGGTCGGGTTCCTGTCTTCGATGGGATCAGGAACTGGTCCTTGTCGATCGTTTCCGGGGAAGAAAGTAGTCGCGCGCACCGATGAATCTGGTTCATGTTTATACTGTATCGGGGGATGTGCATGTAATGATCTTATGCTACGTGCCCGACACCACCGTCGATTGGCGAATGATCATTATGTTTCTATTAAAGTAGTTGTTCCGTGGATTTATTTAACGAAGGATTTTATATATATATATATATATATAAACTCTTTCGTAATAAGTATTCGTACAGGAACCAATTCAAAATTTTAGGGGTAGAAATAATTAACCAACATTCCTACATATTTTAATAGTATAGTATATTAATATAATATAATTTAATATTAATATATAGTTATATAATTTATTACTATAATATTTACATAAAATTTTATAAATCAATGAGATTACCCTAAAATGGAGCCAATAGAAACACTTTAACTGAGACACAGCAGAAATTGTAGATCTCAGCCTTAAATTATTAGAATGAAATATTTGGACAAATTTTAACCAAATAATATATATTGTATTTATGTTTAGTCACTTAGATTGTGCGCCACCATTTTGCACCGTTTTATGAATGATTAACAACGAGTAACTGTCAAACTATAATTGGCTGCGTGACCCAAGATGGCGTAAAGTTTCTTTGCTGCGTGTTATTCTTACTAACTTTTTATTTTCGAGATATTATGCACGTGTCTATTGATTTTGCTTGTTTGTTATAATAACGCTGGTGGTTGTAGGTGGTAGTACTTGAGAAAGTGTGACGCGTATACTGAAAAGAAACTTGGTAAACGTAAACAGGCAATGTAAAATGGGGTGAGTTGAAACGAAACTTTGAAATGTTACGTTTTGCTGTTTAACTTTTATTATTTCCAGTCGTAAGCTTACCTATAGTTTTTCCTCGATGAAAATTTACTAATGTCTTCATTCAAAATGAGTATCTAATAAAATGTTTCTAGTCCCTTGACAAGGCTTAATCGTGATCGTTTAATATACTTTCAAAGTAGTGTTTCTATATACCTCGATGTGCTGGATAATTAGAAACAGCATCTTATTTTTTAATGATTACTATTCGGTTAAAGGTTGTCCAAATATTTTTTGAAACTTTTTAATATATTGTCGAGATAACTCGATCAAGTATTTCATGGATTCGACCGACCACGCGTACCACTTACCTATTTTCGTTTTAATTATTCTGTCGTCGTTCCGAGCACGTACCTCGAGACAAAAGCGTTCAAGAATTTTTCGGCCGACATGGCGCCATTCATATCGTCTCGCGATCCTGTCTTCATATTAATAAATTAGATTTACACATTTTTGTAAGTTTAACGCTACAAGTTTATTAAACTTAAAAAAAAAGAAATGTTATAGTCACCAATATCTTATGTTAATCTATTCAACGTGGAGTTTGTGTTATCGATCGACACAGGCGTGATGTGTTAAATTAACACAAAAATATCGGTGGACCGTCTAGGACACGTGATTTCGGTTGAATGAAAATATTCAAAATATTCAACAACGTAAACCTGTACGGTGTAGCTCGCATACGGGACAAAATAAACGATTGATAGTTCGTCGAATCGGTGGCGATTCGTGTCACGATCTAGACCTAGCGAACGCGTTACATTCTTTGTATATGTAACGTCTTTACTCGGCTAACGAGATCAACGAAACCGGCCGGTTGGTTTCTTGCACCAGGGACACCGGTCGTCGGTTTCCGCGTTGGCCGCATCCGCGAACTTTCCTAACTTTCATTTTCTAATACGTTCGAGCTACTTCTAATGCCGGTCGCTACGTGGCATTCATTATTCATCGTTAATGCTCCACGATGATTCCATAACACCCGCGAGCGACGACGCGTACACATCCTCGCGCTGCCATTACGAAATACGAGGGTCAAGTTGGACGATTGCCTCGTATTCATTTCTGACCACCTCTGACCGAACGCGCACCTTTTGTAAAATGCACCCACCAACAACCGTGGCTTTATTTTGTTTTTTGATTGGAGTTATTTTCGTGGGTCGCTTTCAAGGCAATATTCATCATTATTTATTTTGCATGCAAAGTACTTGATATATTGACTTTGGAAATTTTGTATGTGGTATGGAAGATTTTCTTAAATTTACGAATGTCCTGTTTAGTTTGTTTCAGTATAAAAAAAAGAGAATAAGTGATTTATCGACTTTAGATATGCGTCATTTTTCCAGAAGTCGAAATTTTTTCAAAAGGTACGATGGAGTAGTAGTTTCGACAGTACTTTAAAGAAACCCGCTGGAATTTTTCATTTCAGACGACCCAGGTTCGTGTAACATTGCTCCCATCAAACTATGTTTCTTTCAAGATTCTCTAGGAGATCGCTCGCGTCTTTAAGAATTTTTTATATTTTTTTATGAAAATTTTTGTGTTGTATCTCCAAGCATACATCTTTCGAATAGAGAAGCACTAATTAACAAATTTGAGAGGTGACCCCTGATGGGTGGCAGCTGATATCTTCCATATTTTCAGAGGAAACACTTCCAAAAAATTACAATAATTACTCGAATATATGTATAAAATTTTCTCAAAGTTTCATTAAATTATGTACATTCCTTTCTCGCTAAAAAAATTCATACTAAACACTAAAAAAAAAAAAAAAAAAAAAAAAAAAACGTAGTCTTAAACCAATTTCCCCCCCTTAAATTGAGAAATATATCTTCCTGCCACCGTTTGCACACGCTTACGCAAAATTGACATTAATATTCCCCTCCTCCACCGACGTCTTAGCCGCACTTCCGGATATAGAAAATGACGCGAACGTCAGCGCCACATGAACGCGGGACTTATACGGACGCCTGTCACGAATAGACAGTATCGTTGCTCTTATTAATTTGAATTTTCACGTAGGCAATTTTCACTCGTCAGCACGCCTATCTCCAGATCGCGAAGACGCCGACTAACGATGCTCCTCATTGTTCGTCGCGTTCGTCCTTCCCTAGGAGAAGGTGTCCATCCGTCGTTGAACGAATGAAAAGCGGTCGCGACCGTTATTTGGCCATCGTCCAGGATTGGTAGCAGCGAAAGTCCATTGAGCTCGACAAAGACAACGACAATGGTTCTTCCTATCGCGATGTGTCATCCGTCGTATGCTCTATAAATACTTATGGGGATCACTTAGACCGATCGAACTCAGTTTTTCTTTCGGCGCCGTCGGTGGCACCTGGGATTTGGGGAGCCTTCCTCAAAGCCATCATGAAGTTTCTCTTGGTATTCCTCTCTGTTCATATTTCCTTCTTGTGTTATTTTTGTTTGTTTTATATATTAACAACGTTGCGTTCGAGAAAGCTATCGCGTCGATTAGTGACGGAAACGTGGGAGAACTGTGAATTCGATTCTATTAGTGACACTTGGGACTGGACCTTTCCTGTCTGTTCCATGGCAGTGAAGTGTTGATTGATTTACGGTGCAATCGATACTTGACGTAGCCTGTTTTTACTTCTATTCGATTAAGTATTCTTGCACGAGGTATGTGTATGAAGTTGGAGGGTAAACTGTTAGTGGTTTGTGTTTTCGAGGCCGTACGATCGTACTTGAAACTGAAACTAACAAGCAAATTTTCAAACTTCTTGTTAACGTCGCTCGATCAGTGATAATTCTTTTACCGCGATACTCGAGGAGAATGATATTAGTAAAGAATAAATTCTATTGATCAATTAGTTTACCACTCTCGTGGAAAAAGACGCGGAGCTAATTTCCACGCCTAATAATTAATCTTATAATGGTACCAACATTGTACGAGTCCAAACGAAAAATAAAGCAAAGTCACAGAGAGTCGAATCCACGACCCTCGGATCCGCGGTCGACCGCTTTACCTACACAACCAATCTCGTGCCCTACGATTCGTGTTGTCGTTTCACTCCTTATTCTTGGGAATGGGTGGTCCCGATACTACAATATTAATTCGATTCGTTCGTAGATTTTGTCGCTGCTCGTGGTAGCCAGTGCAGCAATCACAGTCGACAAACGCGACAAGGAGAATTCCGGGGTCGCGAAGAAGCACGGGAAGAGAGGTCTTGTCAATTTGGGGTACGGCCTGCCACCTGAGCATCACTACGCCGAACCCGAACCAGCGCCTGTCTACGAAGCTCACGTTCCTCATGGACTGCATCCTACTCTTGGAGGACACTTGGAACCCGCTGGACCGCCCCTGCCACCCCCAGCAATTGCTTATCCAGCACGTTAGTACATTTTTATACGGTCAAGATAGTCACGTTGAAAAATATAACGGAACAACTACCTTGAATTCGGTGAAATGTAATTAAAATGAAGCGACGGACGTGGAGCGAGGTCTTGATGCAGACCTTGATAAATGCTCACAAGTCAAGAAACCATAGTATCCATGGATATTAACCCTTTCACTGCAAGACGATTTTTGCTGGAAATTCTAAGGGACGTATTGGGCTGTCTGGAAAGTTCATGCCGATTTTTAGTAGGCGGTACAGGTCTGAATATGTCGGAATAGCTGAAAATAAATAACATGTGTACACTCCTTAAAAGGTGCAAAGGTTGTGGAACAAAATGGTACACATATAATTCGATAAATATGCATCAATATTCAACTATGCCTTTAAATTTTTCTTAAAAATAGGCATGAACTTTCCGGACAACCCGATACAATACAAAATACAGTCTTATAGGGACTGACTAAACGAAACTTTTCTATTTTTACAGTTTATTCATACGAAGACCTTTTTTCTGAAATTCAGTTTTCGCAAACTGACTTCTAACTTCTTTAATTTTTATTTTCGAAACTAAGCGTCCTATGAATTAATTAAGTTCTTGAATAAATTATGTCTAATTATTTCCTATGAGCTGATATTTTTTTTCAAATCGATTCAACGAATACAAATGTTTCTCTGAGCCCATTCTTATCGAACTATTAGTTCTAGCTCCATATCAGCCTATACAATAAACAAATCAGAAGATCCTAGAACATATAGCTTAGTTATCATCAACGATGGTCAATTTAAATCGAAACAGGCTGGCATCAAGTGGAAAAATCAAGTGAAGTTTTGTTAAAATCTCTCGTTAAATAAGTCCACGTTACAAGTACCATAAAAAGAAAAATAAGATTGTACTTTTTCAACAGCCGCCGTTCCAGTGCCAGTGCCGCAGCCTGTTCCTCATCCAGTGCCAGTGCCGCAGCCAGTGCCCGTACCTCAGCCTGTTCCGCATCCGTTTCCTGTCGCGGTACCGGTGACGAAACATGTGGCGATCCCGGTGCCCGTGGACCGTGCCGTTCCCGTGCCAGTAGATCGTCTCGTTCCGGTGCCAGTGGCGGTTCCGGTTCCCAAACCGTACCCCGTTCACGTGGAGAAGCTGGTGCACGTCGACAGACCTGTGCCGGTACCCGTCGACAGGCCAGTCCACGTTCCCGTGGATCGACCAGTCGCTGTTCCAGTTGCGGTACCGAAACCGTACCCTGTACCATACGAGAAGGTGGTCCACGTGGATAGACCGTACCCCGTCCACGTGGCTGTGCCCTATCACGTCCCCAAGCCTTACCCCGTGCCTGTCGCCATTCATGCTCACAAATCCCACGGTTGGTGCAAGTGGTGCTGATACATCAGGCCTGTTAACCTTTTCGAATAATGTTAGAGTAGAATCCTCTTTTAACGCTAGGTTTACGTTCGATTCCAAGTAACTACGGTGCGTTGTTTGCTTTGTTTTGACGTCTACTTTCTAAGAACTTTCTCATCGTGTTTATATCTATTACCAAAGTAACGTCATGCTGACGAATCCCACGGTTGCTGGTGCGAATAGAACGGACATGTTGACGTGTCAGGGCTGGTCACGTTTTGGAATTAGTTTAGAGGAGAATCCTTTGTAGGCCCCTGTATTTCTTTTTTTTTAATTTTATAGCACAAATTTAATATATTGTATACTTTTGTATGATATTTTTAATACATCTCTTATACCAACTAATTTTCTTGATATCGTATGTTTCCGTTCATTCTCCAAATTGGAAAAGCTTGTAAATGGAACAAAAAAGATTATATAGGAATCGATGGTTCGGATCCACCAGGGAAGAACGACTTCTTTGAATGATATTAAGAGAACAATAGGGTCACGATGCGTCCTTGAGCGATACCATATCGCCAATGTACGTATAATTCACGTGAATAGATTGGCGCACAGTTCTCACGCTTGCAGGTGTATCTACGTATCCGTACAACGCTTATATCAATTAGAGTATAAAGGTCAACTTTCCAACATGGCGGACTCCTTGTATTTTTAATGGGCAGATGCTCTTCTAAGGAGAGCTTCGGTTGCTTCAGCCGTAACGCAAAACGATTTACCTCTTTGCAATGTTCTAATGTTCAGTTCTATTCTCTTTGTGGTACTTCCGAGATACTGAAACTAAACATTTCATAAAAATAAGTCGAACGTGATCACGTACATTTCTGAAATCTCGATGACAGTGGCTATGTGATATGAGGAACTTGGAGGAATTTTGTTTTTCATTTATTTATGTAAACTCAAATGTGAAAAAGATCAGGTGATTCTTTTTTTGTTCAGAGATTCTCGGAGTACTTGGAAAATTAAAAGATACGAACAGTGAACACTTATGAATCGATAAAAGTTGAATATCGAACATTGAATATTAAATATTGAACGTTAAACATCGATGAACGTTAATGAACATTGAATATTGAATATTAAATATAGAACGTTAAACATTGTTGAACATTAATGAACATTGAATATTGAATATTAAATATTGAACATTGAACATTGAACATGGATGAATATTGGTGAACATTGACTGTTGAACATAGAACATTGAACAACGAATATTGAATATTAAATATCGAACATTGAACATCGATGAACTTTGGTGAACATTGACTATTAACATAGAACATTGAACAACGAATATTGAATATTAAATATTAAACACTGAACACCGATGAACTATAACAAACATTCGATATTGAACATGAAATGTGTAGAAAATGTATTATTGGCTCTTTTCCTGTGCCTTTCTATATACACGAATAAAAGAAATCGTTTGTCAATGTTTATACCCACCATAATTCGATAGTATTTACGTGTATATATTTTTCAGTTCACTTTCCTTAACCGTGTCGTAAGTGCTGCTAATAGCGCAAAAATTCCCGATTCGAGTGTGTTCTAGTAACAGGTACCTATAGGAAGTTCATATTTAATGGATACTTATAGCACCTTTACGCTCGATAGACGTTACACTTGACACCGAAGTACGACGTACTATGTGAAGAATAAATCCATAACGGTTTAAACCTAATAGAAGAAAATTGTTCACCTGGTCGTAGGAGTCCAAGAAAAGAATCTAATCTCTCTTTTTGTCTTTAAAGCCGAAGCGTTTGGATACTATAAAGAAGGCTTCTATGAATGGGTTTCGCGATAGAAGACAATCGTTCAAGAAGATGGCCACACTGGAGAAGATTGATATTCGTGACTTACGATTAAAGGTTACTCTTGTATTTTTACTAGGTTCAAGAAAACATTCGTGATTTTTGTTTGAAGGCAAAGTACTTAATATACATTTTTGAAATTTGGTACGTCTATTTATACATGTATATGCAAGATCCCGTTAAATTTACAACTGGCTTGTTCAATTTGTTTCATCAGAAAAAAAGTATATCTTTTTAGCCGAAATAAAACAGTACTTTCAAAGTTTCGTGATCAGTTAGCTTAACAAGAGAACCTATGATACGAACGATTTATAACTTCGACAATTTTCACATTTCTTTAAATATAATTAGGCAGAAACATTTCAAGGGACTTGAATAACAAGAATATCAACAACAGAAAATCTACTTTTGGACCCAGAAAAAGAAAATGTTCGAATTCAATCATCAAAAATTTCACCCACTTCGTCAGCCATCCCGAGCGATTCATGATTAATTTTCCTATCAATCTTTAGTCGTATTCACG